AATCAAATCATTCATTCATTCATTAATCGAAACATGAATCTGCCCTGTATGAATACAACAATATGAACTGTAAATATGTAAATAGTGTATGGATGTGGTGACTGAGACTGAATGGGACGATAGTTTTACTTATTGACGGGATGAATGATTGCATCAGTGTACATTGCATTGTATTTTATTGGCATGTTCGCCATTTATGACATCAACCTGTCCAGGGACTGAAGGTGGAAATTAACAATTTTGCTATAACCTGCACACACATATGACTTCTTTGTGTAACTCTATGTTTTTATGTGCATTTTCCCTGATAAATAAACAAATAAACTAAACTAAACTAAATTAACTAACTAAACTTCTGAAAAAAATAAAACTGAAACTTAAAGGTACAGTAAGTAACTTTCTGGAGGTGGCACGTCACCTGCATGATTCTATAGAAATAGAAAGTTAAAACCACACTTCTGAACATTTTCCATAGAGATACTGTATGTTTTATGCCATACTGTGGAACATTACAGCTGAAGGAACAACATTTCCATGGAAACAAGCAGGAGGAGGTCAAATAAGAGTCAGGTTTGTTGAAATGCAACCCAAGCACTTTGGATGTCTTGAAAGGCACTATAAAAATCCAATGGTAAAAACATGTCTTTATTTTTGTCTCTGCATACAGATGGACAAAGTGTATTGCTCACTGGGACAGAACCACCAACCTCTGCCTCAAACTGGGCACATTATCCAAAGTTTTCACAACAAAATACAATAAATAAATAAATATAAAATAAAACAATCACATTCACACATTTAAGATGCGTAAAGTGTCATGCTCAAGGACACACTGACTAGGAGTGGGAATAGAACCATCAGGTTTTCCCTCAAACTCTGAACCATACACCTCAATCTTTCACTTTTCACAACGACGCACACACAAAAAACAAAAAAAAAAACATGAAACAAATCACAAACATTTTCGCAGCATCACCTTCACACGTCAGACGTAACGGGGACGTGTCTTGCTCAGTGACACATGACCGGAAGTGGGAATTGAACCGTCAACTTCTGAACTTTCAAAACTGTGAAAACATCCCACAACAACCACAACTTTCTTTCCCTATTTTTCACAAATACACACAAACCTAAGATTATAACACAACCTAAATTACTTCAAACTTTTCAATTTGGCCGTTAATTAAAGCTACAATATGTGACTTTTCTGGGAGATGATCCGCCCCGCTTGTCTCCATGGAGATTTTCTTGCTTTGGAATATTCCACAGTAAGGCATTTAACATCTCTATCTTTCTTTTTTGGTTTTTGGTTTTTCGATTACAGATGTTACTACAAAAATCCCTAAAAAAAAAACATGCATTCTTACTGTGAGTGGGCTCGCCTCTCCGCAGATCTGACCTGTAACTTGACTCACAATTACCTCTGCTCGCAATCCATTCCATGCAAAGTCACAACATCACCATGGAAACTACCAGGTCACTCACCCTCCCCAGAAATGTCCCATACTGCGTCTTTTTTTAAAAAAAATCGAAAAAATCTCAACATTTCTCATTCCTTACCTTTTTTTTTTCTTTCTTTTTTTTCCCGTCGTCTTTTCCCTTTCTTCTCAAATCCGTCTGTGCGCGTTGCTATTCTAAACCTCTTTTTATATCCCCCACTCTCCCGGAGCCAGCGGGGTGCGTATTGAGCGCGTGCGTTTCCGTCCACCAATCACGTCGCGTCTCTCCGGCCTGGCCCCTCCCCCCCTTTTCCAGCTTTGACACACTTCTGGTCGCCACGGCAGCACATCTGTCACGGCGAGAGAGGATTATCCCACCGCCGACACAGCCCTCGTCTCTGAAACCCTGAAATTGTAACGTCATTGTGCAATTTTTTTCCCAACAATTTTCAAATTTCATAAGCCGAAAGCGGATGTTGTCGTCGTCATGGGATCGAACGGTTATGTAATGCAAAAGAGTCGCCCACATCTGAGTGTAAAGGACAAACGGAGCCTATGGGTGCTGCTGGGTGAACTTACTGCGGGTGACATTTAGGGTTCAAAACGAGGGGATGTAGCATCGCAGTGACCTCGAGCTGGGGGGTTTCTTCATGTGTGTCTACGACGGAATGTGACTCAATGAACCCTGGAAAAAAAAAAAAAACTATATCTAGATAAACTAAAATGACTTAAATTAAGAACATTTCACTTTATTTGAGTAGATTCAATTTGACAAGTAAAATTATCTACCAATGGAATGAGTGTTTGTTTTTTTTTTTTCTTAATTCGATTTTAAAAGCAAAAAAAGTTGTATTTTTTCATATTTTAAGTACAAAATTTTGCTTGTCAAGTGAAATTTACTCAAATCATGATAAAACTTTCTTAATTCAAGTCATCTTAACTTGGCAAATTATTATTTATAAAAAAATAAATAAAAATGTGTTTCTCACCTATATCTCTCTCATATTGAGCTTCCTCTACCAGAGGCCTGGGAGCTTGAGAGTTCTGCGCATATTTTTGCTGTATACTGCACTTTTCTGGACTATTTCCATTGTTTTTCCCGGTATCTGTTGAAGCCACTTTCCATTTGGGGGTTACAGCCCCGAGTGCTCAGATCACCGCAGGCACCACTGATGCCTTTACTTTCCAGGCTCTCTCCAGCTCTTCCTTGAGCCCCTGGTATTTCTCTAGCTTCTTGTTTCCTTTTCCTGATATTACCATCGCTTGGTATTGCGATGTCCACCACCATGGCTCTGCTCTGTTTCTTATCCACCACCACTATGTCTGGTTGGTTTGCCATCACCATTCTGTCAGTCTGTATCTGGAAGTCCACAGGATCTTGACTCGGTCATTCTCCACAACCTTTGGAGGTGTTTCCCACCTTGATCCTGGGTTTCCAGCCCGTACTCTGCACAGATGTTTCTGTACACTATGCCCGCCACTTGGTTATGTCGCTCCATGTATGCTTTCCCTGCCAGCATCTTACACCCTGCAGTTATGTGCTGGACTGTCTCAGGAGCCTCTTTGCACAGTCTACACCGTGGGTCTTGTCTGGTGTGGTAGATCTGGGCCTCTATTGCTCAAGTGCCCAGGGCCCTGCTCCTGAGCAGCCAGGATCAGTGCCTCTGTGCTGTCCTTCAACCAGCCCTCTCAAGCCATTGGTAGGATTTCTTGATATCAGCCACTTCAGTTATGTTCCGGTGGTACGCCCCATGTAGGGGTTTGTCCTGCATGATGGTCCCTCCAGCACCTCTTCCTCTGGACCCCACTGTCTGAGACATATATATATATATATATATTTTATTTATTTTTTTTTTATTTTTTTTTTTTGCATTGAACGCAGGCGGATGAGTTTTTAGAATGAAGCACAAATTTGGTTCAGGGCCTGTTTACATGAGAACGACTAACAATTTGATCTGAAGTGCCTTTCGTTTAGATGGTGATAGCGTTTTGGGGGCTTAAAAATGCAAAAATCTGAACCCACCCTCCAGAGTGGAAAAGTTAATCTGTGTATCATTCGTTCATTAGTTTTTCTAAATAAAACTGAAAATAAGAAAATGAAAAAATAACAATTTTCTTTATTATTTGTCTCCAAAACCAAAATGAAAAAACTGATAACGATTTGTTTTTTTCAGTTTTTGATTTTGTGTTTAAATAATAATGGAAAAAACGAATAATGGCCGTTTCCCATTTCCATGATTAAACTGTGACTTAAACAGGATTTAACCAGGACTAAACCAGGACTGAAACGAGGACTAAAACCAGGACTAAATCAGGACTAAACCAGGTCTAAACCAGGTCTAAAACCAGGACTAAACCAGGATTTAACCAGGACTAAACCAGGATAAAAACCAGGACTAAACCAGGATAAAAACCAGGACTAAACCAGGTCTAAACCAGTACTGAGTGTTGAGACGGGCCCGGAGGTGCTCCTGCGTAGACTGTCAGGTGATCAGGACTGAGACCAGGACTAGATTGGGACTGAGCACCGTACATTTAGAATGAGTGCTGATGTAAAAATGTTCAAATAAATTTCTTTCTCTCTCCATTTGACTTTTGTTATTTGTACCCGTACTGCTTTTTCTGTGTAATGAGATATGGATTTTTGTGCTCGTTCGTGTGGACTTATCCTTTATAGGTCAGTGGGAGGAGGAGGTCTGACCCAGGACAGATGTGACGGGGTTAAACCAGGACCACCCCACAAAACGGGGGCTCCTCCCTACAGGCTGAAATATAATAGGAGTCTCGAGTAAACAAACACGAGGTCCATCAAGGTCCCCAACCCCCGGGTCGTGGACCAGTACCGGGCCGTGGGTCGTTTGGTACCGGGCCGCGAAAGTGCAGCCCCTCCCTGCCATACACATCTCTAAACCAGAACTAAAATGGGACTAAAACAGGATTTAATCAGGCCTAAAACAAGATTTAACCAGGACTAAACGAGATATAAACCAAGACTAAACCAGCACTAAAACCAGGACTAAAACAGGATTTAACCAGGACTAAACCAGAACTAAAACCAGGACTAAACCAGGTCTAAAACCAAGACTAAAACAGGCTTTAATCAGGACTAAACCAGGACCAAAACAGGATTTAATCAGGACTAAACCAGGACCAAAACAGGTTTTAATCAGGACTAAACCAGGACTAAAACTAGGACTAAACTAGGACTAAGGCAGGATTTAACCAGAACTAAACCAGGACTAAACCAGAACTAAAACCAGGACTAAACCAGGACTAAACTCGGATTAAAACAGGATTTAATCAGGACTAAACCAGGACTAAAACAGAACAAAACCAGGTCTAAACTAGGACTAAACCAGGACTAAAACCAGGACTAAACTAGGACTAAAACCATAATCAGAACCAAAAGTTATAATTACATGGTTAGAATTTTACTCAAGTACAAGTACAGGTTTAAAAAAGTGCTAAAAAAAAACTACAATTACCCAAAAAAGATGTACTCAACTTACAGTAACATGAGTATTCGTAATTAGTTACTTTCCACCCTTGCATAAAATACAATTTCAAACAAATATATAAAAATTTATTTTAAAATGTTCTTTGGCATTATCACTCTACAATACATTACTACAAGTGTGTATTTTACATGTACAAAAACAAAACAGAAAATATATTAACAATATTTCTAGTTTGAATAACTAAAGTCCAAATCAGAAGTCTGGACTCGCCCTCTCATTCAATGTTTATTTTTTCTATATATTTGAACTAGTGTCGTAGGACTTGAAACCGGTCTTAGTCTTCAGACCGAGACTCGAGACTGTTTTTAGAGGTCTTAGTCTCGTCTTGGACTCTGTCTTGAACGAGAGGGTGAGTCGAAACTTTGGACTGCTTGTGAGTATCGCCACACATTGTTCAGTCTCCTCATGGTCTCCTCACAGCTGGTAGAACGAGGAGAGCAGGGTGCACAGGAGAGCCAGGTTCCCCAGCAGCACCACGGGCAGAACCAGGACTTTGAACCAGGACGTCTGCAGGACACACAAGACAAGAGCAGGTCAGAACATATACTGTGTAAAGAGGTGGATCCACAGCGTCTGCAACAGGTGAGGCACCAAAGAGCCACTGGGGAGGTGCGACACATGAGGACTAAACCAGGACTGAGCCCAGCACTGAACCAGGACTGAGTGTCAGGACAGGCAGGGGGACCATTGGGTGACCATGGGCGAAAGGACCGGGCCAGAACTCCGTACCCCACAAAGCTCTCTCTCAAGTCCAACATTAGTCCTGGTTTAATCCTGGTTTAGTCTTGGTTTAGACCTGGTTTAGACCTGGTTTAGTCTTGGTTTAGGTCTGGTTTAGTCCTGGTTTAATCCTGATTTAGTCCTGGTTTAGTCCTGGTTTAGACCTGGTTTAGTCCTGGTTTAGTCCTGGTTTAGACCTGGTTTAGTCCTGGTTTAAACCTGGTTTAGTCCTGGTTTAAACCTGGTTTAGTCCTGGTTTAGTTCTGGTTTAGTTCTGGTTTAGTCCTGGTTTAGTCCTGGTTTAGACCTGGTTTAGTCCTGGTTTAGACCTGGTTTAGTCTTGGTTTAGACCTGGTTTAGTCCTATTTTAGTCCTGGTTTAATCCTGGTTTAGTCCTGGTTTAGTCCTGGTTTAGACCTGGTTTAGACCTGGTTTAGTCCTGGTTTAGTTCTGGTTTAGTCCTGGTTTAGTCCTGGTTTAGACCTGGTTTAGTCTTGTTTAGACCTGGTTTAGTCCTGGTTTAGACCTGGTTTAGTCTTGGTTTAGACCTGGTTTAGTCCTATTTTAGTCCTGGTTTAATCCTGGTTTAGTCCTGGTTTAGTCCTGATTTAGACCTGGTTTAGACCTGGTTTAGTCCTGGTTTAGTCCTGCTTTAGTCCTGCTTTAGTCCTGGTTTAGTTCTGATTTAGTCCTGGTTTAGTCCTGGTTTAGACCTGATTTATACCTGTGTCCTTCTAATGTTCAGAGATGTTAAAAGTCGCCTCAATTAGGCCTGCATGAAGTTGGAAATTATTTGCAAATATTACACATCTATGGGATCTTAACACTTGATTTAGATCACCACATTGTCTTTTATTGTTTTGAAAATGCTATATTTGCCAAAAACAACATATTAATATGTTTTATAAGTTTCATTTTCATTTTTCCCCCTTCAGAGCACTATCACAGCACAATTAGCGTGCATCCCACTAATGAAACTACTGCACGTCACATCAGGTTTATAAAGTTGTTGTGTACAGTTTTGTATCATGTTTTTGTATATTTATGGAGGACTGTCGTGTGGGAGCATGGGTGATGTAGGCTTGTGGACAGATCCTTGTACAGAATCTTACAGATAACCATCTTTTGTTTGTTTGTTTCCATCTAATTTATCTAAAGTAAAATGTCTAAAGACGGGTTTTTGTTGAGGGAACAACGTTATAACAAGGGAGGAAGCTCTAAAAATTGGTTTTGCATTACATCTCCATCTAGTTCATTCCTACTGTAACTTGAAATTCTATCACAAATATTTCAAAGTATTGTTAAAGTACATTGACCCACCTTGTTCCTATCTTCTGATTGGTCGGACAGAATCGCGCGTGTGTCCTCTGCTTGAACTGTGGAGGAACAAAAGAGTTATCAGTATTGTATTGTAAAAAAAAAAAAAAAATGCTATGTACTGTTTACTTTGTCAGGATTTTGTAAAGTACTTTTTTTTGTAGATTCATATTTAATCATTTGAATATGTATTTATTTATATGTTTTGTTTTAGAAAATATATCTGTATAATTTCAACTGTTTTGTATATATATTTTATGCAATTTTTAACCAGTAAAGATACATAGAAAAATATTAGTATCCAAATACATTTAGTGACGTAGAAATGTTTGTGAATGAAGAGCAGGAGCCTGAACGCCGTCCACCAGGACACGTAACCAATCAGAATGTGGGTTGCTAACGATGAAGGCAGCGGTAAAGACGATTGGCCGACTCCGAGGAACATGGCCGCCACTGTCAAAAACCACAACCACGTTTTTAAAAAAAATAAATATATAAAAGTTTAAATTGTAAATGAGGAGACACGTGTTACCTGCCATCACCTCAGTGAGCGAGCCCACGCCCCAGTGCAGCCAGTTAAAGATGTACCTCCTGAAAGAAGAAGAGTTTGTGTTCATAAAATGTCATGTGATTATTTCACATGGAGGACAGGGCTAATGGGAGAGTCACTAAAAGAAATATACGAACACAAAATCCATACATGATCGCAGACAGCGACGAAAACAAAAGAGAGCCCTGCTCCGAGAGGCGGACAGCCACACAAATTTTAATTTCTTTATCGGTGCTACATGTGGGATTTGGCAGCGTCGTGGAGACATTTTGGTACAAATGAAAGAAACTGGCCTCTCTCTAGCTTGATCTACAGCACACAACACTTGCTTGTGATGACGTTTACAGCAACTGGTTTAGTCATTTTAGATAAATATTGTGATTTAAAATGCCCAAATTGTAGGATAATGATCCACAGGCATCATAGATTATAATTATAAAACAGACACAAGCCCATGCCCACACATTTGCCATATTAATCTTGGTTAGTGCTGTATAATGTCTCTGATAGGCGGCTAGCATTTATTCAATTACATTTCGCTTTTTCCTGTTCAGAATAACTTGGAAAAACTTGCATTCTAACTTCTAGAGGCCTTTCCATAGATCTGAGCTGTAAATTGGTCTGGCAGTATCACCTGCTTGTTTCAACAGACAGCATCTGCGTGTCCACTATTTTCTTTTAATACTGAAGTAAAAAAAATGTATTTCAGAAAAGACAATGACATTTGTACCAGTTTTTGCTTCATGTGTCTAAACATTAATTCTTTAGTTGTATTTAAAGTGCTCATATTACCCAATTTCCTGATCTATGTTATAATGTTAATCAAAAACATACATGGAGTTGTGTTTCATTCCCACATATTTAGGCTGAGCTGTGAACTGAAGGTAAAAGGTAGCTGGTAAATACCACTACATGACATCACAAGGTGGAACTGAACATTTTGAGCTTTGGAGATGTAGACAGAGTAATAATAAAGGGTCACTCAAACTTGTGTGAATGAAAAAAACACAACTCCGGGTCTGTTTTTGATGAAGAAAGAACATTAGAACATGGCTTAATGCTCACGAGAGTCAAGTTTGCGCAATATTTAGGACTTTTAATGCTTATTTTTTAGTTATTTGAGTAGTTATAAAAATACAGGAATACATTTTTAGTAATATATGTTAAGGTTTTCTATTAGAAATGAAGTACACAAGTCCAAATGAGCGGGTTACTGAGATGTAGAATGCAAATAGTGTAGTTTGACAGATGCAGAGTGAGATGACACTGCTGTAAAAATAGACCGGGTGTCAACGTTCGCAGCAGCAGCAGAGGATTGTGGGTAATGTGTGTGCTCGTGTATGTGTTTGTGTGTCGGTTGGGGGGTGATAATAACCTGGGAGAGTCGGGGGCAGGTCTGGCGCAGGCTGTGATTGGCTGGAGCAGAGACAGAGCCATGACACAACAGCCCAGGTACGGATGGACGCCTGCACGCTGGAAACACACAGACAGACGGAGAGACAGAATGTGAGAAAACAGAGTTTTAAAAAAGGAATTGGACTAACTCTATGTCAGCTTTTGTTTCATGTCGATAGGCCTAGTAATTACAGAGATATTAAAGGGCCCATATTGCACTGTTTTCTGATCTCTGTCGAATAATTTGGATAATGAGGAGCTGTTAACGTGAAAACTATCGCCCCATGGCATCTAGATATCCATACAGACTAATAATAAAGGGTTACTCAAACACGTGTGAATGAAATAAAACACAAAAACACAACTCCTGGTATGTTTTTGAGGAGGTAACAACATTCTAACATGGCTTAAAGTTCACAAGAGTCAATTTTGTGTATTAGGGGACCTTTAACCATAAACAAGTTCAACAAATCTGCATTTTGAAGACAATTTCTCCCAATTCCAACCTGCCCTCTGCCCTCTGTGAAGCTATTAGCAAATTCAAATGCAAATAAACAACTACATTTAAAACTGAATAAACATTAGGACTCTAGGACTGATAAATGTTTTTGAACCTTGTGTGAGGAGTGTGTACGATAGGGACACACATTTTGAAAATTCCTCTGAACCTACTTAATTTAATAATTAAAAAAAAAAAAAAAATCATAAAAGAAACATACTGATTTAATTGAATGAGCTCTAGCACCATCTGCTGGTCATCTTTTGAATAGTAGTATTACCAATAGTCCCTTCTCTGACTAATCTATTGAAATCAATAATGCACATTTGATTTTCAGTTATGGCTAGTCTAATATTTTGTATTGTAAAGATGTAGTATTGAATGAAGCTCATGTTACTATAATTGTTGTAAATTCCCTTCTTTAGCACCATGGTGACACTGTTACTGCTAGACTAACTCATGGATCTATTAAAATAACTGCTCTGGCTTTAGATAATTTCGCTTAACCCAGATGTGTCCAACCTTTTTCCTCCAGTGAGCTACTTTTACAAAATGAAAAATGCCAGAGAGCTACTAATTTTAGTGGTCAAAAGAAATTTAGTATATAAGAGCCACGGCAAGTCTTAGATGAGGTGCATTTAGACGCCTATAAAACATAAACCATTATCCATTTATGAGTACACAAAGTTAGAAATCAAAATGAGACATGTACAACGGTAAAAGACATTACATTAATCAAATTTTAGTTATTCAGCACAATACATGTAATTCAGAAATCCCTTGGCGAGCTACTTGGAAGGGGGTGGAGAGCTTCTGGTTGCTCCCGAGCTACAGGTTGGAGACCTCTGCCTTAACCTATCAAAGTCTGCATCTATGATAGAGATAACCAGATAAAAGGATAGTTCAGATGAAAGGATAGACAGACACAGCTTAACTGAAGACAGGACATTAAAGCTTCCGAAATACATTCTTGTGTCCACATTTACTCTCTGACTGGAGTATTGTTTGGATGAAGCGTCCCAGTACAAGTATACAGTCCTCCCTTGCCATCTCCAACAATAATGGCATGATCTGAATGCATGTTAAAGGTGCACTATGTAACTTTTCTGGTGAGAAGTGGGCCAACGGCTTGTCTGTGGAGGGACGAGCCTGCTCACAGTGAGAACATGTTTGAGTAATCCTGTATTATTACCAGAGGTGGGGACTTGCAAGTCGTGACTTGGACTTGAGTCAGACTTGAGTCACTGTTTTTAGGATTTGAGTTTTTAGGATTTTAAAATCGACTAAGACTTGGGACTCGACTTGGACTTGAAGGTCAGTGACTTGGGACTTGAGTCGGACTTGAGGCCTGTGACTTGAGAAGACTTGAGAAGCACTTTTAAATCTGAATTCTTTCTATTCTGACTGTAATGATTCACTCTAAGATCTTGTCAAAACATTTAAAGAGGAAAAATTGACATTTCTACAACTTTAATATAGTCTATAAATACTCTATAAATATACTATGATTTTTTTTAAGTACAATTTAGTTTAAAATTCATATAAATTACTTTGGTTTAAAGACTTGAAATGACTTGAAGCTCAAAGCAGACAACTTGACTTGGACTTATAGGCCAGTGACTTGAGACTCAACTTGGACTTGCCTGTATTTGACTTGGGACTTGACTCGAACTTGAGGTCAAAAACTTGAGACTTACTTGAGACATGGTCCCACCTCTGAATATGAGTATGTCTACATCTCCAAAGCTCAAAATGCTCTTTTCTAATTTGTGATGGCATGAAGCGGTAGTTTTCAAGTTAACATCTCCCTTTTACCTTTAGTTGAGTAAATATTGACAATTTCAGAGCTGAACCTTTCCAAAAGATTCTAGTGAAGGTGTGGGGAGTTAAAAAACACAGTGAGCACTTTCTGTATTACCACATCACATCACAAGGCTTCTTCAGCCTAAATCTTCAACCTAAATCTGCAGGTTTGTGTGTTAAATATGTGTGAATGAAACAAAACACAACCCCAGGTCTGTTTGTGATGAAGAAACTACATTATAACTATAAAAAATCAGTCCTGTTATTAGAGTATTGAGTATGCATACCTTGCTCCACCCTCTCCGATAGAAAAAAGGCAGACAGAACCCCACTGTGGTCAGGGCTACCGTCAGCACCATGAGGCCCCGGTGAACCTGCAACTCACAACACGGTCAGTACACTTTTACCTGTCACCTTTCACCTTGTCCAAGCGAGTGTTTACCTGGAACCACACCTTCTGACCCCACAGAGAGTGAGAGGCCCACTCGTTCTTATAGAAACTGGCGATAAATGTGCCGATACTTCCTGTAAGCATCCAGGCAAACAGCATCAAGGCTCCTGTACGAAACAAGACAGAAGTGCAAGTCAAAGGGAGGCAAAATATAGATACATCATTTTTTATTAGGGATGCACCATTAGCAGCTTTTTCTGTTGGTACTTATGTTAAAATTTTGGCCTTAAGTAACTGTTATTTATTATTTAAAGTAACAACAAAACAACTTTGAAAATATTACAAGGTGTTTTGAGCCAACATTGTCCGATAAAATATCGACCAAAATGGCATATGGACTGAACCAATCTCGTGAAACCAATATCAGATCCATCAAAATTTTAAATATCAGTGTCCCTAATATTGATAGGAATATTAATTGACCCAATATGCACACACAACAAAAAAAATTGGGACTACATTCTAAACCTAGAACTAAACCAGGACTAGATCTTGACCGGTCCTTCTTCAGCATATTCTGATTCTGGTTTAGTTATAGTACTACTAGTCACCATTTAAAATCTTGAAGTGGTCCATTGTCATAATATATTTAACAAATTATTAAAGGCACAGAATGTAACTTTCTGGTGGTGGCATATTACCTGCATGATTCCATGGAAATAGAAAGTTAAATCCATACTTTGAAACATTCTCCATGAAGATAGATATGTTTAAAGTTAGCGGGTACTGTTTTTTTATTTTTTTATTTAACCAGTCAATGCTATTTGGTTGTGACATATGTAATGCGCCAAATCCTGTAGAAAGAAAGGCAATAACGTCTTTCCCCTTGATAAAATTCACCAAACATTCTCTTTGTTCCGGCTTTAAATCCTCGATCTCGGGAATCGTTACCAACACAGAATGTCTGGCTTCGTCTACATCCATCTTGACCGCTTTTTTTACTTTGTTTAAGTGCGAGTTCGGGCACCAGACAATCAGCAACGAGCCATACATTCTGTGTTGGCAACGATTCTCGAGATCAAGGATTTAAAGCCGGGACAAAGAGAATATTTGGTGAATTTTATCAAAGGGAAAGACGTTATTGCCCTTCTTCATAGGGGATTTGGGAAAGGCTTAATATATGCTGCGAGGTCAGATGATGAATCAGGCTAGGTGGCGCCAGCTTGGCTAGAAGGTTACAGCAAAAGGAACAATATTTCCATGGAAACAGGCAAAGTCAGGTTTGTGGAGATGCAAGTAAAGATGCATGTTTTACTATGTTTTTTAGTGCATCAAAAACATAAAAAATGAAAATGTTACATACTGAGGCTTTAAGTATCATATCACATTTATTTTTTTCCCTATGTTGTGCCTTCTAACACATTTACACAAACATTTTACGTAGTTTTTTTGGAGTTACATTAAAATATACAAGGGAACTCCAGAGATGAGCGGTGGCGTGGAGTCAGAGTAAAGATTGAATTATGAAATTTGGTTATTCGTCATTTCTTATTTCTAATTTGAATGTTGATTTAATGCAAGCTGTATTTGGTCTTACACTCCATTACCCACCATGCACCTTGAGGAGGGTGGGCCCACGACTGCCCTGAAGCACAATGGGAGTCCCGGTCAGACGGACTCTGCGCTCTGACACCAAGGGCTGCTGGCTGTGTTTCCCCATGCGCCCTGAAACAGTCACATGACACAATCAGGGAAATAAGCTCTAGAAATCAAAGTATAAGTCACATGAGAAGTTGTGTTGTGTGTTCAATTTCACACAAGTGAAGTTGGACCCATTTGACCATCATACTTTTGGCCGCAGCAGCAGAGTCACCAGCCTCCTCAACCTCTACATCAGAGTTTAAAGCAACTGCATACAGCCTGTGCTCTTACAATTTTAAAGTGGAACTAAACACTACTTTTTTTTTTACTACTAAACTGTGTATTTGGTGTTTCAGTGTGTGCTGCCTTCAGTGGCCTCTGCAATTTCCAACAGTTGGTTACATCACACAGGACTGTCCTGATCACAGCCAGGTGTTTCTGATACAAACACCTGGCAGCAGGGGTGGAGTTTGAAGTGTGGATACCCCCCAGCTCTATTTGAAATATGGTTGAGGGTGAAGTTACTACAATCACAAGTGAGCCTGTGTTGCCAGAGCCTTAACCTGCAGATAGAGACACATATAAGTTTGTCTCATTCTCAGTATATGGACAGAACATGTCTCATGTGAAACCTCAGAACCTCCAGGATTCACTGACTGAGCTGCAGAGGCTGCACTAGCACTGTATCATGATGGGCAGAAGGTGCTGGGGTTTAGGTAGAGACCACTCAGATCAGAGAGAGGCATTTTAGGTTTAAACCATCTTCACTACTGTACCTACTGTCACCTGTATTAAAAGCATAAAAAAATGTCTTCAGAACCAAAACATCAAATTATAACACACAGAAATGGGACATTATGTATTTGTTATGAAGAATAAATCAACATTAAAGTTGTTATTGGTAAAAGTTATATTTGATTTGAGCATGGTGAACCTTGTATCTGGAGACACAATTAGGTCTATTTTATGACATTTACAATCAAACATATGACATTTACAATCAAAATCTTACATTCCTTTGACATTTACAATCAAAATCTTACATACAATTCCTTTGAAAGTCTTATATTACGCAAAATTGACTCTTGTGAGCTGTAAGTTGTTACCTCCTCAAAAACAGACCTGGAGTTGTGTGTTGTTTCATTCACATATTATTTATTATTAGTCTGTCCACATCTCCAAAGCTCAGAATGCCCTGTTCCGCCTTGTGATGTCATGTAGTGGTAGTTAACAGCTACCTTTTACCTTTAGTTCAGTAGAGATTGGCAATTGTTTTCAGTTTGAGAGATCAACTCAGCCTAAATATGCAGGTTTGTGTGTTAAACATGTGTGAATGAAACAAAACACAACTCCAGATAAGTCTGTAAGGAAGAAACAACATTACTATATAACATCAGATTAGAAAATAGGATAATCAGTAAGTGTAATTTGAAGACTCAGCTTGGCGGTAGTAATAAAAAGAAAAAAAATAGCCTGTAAAGATTTCATTAACCAGAAAATATGGCCGATTATATTGCTTTATGACTTCCACTTTAAGACTTCCTTTAAGCATAAAATTAAAAACCGCAAACACTGATAAGAGCTGAGGACAGGGAGTGAAGTGAGGTAAACGTGTAGGCTACCTTGGTAGGTGGGTCCACTGGCCACAAACACAAAGTACTCCTGCTCCAGATCAAAGCGCTCTGACTCCTGGTTGGGCGGTTTGACGAGGCGACTGAAGCGGCATTGGATGATTCCGTCACTGATCCTCCAGGAGACGGAGTGCAGACCTGACTACAAGAACACACAGGGACACTGATACAAGCTGTACTTTGAGATTACACCTTGAGCACATATTACGCTGTTTTCTGGTCTATGTTATAATGTTTCCTCATCACAAACAGACCTGGAGTTGTGTTTTGTTTCATTCACACACTTTTAACACACAAATCCTGCATATTTAGGCTGAGTTCTTCTCTCAAACAAAAGATTCTCTGCTCCACGTTGTGATTTCATGAGGTAATACAGGACACGCTCTATTGTGTTTTTAAACTCCATACACCTTCACTAAAATGATTGGGATAATTTCATCCCTGGAATTGCCAGTCTCTATTGAACTAAAGGTAAAACGTAACTAAACTACCAATTCATGATTCTGAAATTCTGATAGAAGGGCAGAAGATTACTAATATTAATCAGTTGAAATATCTAGGAATCACTCTGGACCCAAATATATGTTTTAAAAAGCACATTAAAACTAGGGGTGTCAAATTATCGCGTTAATTGCGATTAATTAATTACAGTCATATTTAGCGTGTTATGTTTTTTAATCGCGTTAATCTCATTTTTAATCTCTAACTTTACTGTTTCTGTATGCGAGTTGCTTTATTATAAAATCTGTTTTTATGTGTTGTTGGGACAACAACACACACACAAAAAAGAACACATTTATTTATTTATTTTTTTTCGGTAATTCCACTCATTGCCGGAAACCCACACAAAACGCGCACAGTAAGAGCGATGTAAACGTCATGTTAACGTTGGCGGCGTCAGTCACACAATGGACGAGGTCGAAGAGCCAGTAGAACAGAGGCAGCAGTGCACAGGTAAAAACACATTTGTGTCTTGGAAATTCTTCTCCCGACGTGAGATATAAAAGAAAATAACAAATACAAAATCGCCGACAACTTAAATGTCACTGGTGAAAACAACCTGCATAGGCTCATGTCTGCACTACTGTCCTATAGTGACCTGCCACATGAGGGGACACGCACACAACAAACACAAACACAAACACTCACAAACACAAACACAAACACACACCATCATCATCGTCATCAACCTGAGAACACGCGGATCACGTTTCCTTCCGTAGTTACTGCGCGGACACCGACGTGCTCCCGTGCGCCAAGTGTGGACCGTGTTTTCTCGCGTACGCTGCATAAACCGCACTTCCTCCTGTGCGCCTCTAAACCAGAACTAACGCCAAGACTAAACCCGGGACTAACCCAGTCCAGGACTAAACCAGATCTAAACCAGGACTAAACCAGGACTAAACCAGAACTAAAACCAGAACTAAAACCAGGTCTAAAACCAGTGATCTCATATATAAAGCATTTCTCTATCAGTAATATTTTTAATATGGTTAAGGACAGACTGGGCTTTTTATTGTCTTTAAACAGACAAAACATCTTATGTTCAGATTTCCTCGTCTTTGCTACTTTACAGCAAACAGTTTCTTATTCATGGAGACTTGGGCTCAACAGACAATTTGAAGAGAACAAACAAGAATTTGCAGGATGTGGTTGTAACATTCATGTACTTTTTAAAAAGCATGACAATATCAAGTAATCCAAAGTATTCAGATTATGTTAATCACTTTAAGTAATTAAATGGATTAAGTTACAAACTACATTTTGGGGTATGTAATCTGTAATCTGTAGTGGAATACATTTTATCTGTTAAAGTTTGTTAAACAATAAATTACTTTATAAAGTCACTTTTTTTTTGTTCTATATCAGTCTTTTGATCTGCCACAATAATGTAATAATGAATTTAAATGAAAATACCTCAAATTGAAGGCTTTTCTCAGTAATTTTTAGGTGAGATTAAAAAGAGATTAATTAGATTAATTAATTACAGATCATAATTAATTTAACTCTCAATTTTTTTAATCGCATGACAGCACTAATTAAAACATTAACAAATACCATAAAGTTCAACATGCCCAATTTCAGATACATCAGAAACTCTCAACTACTACTACTGAAGCATTATGTGCCCATCTAAATGCAATGATAATGCCACACTTTCTTTACTGCATAACAGGTTGGTCACAGGCTTGTAAATCAGCTCTGAGGCCTCTAAAAATATATATAACTATATATATAAGAGCTCTCAAGACCCATGACAAGAAAATTCGGCTATTCCACCACTGTCATATTCTTGTGAAACATAGCATTTTAAGTTTTGATGCAAATGTTTGTCTGCTGTTTAAGATAATTCGTGATGCTGCTGCTCCTCCGCTAAAACAGTTTGTTTTTCTGAGCTCTGAAACCACTTCCAGAGCCGCTCGATCCACTGTGTGCTGCGAGTGCAGGATCCCCAAAAGCAGGACAACATTTGGAAACTCAGTCTTTTCATGTGCAGCCTTCCGTCAGTGGAACATGTTACCAACAGAGCTGATCACATACATAAACTACGGCAAATTCTCACGCCTGGCGAAACAGTGCCTTATCTCAAACAAAACCTGCGCCCCGAAAGACGACAGGTGGAAATTAGGACTGGTGCTACAACCTGGTCCATGCATCTCTCCTTTTTAGGTTAATGTATATTGTGCACTGTCTCTGTCTCATAGAATAAATAAATTAAAACAAATAAATAAATAAATAAATAAGATGAGTGTTTTGAGCTTTGGAAATACAGACAGACTAATCAACCAGGATTACTCAAACATGGGTGAATGAAACAAAACACAACTCTGGGTGTGTTTTTGAGAAGGTAACAGCAGAATAGCATTGCTTAAAGGTGGACTATGTCACTTTTTGGTTGGGGGTCCGTCATCTGCTTGTTTCTACGGAGATGTCATTGCTCTACCTGAAATCTTCCACAGAATGACATTAAACAACTCTACTTTATATTTATTCAGGTGTCAAAAATACAGGCATTTTGACTGTGAGCGGGGTTGCCTCTCTTAATCACAAGGGAGTCCTGGCTTTATGGAGTCTTTTGAGCTATGCATGTACTTTAGTGTGTGTATGTGTGTACTGCAGAGTTTGTGTACTGCAGTGTGGGGTGTGTGCGTGTGTGTGTGTACTGCAGAGTTTGTGTACTGCAGTGTGGGGTGTGTGCGTGTGTGTACTGCAGAGTGTGTGTACTGCAGTGGCTGTGTGAGTGTCAGTTTCACCTGAGTCTCTTCCTCCGGGTATGTCCGTCCAGTCAAGATTGCTGCCTCCACAGACACTTGCCCATCTTCATTCACACACAGGTACGCATCGTCGTCACCCTGATAACACACACACAACGTTGGACTGTGTTCTTGTGTTCGAAATGTAATCAAGGGCCCACATTATTATATATTTTTGATCTATGTTATAATGTAGTTTCCTCATCACAAACACACTGTATTCACACGTTTAACACACAAACGCTGCTCATTTAGGCTCAAACATGTGTGAATGAAACAAAACACAACTCCAGATATGTTTTTTGATGAGGTAAGGACATTATAACATGACTTAAAACTCAATATAGGACCTTTAAGTGCATTTAGTAGAACTTGTATACATTTATACTGCCCAAAGTGGTGCACATTACCACACATGCATCACAAAATTCTAAAAGAGAATAGAGATGGACATTTACTGCTAACAAACCAAACAAAACCAAACAAATTCTAATCCGAAATTAAAAATAATTACATATAGATGTCATGGAAGTGTCTTTTTTTCTCACTAGTAGAGGAATTTGTATTCATTTATTTTAACTTCTACTGGTAATATTAATTAAAACATACATTATTCTGGAAAAAAAAAAAAAATAGACAGATACCTTCTTCAGATATAAGCAGTCAGAAAAGAAGGCAAACACGCAAAAATGGTTACAGGACAAACCTCCTACTATTTCCGACTGGGCTCAAATAATCAAAGAAATTTAGGTTATGGAACAAATAACATTTTCCTTGAGACACTTAAAGGATAAAGGAGGAGTGTACTGGAAAAAGTGGAACTCTTACAATCAAAACAAAGCCTAATTTTTATACATTTTTGCAGATGTCACTTGATAGCCTCCTATTTTATTTTTATTTTTAATAATTTTTTGTAAAAATAGGATATACAAAACTAAAATGTTCTAATAAAAATAAAGTAAAAAACAAAACAAAACATACTCTTATTCTCTCATACTCGTATTCTTGGTTACTATGTCCATGTATTGTCTGTGTATGTAGAAATGTGTTCTGCATTTGACCCGTTCTTCAGTGCCACTGTCGTATTATTACAGGATTTATATAAAACAGCCGACCTCCACATTTCTCCGAGTGTGGAGTGAATGAATAATGCAGTGTAAAGCGCTTTGGGTGTTGAAAGGCGCGATATAACACCAATGATTAATCAATAATTAATCAATGAATTACTATCTATGACATCACAATCCTAGAAAATGTGAAACCGAGTATTTGGTTACTGTTCAGAGGGAGCGGACCTACTGCACTGCACAAGATAAGCATGAATGAAGCTCAATACGAAATGTGAACCCAGATATGTTTTTGATTAGGGATATGGGTTAAAACATGTGGTTAAATGTCTCAAAATCTGTATGTATACAGTCATGCAGTCTTACCATCCACGTGTCCCAGGAGAGGGCGAAGGCGATGTACCCTTTGGTTGGCCCACTCAGCTCAAACACTACAGACTGACAGAAAAATTTCAACATGAGTCCTTACATCGTACTGCAATACTGCGCTGTGTAGCAGAGTCCTGCACCGGGTCGGGTATCCACAAATAGTTGCTGAAATGGGCGGGTTTTGATGTTCAGGAATTTTACGCTAGGGTATGTGGGCGGGTAGTGATTACACACGAGCGCGTCAGGTGAATCAAATCAACGACAAATGGGACTTGACGTGCATCTAGGACATCCATTTCCCTGGAAACAAGTGCCATTTCCCGGTCTTTTCCCAGAAAGATGGACCAGGCTAAGAGAGACTTTAGTGTATTTATTACATAAATCATCAGCAGAGGAGATCGGCTCGCCGGCTGCATTCCTGGTTTAGACCTAGTCAAGTTCTGGTTCAGTCCTGGTGTAGTCCTGGTGATTGTTTTGGAGGTTGTGGCATGCATATATTTCTGCTACTAACACTGGTTTAGTTCTGATTCAGACCTGGTACAGTCCTGGTTTAGTCCTGGTTTACAACCAATCCAGTCCTGGTATAGTCCTGGCAATTGGTTTGGTGGTTGCGGTGTGTATATACTTATACTAATGACACTGGTTTAGTCCTGGCTCATTCCTGCAGTCCTGGTTCAGTCCTGGTTCAGTCCTGGTGTAGTCCTGGCGATCGACTGTGCGTTCGTGGCGTATATATATTTATAATCAGCTAATGACACGGCGTAGGTTCAGTCCTGGTTTAGTCCTGGACTATTGGGCTGTTGGACTAGTGGGCTGACCCTGATTTATCACAGGCACGGGCGGGTGGAATGTTAATGGGTCCGGGCGGGATACGTTTACGGATTTGGGTACAGGTGTGGTGCTGTACTGTGTGGGTGCGGATATCTAAAAATGGACTCGTGCAGGACTCTGCTGTGTAGTTGAAAGTACTTATACTGTAATACTGTAAGAGTACCTGTTGCTCTGGAGGCCCTTGGGTGGTAGCGGACAGGTAGAAACAGTCGGGGTGGTGAGTGGGGTCACAACCAGGCGGGTCCAGGAGGCAGGACTTAGACAGGCCACACCCCTCTGAGCTGAACTGGACACAGAATCACCAACACTGATTTACATTTACATAGACATATTATAATTTGTTGTCATTCAGAGCTAAATGAAGTCTTATGTCCAGAATTTCGGACTGTCTCTTAAAAGGCTCTTCTTATATACAAGTCTCTCCATGGCCGAGCACCAAAGTACATCTCTGACATGTTAGTGCCACATGAACCATCTCACACTCTGAGGAGCTCAGGGACCGGCCTCCTGCTGGTGCCCAGAATCAGGACTAAACACAAGGACTCAGCATTTCAGATTCATGCAGCTAAAACCTGGAACAGTCTTCCTGAGCATGTGAGACAGGCCTCTACTTTGACCCTGTTTAAATCCAGGCTCAAAACGGTTCTGTTTAGCTGCAAATGACAGACAGGTTTCATTTTTTATTCCACACTCTTCTCTAGAATTTAATATCTCTCTCCTTTTTAATTTTATGATGATTATTTATGTTTTGATTTGTTTTATTGTGATTTTCATGTATTTCTTACCATTTAAAAGTGGTTAAAAATATAAATATATATATATGAACGGTTAACACTCTTTTTGTTGACATTTCAGAACTTGTGTGTGTCTGCTGAACATCTAGTGACACTACAGCTGCTCTTTTACATGTAACTGTCAAGAGAACAGACACATGACACACATGACATACCAAAAAAGTTACACAGCGTATCTTTAAGATCTTTAAATAGTATCTTGGTATTTCACTTGGCATGTTAAGTACAAAATGATGTAGTATTTGAGTTTGAGGTTAATATTATACCATGGTCGATGACAGGAACAAGCCGTTTTCGTAGAAGCTTCACAGTCTTGTGTATATGAATGACTTACAGGACCAGGCGGGACGGAGGAGGTGGGCTCTGGAGGCGGGGCTGAGGACGGCGTCGGCGCAGGGGGGCGGGGCGTCGCTCCGTGCTGCGTGATGATTGGTCCAGGGACTTTGACCCAGTACGTGTCATACTGTCGGACTACAGTGACACTGAAAGATAGAATAAAAAAAATAATAAGTAATGAAAATAAAATGTCTGTAAAGCGTTTCATTGTCAGAAAGAGCTCAGTTAGCATGCTAGTTGTTGTTAATATTACAATGACAGCAAAACTACAGTCACAGCAAAACGTTTCAAATGGACTAATTCTGTTTTTCATGTTTAAAATTTTTTTTATTTTTTTTTAAGTGACGTCACGCTGGGTGTTCTACATGTGTCTCTAATGGTGAAATGTTTAGTAATTACCATGGTGACACTATGCACACATTAGCAAATAGAGTCACAAATCTTTTAAGATCTGTCTGAAAACCCGACAAAAAATACTAAATGGATTAAAGAGCACGTTTTAAAGAGGCTGTGATCAATACGAGCTTTCATGGTCCTGTTTAGGAGTGAAAAATTGTAGCTCCTGTTGTAGTTCCAGCTAAATCTGTTCTTTATAGTCATATTGTGTTAAAATAAAGCTCAGATTAAACTCTAACGGAAGGGAACGTTGATCACATCAGCTGCAAAGTATCAATAGACTGTGTACTCACAAGAATTGGACTTGTGCGGGGGGGTTAGCAGGGGCTCTCCAGATCACTCGGACCTGACTCTTGCGGGAGCTGCTGGTGTGACTGACCGCAGAGCCCTGAGGAACAGACACAGAAATATTATTACACCTGCGACACTTTGTATGTACTGCACCAGTGTTTCCCAAACTTTTTTTCTGGGGACCTATATTTTAAAAGTCACAAACCTTTGCAACCCAAGTCAATAGACATTATTCGAAAATCTCAAAATAAAGGTGGATCTGACCATTATTGAACATTAATGAGGATATTTTATTGTTGACTGAGTGATCGCGTCTCTCTGAACAATTACTTTTACTCAAGTTTTAAACAATGAAAAACAGAATCCATAAGTCGCCTATTTGGACATTAAATGTAGCCCATTTCTTTTTCTTTTCAACATTCAACTGAACAAGCAATATTGGAACAAAATAGTCAATAAAATATTTACAAAAAGATTAGGAATTATACTAAACATGTCTTAACATTTCAACATTTCTAATGAGATAGGTGGACCTGTCTATGTTTTTGTAGCACGTTCTAGTCTGGGGAGCAGGAGGAAAGCACAGCAGCAGATCAGACACAGCATTCAGTTTGTTTTTCTACTTTGTCTTTATTTTTGTGAGCAAAGAAAATCTCATGTGGCAAACCTACATGCAGATCATGACAAGGCGATCCAAAATAATCTCCTGCGATCCAGGTTGTGACTCAGTCTTTGGGAAACAATGTATGACATTGTTGGCGTGTGCACTGATTCACAAACTTTTGTCCTTGAATTTGTGGTATATTTTGTATAATCACCAATATGTTACAACACTCAAATTCATGGGTTTATGGCATAACTATTACTTTCTGATATTAAAGATTTGGCATGGCAAAGGTCCTCAAAAAGGTCTTCACAAAATCCTTCAAATCAGGAAAGAATCATTTGCCTGAAACACATGAATATTGTGAGTTTTCAGTTCTAGGATTGATACTTTGCAATGAATCATGTCAAGGTTTTAAGATATCTGAAAACTCAAGAAAAGTACAAAATGGATTTAAACACCAAATTTTCAGGAGTCTGTGATCAATACAAGTACAGAGGACAGATATGGATATGAAGATTTGCAGCCCAAATTCAGGATTATGTTTAAATAATTCTAGAAATCAATAAGTTTTACATGGAAAACAGCTCTGGCCAAACCCACAGACAATATTTTTCATCCGCTCTTAAAACGCCGCCTAATTCCTTGAGTAACAGGGCATCAGACAGAGCAGTGCCTACAGTTAGTATCATCACACACCTAGAGAATGTTAATGATATCAGATGCAAAGTATCAATAGGGGTGCATATAAGACATAGACTGACGATGGCATGTTTTGTTTTGTCATTTCTGACCACGTTTGAGGAACAGTCACACATGACGATCAGGAAGTGCACTGAAGCAGGGACTTTCCAATGGCCCAGAAGATATCCATACTCTGGAAACATTTACTAATTTTATCACACTGCTGATTTTAAAGCTCCTGTATTACAAAAAACAGACTCTTGTGAGCTTTATGCCATGTTAGAATGTTGTTACCTCCTCAAAAACATACCCAGAGTTGATTTTGTTTCATTCACGCATGTTTGAGTAACTCTTTATTATTAGTCTGTCTACATCTCCAAAAAAAAAAAGCTCCGTTCCACCTTGTGATGTCATGAAGTGGTAGTTTTAGCTAGTTTACTACTACTAAAATACTTAAATAAAAGGCATCGATACTAAAAAGTCACATTCACAGGACAGAAATGAACCTTTCCTGAATCACTTTAGAATGATCTTGAGTTGTATCAGAGCAAGTATAAGAGCACATAGACTAGTAACGCCCATGGACCACTGTGGAACCTACCTGGTCCATTGAGGGATTATACAGATACAGGGCCAAATTGAGTTTATTCTTTAATATCGAAATCAAATTTGAAATGTTAGTATCGTGACAACACTGACTCTTGCTCAGAAATGTGTTGGTGTTTGCAGTTTCCTCTGACCTGGAGCTTGTAGCAGGAGAGCAGCTGAGTGGAGTGTCGGTCTGTGAGGCTGAAGGAGCCCACAACAGAGGGGGTGCTGTGGGCAGGGTCCCGCGCCTGGAGGAGGAAGCCCTCAAACACCTGCCCTGACAGACTCACTGCACAAACACAGAGCAATCACACGGGGTTTAACATGAACATGGGCCTATCACATTCATGTTACACTTATTTCACATGGTAGAACTCCTGGGGAGAGCCCAAATTTGGAGGATTGATTCCCACTTGGATCAAATTCTGCTGTTGTGTCAAGAGACATCTCACCCACATTGCCTAGTAAAAATGTGGTGTGTTTTTTGAGTATCCTGGTTTTGTGACTGTCTATGTACACACCGTTTCCTGATGTCAGTCTCCTGGATGAGCCTGTGTCCCAGTGATGAGAAACCAGGATCCTCTTACTGGGACATTCTGATAGGATTCATGATACTGTGGGATAGACGCAGTATCTGGATTTCTCAAAACTGGTGCCCTACTGAGCATGTGCAAACTGAAGGAGCAGAAGCTTTCCCAAAATGAATCAAAATACTACCTGGACTTTTAAAGTCTTATTATTTTAGACTTATAAACAAACAAAACAGTCTACTGTTTCATATAATCACCTATTAACACCAGGCTCACTGCTGTGGATGTTGCTCTTGAACTAAACTGACGTTGTGGTTATTTCCAGGTGAATAACTCCCTTTACTAATACTATGATGGACACATTCGTATGTTCTTTTTCAAATATACTGTATATCATCTGTCTTTGTTGTTAGAAACCTCCCTGGGGAGATGTTCATGTCCCACCAGTAGGAGGCCCCAGGGAAGAAACAGGACACATTGGAGGGACCTTGTTTCTCGGCTGGCCTGGGAACGCTGCAGAAAGTGTGTGGGGTGAGGGGGGTCTGGGAGTGCCTGCTTAGACTGCTGTCCCCATGACCTGGCCCCCTGATAAAAGGAAGGGCTGAAATTTAGCCCTGCTGATGGTGCGGATTGGCTGCCTTGCTTCCATCTCTCTGTCCCAGGGCAGGTGTGGCTCACCACCAGCAAGTGTGGCGTGAATGAATAATGAGTTCACTGTAGTGCTTTGAGAGGCTTTATAGTGTGTTCTCAAATATTCTATGTGAGAATGTGCCTGATCCACCCCTACTGATATGAAACAAAAACTCCTCCATAGTGTCTGTGTGACAGTGACTGCACCTTCCACGTGGTCCCCCGGGCTGAAGCTGGACGTGTTGGTCTGGAGGACATAGGGGCTGGGGCTGGTCTGACCCTGACTGTGGTGGTGGGGCTCCATGCTGCTGCAGGCTTTGGTCACTTTTCCGTTGGCATAGGGCCACACAGGAGGACACAGGGACAGGAGGAGGAGGAGGAGGAGACAGGAGGGGGCCCAATGTGACATCTGTGGGGTCAAATGTATAGATTTATGTTAATGTTGTTCGTTCATCACAAACATACCTGGAGTTGTGTTTTGCTTCATTCACAAATGTTTAACACACTGCATAATTAGGCTGAGTTCTTCTCTCAAACAGAAAACACTCTGCTCCACCTTGTGATAATATTTAGTTTGTATTGTGGATTGTATCTGACATGTAAAACAAGAAAATCAAGTAAACAATAGTTACCAGCGTAGCTAAAGAAGAGAACTGAACCTTTCTTTCTGTCCTTAGATAGCATGTTTCTGAGTCTGTGTGTTGAGGAAATAATTATTGTGATGCAAAAAATAGCTCAATTTGTCTGTTGTGCTTTCCATAGTTCTGCCACATTGTGTGTTAAAAGGACCATATCATGCTATTTTCTGATCTCTGTTATAATATCCTCATCACAACCAGACCTGTAGTTGTGTTTTGTTTCATTCAGTTGTGATTCTCTCTTTTTTTAAAACTATCAGAGGATAGGCTACATACAGTTCCTTTAAAGCACAGGAGCATGTGATATTTTGTAATATTGTGCTATTACTATGTCCCCATTTTTCACAGTAGAATTATCACAATATAAACACACGTTCTTTAATTATGAAACAAAAGCAAAACTAACCAGTATTGGATGAAGTACTCATTTTTGTTACTTAAGTAAACGCACAGATACTGGAGCAAAAAATACTCAAGTAAAAGCAAAAATATCACATGAGAAAATCAGCTTGAGTACTAGTACACGTTAAAGAGTAAAAAGTAAAATTATTTTGCGCAGCTTTTTAGATCTAATAATGCTTCATTGAGTTTACATGCACATCAGTGTCCCGGTTATAATCAGGTTTTTTTGACTATCCCGGTTTCGTCATGGTGCATGTAGACATAGTATCCCGGTTTCAGTATCCCGGTTATGGCAGTATCCCTGTTATTAGAAACCGGGATACTGGAGCTGGTATATTCCGATAGTAACCGGGATACTGTGGCATGTATACACAGTATCTCGGTTACTTCAACATAAAGTTGAGTGCGCATGCGTCCAAAAGACATACCCGTTTCAGTCTTTTCATCAAAACAGTAGCAACATAAATAAAGTGACCAACATAAATAAAGTGACCACACGAGATGAAATGACTGTAAAACAAAAAGCTGCGCTAAACCTGCACACTAATCTGCACTCGTATGACCTGCACACGTATATTCCACTGAGTCGTATCTTTTAGTGACACAAGGAGCAAGCTGTTTTTGTCAATGCTAACAGTTTATCCAAATGAGCCCTGCAGTCTTAAGTTTCGTTTCTGGAAAAAGTAAACAAATGTGGCAAAGCTGAATTATATTATCAAACCTGCTGATGTGGTTATGGTTTATCTGTTATTTATGCAGAAGATTTCAATTAAAAACTCTGCTGGAGTTTTTTGTTTTGATCTGTGCAGTGGATTGTGGGATATCTCATAACTCCTTAACGCTGGTTAAACCTCCCGATCTTCCTATGCTAAAGGAGCTCATGATTGTTTGTATTTTTCCTGGTTTATTAAGTTAAATTAAGTAAATTTTTGCGCTTGCGCATTTGTAAGATTATGTGAACCCGGGATACTCCATTTGGTCATGTATACACGAATATGAGTATTCCGGTTTCTCAGGCCGCATGTATCCCGAATACTGACATAACCAGGATATGGATAATAACCGGGATACTGATGTGCATGAATACGCACTCAATGTTGTGATTTAAACAACTGAATCAGCAGTTTCATTCCAGCTGTTTTATTTGTTTTGCTAATTATAAACCCTCATTCTTCAGCAGGTCTCACACTATAATAAAAAACACTTTTACTTTTCAGTCCTGTTCAAAAATGTAGTGGAGTAGAAAGATTTTTTTTTTAACTTAAGTACAGTATTTTACTACTTTTACTTTGTTAGATTCCACAACTGAAATTAACCACTGATTCTTTGCAATAAACAGAACTACTTGGACATAATAATAGAAAATGCTACGTCCTATAGGAGGTCTAAATATACACAGAACCTTGGGACATGAGTCAGACAGTGAGTAACACGGGTTTAGCCACAATCCGTTATTATAGGTGTGATTTTGACATGACTGTACTAGACTACCACTTATTGTATTACATGAATCCAGCTAAATATTACTGATATTCAACTTTCAATAGCGTCTTGTGAGCTTTAAGCCTTGTTATAATGTCGTTAGCTCCTCAAAAACAAACCTGGAGTTGTGTTTTGTTTCATTCACACATGTTTGAGTAACACTTTATGTATTATTAGTCTGGTGCAACAGTGTTTTCAGTTTGAGAGCAGAACTAAATGTGCAGGGTTTGTGTGTTAAACATGTGAATGAAACAAAACACAACTCCAGGTCTGTTTGTGATGAGGAAACAACATTATAACAGATCAGAAAATAGTGTAATATGGTCCGTTTAAGCTTTTAAACTTTTATAATGTTGTTTCCTCATTACAAATTTTGAAACTAGGACAAGTCTCCGGCTGTATTTGATCATATTTGAAGCTTCTGTCCTATAATTATAAACCATAAAAGTGTAGCCTGACTGACCCTGGGCTTAAAAAGTGATAAGAGACATTATTGACAGCATACAGTAAACATAAGTAAGCATATTTAAAGTATAAATGACAATTAAGGTACTCACTTCACTAAAACTACGGTAATTCATTTTAAAATGTTACCAAAAAACTTAATCTGTTTTTAGAGGGTTTTTTTTACATCCTAGTTGGACATCATTATGTGTATTATGTTAAGTAAAGGTTTAAACTGTCGACAAAATGCTTCTTTGTGCATAAATTGTCTCCAGTTTGGATGGAATTTCCCTTGTTGATAACATACGTAGAGGTATATTTTTCTTCTCAGCTTTTTCTGTGATGAATGATTCCATGGAAATAGAAAGTTAAAGGTCTTATATTACGCAAAATGTACTCTTGTGAGTCATGTTATAATGTTGTTACCTCATCAAAAACAGACCTGGAGTTGTGTTTTGTTTCATTCACACATGTTTGAGTAATCCTTTATTTTGAGTCTGTCTACATCTCCAAATCTCAAAATGATCTGTTAACAGCTCCTTTTACTTTTAATTCAGTAGAGATTCCATTCCAGGGCTGAAATGATCCAACTAATTCTGAGAAGAACCACGGGAATGAAACAAAACACAACTCCAGGTATGTTTTTGATGAGAAAGCATAAAAAACATATAACATAGATCAGAAAATAGCATAATATGGGCCATTTAAAAATATTCTCCATAAAGATAGACAAATTTTATGCCCAAATGTGCAATATTATAGTCAAAGGAACAACATTTCCATGGAAGCAGGCCAAACAAGAGTCAGGTTTGTGGAAATGCAAGCCCACTCACAGTAAGGGCGCATATGAATTCCAGTAAAATAAATATAAGACTTCTATTTATCTATTTATCTATCTACTTCTATTTTTGGGCAAAAAGAGAAGCTAAAAACTGTAGCTTCAACTCACCAAGCAAAACTAATAAACTAATAATTGTAATGAAGAAGGCACAAAAGTTTATTGTTTATGATCCAAACAAAGCAGTAATTGGAAAAAAAATACACCTGTCACATGCACTTTAAAGGTCCTCTATTACACTAAACTGACTATTGTTTAAGTTATAATGTTGATACCTCCTCAAAAACATAACTTGGACTTGTGTTTTGCTTCATTCACACATGAGTAACCCTTTAATATTAGTCTACATCCTCAAATCAAAATGCCATGTTCCACCTTGTGATGTCATGAAGCCGTAGGTAGTTTTCAAGTTAACAGCTCCTTTTACCTTTAGTTCAGTAGAGATTCGCAATTCCAGGGCTGAAATTATCCAACTCATTCTGAGAAGAATTGGGTGAATGAAACAAAACACAACTCCAGGTATGTTTGTGATAATGAAGAAGCATATACAACATATAATATAGATCAGAAAATAGTGTAATATGGGCCCTTTAAAAACATACTTCCAAACACAATATTATAGCCAAAGGAACAACATTTCCAGGGAAACAAGCAGACCAAATAAGAGTCAGGTTTGTGGAAATGCAAACCCACTCACAGTAAGGGCGCATATAAATTCCAGTAAAATAGAAATAAGATACTTCTGTTTTTTGGCAAAAAGTTACACATTGTAGCTTAAACTCACCAAATAAAGCAGAAATAAAAAAACAACAAAAAAAAACACCTTTTGTATGCACTTTAAAGGTCCTATATTACACTAAACTGACTCTTGTGAGCTTTAATTCATGTTATAATCTTGTTACCTCCTCAAAAACATAACTTGGAGGTGTTTTTAGTGCAGTAGAGACTGGCAATTCCTGGTGTGAAATTTTCCAAAATAATCTGTGAAGGCGTGTGTTTAAAAACACAGTGGAGCATTTTCTGTCTTAGCACCTGACATCACAAATTGGAACAGAGTTTATTCAGTTTGAGAGAAGAACTAAATATGCCTAAATACGCAGGGTTTGCATGTTAAACATGTGTGAATGAAACAAAACACAACTCTGTTTGTGACGAGGAAACGACATTATAACAGATCAGAAAATAGCGTAATCTCTGATCTTTAATTGTCATTGTAGTGATCGTACTCACCATGTCAGAAGAGGAACCTGCTTGTAGCTCATGTCCCAGCACTTCCACTGCGTCTGCCTCTGTGTACTCCTCTCATACTGGAGCGAGGGGGGTGTGGTTTGAGTTTGAGGCGTGGCCAGACTTTATCAGAGAAACACAGGGTCAAGACACTACCATAAAAGTTTATCTGTTGGAGGGAGAATGCATCAAGGTACACACAGATGATAAAATTATTAATGAATTAACATGAGGTTTTGTATTCAGAAAATAGCTCTTAAAAGACCATTTATTAAAAAAATTATTGCTATGTACCTCTAGCTGGTTCATTTACAGACACTAGAAAACTTGAGTAATTCTGACTGCTGTATAAAGTTGAATTCAACCAAAGTAAAACCACTAAAAAATATTTAAAAATAGATACATTTAAACTCAATTTCTTTTTCAATTTTATTATTGTCAGAAATTATCACAAAAATCAAATAGGAGAAAATTTTTCTTAAGTATAGCCACAATGAAATTTTACATTGGTTATTTGACATGGACAATGTGAGAGTCTTGTGAAGTGAAGCGTCTTGCTCAAGGACACAACTTAACTGTAGCTATTTGTGGGTTTGAACCACAGACCCTTACGTTATTGGGTACACAACTAACTCACTGCGCCACAGTTGCCACACTCAGCTTCCTTGTAGAAAACATTTAAAAAGCAGGAAAAACTACTACGGTTTAAAGTTTAAATCAGGTTAAAAATACTTTTATATTCTACTTAACATTGTGCCTTGAATTTTTACTAAAATTAAGGCACAAAGTTAACCCTGTTACAGCTCAAATTACAGCCGGTTAATGTAATTTATATTTCAAAACGCTCAAATGGAAGTGATTAAAAAGTGACACAAATAAATCCATTGTTTTAGTCTTGATGTAGACCTGCTGACATTCTGTTACATGTGATGTGTAGTTAGAAGAGGTTAAAGTTGTTGTACAGTGTTTTTTTCTGTTAAAATTTAAACTTAAATGAATTCACAAGATCTGGAGTATAGAGTCACTGCACTGTGTTTATCTAGTGCTCCTCAGGTCACCTCAGGACCAGTCCAGGATCTGACATGCCCCAAATGTAAACTTTTAACTTTATCGCCCTCTGTTGGTAGAGTCTGGTATGGTATAAAATGTAATCCCTTTTTCTGTAACCCCTGCTGTCAGGCTCCTCAATTTGGTCTTAAAATGTTCGTATTAACCCACTCTACATGATTCTGGTGTTTTTATTTAGCTATTTTTTTTCTGTAACTCAATTCCTATTCCTAATATGGAACTCGACTCCATGAGAGTAGTCAAAAAATGTACTCAAGTTGTGAGATATGCTATAATAAAGTAAACTATAAAGTAAAACTAGTGACTACCTATCAGTGCCACTTGAAAGTACACAAAGAAGAAACACAAAAATAGACCTTGATAAGAAATCCACTTTTAATGCGAAGACCTCCGGATGGGATGGACCACTGGCTCTGGGTCTGGGTCTAGCCAGTCCTCCGGGTCTCCTGCAGCTGCAGTGGGGGCATGTGTCTGATGACCAAAAGGGGGTCCTCCTCTCTCTGATCACACCAACACAACGCACATCCTCCATCCCAGTGCGCTATCACATAACCAGACAAGATGCAGGGTTTAAAGGAAGTGTATGTAGCTTGTGTTTTTAAAAAGTTACAAGAATCACAAATCTACAGTATGTGGCTGGAGACACATACAAGTTTGTCTCATTTTCAGTACATGCCTCACGTGAAAGCTCAGAAACTCCCCGAAAAACGTAATATGGGATCTTTAAATTATCATTACACTCAGTTGTGTTACAATCATTATCAGTAAAAACTATTTTTGATTTGAACATTCTTAGCTACCGCGTATCCAGGGACCAGTTCACAGAGAGCCAAAATTAAAAACTGGGACTAAGTCATGGGTTAAACTAAATATTTATTGAAAAATTTCAACAACATCGGCATGTTTTTCTTATTTCGAGATATGTAATGCTAAACCTTTTCTTATTAAAATAAATGTTTAATAATAGTTTGGTTAAACACTGAATTCAGAACAAGCATAATATAAAATAATAAGAAAATGTTAAATAAATAATGTCTCTATATCTGTAGCCAGTGGGTCAGCTCTGAAACATATTTGATATATAATGCCATATATAATTATATCGCAGACCAAATTTGGCCTATGGGCCTGAGTCTGACATGTCTCAGTTAGGTGATGTCACATTGAGTTTAAAAATCTAAATCGTACATACTGTCCCTTTACCATCAGACCTAGGCATTGTCTTACCTGTGGATGGAGCAGAGTGGGGTCCAGTGTAGAGCGACAAGTGGCCAGCGCGTGACGTACTGCTCAGGTCAGTAGATAAAGCCATCACTGAAAAAAATGATCAACCTCCAAAAAATCAAACTGTAACATTAACAGCAACAGCAGGTTCAGAGGATATAAACACTTCTTAGCATTTATGAATAGTTTAGTGCAACTTTTCATATCTCCTGCATATCTGACAGGGACTCTACATGTAAAGATTAATGCATAAGTGTCTTATTAATTATAATCAGTACATTAATTACCAATATGAATATTCAGAGTTCATCTAACGTTATCCTTTTGGATGTTTATTTGAAAAAACAGAACAATTCTTAAATATTCAGCCGTGAATGTGGGATAGTTTTTACAGGCTTACCGCTGATGGAGAGCACATAAGCTTTGTGTTGTCATAGCATTTTACATTTAGACCATTTAGACACCTGCCACATTTAGTCAACTGTCCACCAGAGGGAGTTAGTGAAACACCAAACAGACTGCAGAGGGGCACTGGGACAGTCTGTGGCGGGCCAGATCCTGCACTTCACTCGATGTTCAGTAAACATTACACGTCTATAGATTACTGTAGTTAGTAGCCAGCTCACCTTTTGGTCACTAATGGTCACTCTTTGGTGACTTGATTTGCACAGACCTCACAGCAGCACTGCAGCATCATCAGCATCGCTTACTTTATGAGTGCAATGTATGACGGATTCACCAATTCATTAAACAATTGCCACAAATCGTGAAAACTTACATTTCAAGGTCTGCTCGAAATATGCATAGTCCAGAGTCTTACGGTTTTCATGCAAATGTATAGTTTTAAATAGGGATGTAACAATAACCAAAAGACCGTGATATTGTATCGTCAAAAATTTCACAATAATATCGTAGCCCATCACAGTATACCAAATTACAAGTCATGGTGCAGAAACAGACAAAAAACAGGGAGCTACATAGATCATACATGGATTAAATCTTATTATGACAGAACCAAAGGCTTGTCAAGGCATTTTAAAAGGACAAAATATTGCAATAGATATCGTACCGTGAGATGCACATCGTGATAATATCGTAACGAGAGATTTGGATATCGTTACAGACTTAGTTTTAATAGTTTTCCTTGTTCAAATGACGTGCAATGCTTTTAAAATGTGTTGAGAGATCGTCAAGAAGGCAAAAATAGCAGATTTCTTGAGAAAATCTGATTATAAATATTGATATTGGCGAACATTTCCTGTTTAGTTTTTCCTTTTATAACCAAATACACCGGGGTGCACATTTGGTCAGTACACCGGTCCGTCCGTGTCCCCGCCCCCTCCGCACTCCGCACGTCCTCCAGGAAAAACAAGCCGCCTCCGCCAGCTCTGCTTCTGTCAAACTGATCTCCTGCGGCTGTGACGGACCGAGCACACGATCCACAGGTACCCCACGCACCCCGCGCACCCTTCTGCACACGATCTGCACCCAAGGGACCCGCTTTTTACGCGATTTCCTCCGATACAAACCGAGCGAGCTAGCAGGTTCTGGCTAAACTGTGCATGAATGGCGAACCCGCTAGCTATTTTGATTGAACTGCGGTCCTTTTAAGAATTTGCTGCTAAAATCGAGAAATAAAGCAAGAGTGCAAGAAGTAAATGAAGATTACAGCTAGATAACGGTATAAACAGTTAGATTAAACACATTCTAACAACTGGGAAGATTTATGTCTTATGGTTTGTCACTTTAATTCAAACTCTTACCTATAATTTCGTAACATCGGACCTGCGCTGCACCACCACGGGGTTACCGCCCCCCAGTACCCCAAAACTTTATTAGTTGTGGTAATTGTGCGTGTAGTTTTATGCTTTTGTAAATTCTATACAAATGTAAGCTAAAACTTCTTATAATTACAGATAATGTTTTTGCAATGTGTTATTCATGTTATACTTAAATTGAATGAATTAAAACTAAAATTTGTCTTGTTTTGGCTGGGGTCCAGAGTGGAGACCTAAGGGGGGGTCTAAATATGCGTGCGCTGTAACGTCAGTCCGATTGGAGGTCTATATGTCAGATTGTCAGCTATGTGCCGATGTGCCAACGAGCCAAACACTGAGCAGGAGCTTTATAAATAGAGAGAGTGACATTAAAGACTGAATTCCTGACCTTGTGTTTGTGCGCAGGCGCAGTAGCAGAGGCAGGGTGAGTGACTGGGGATGCGTTCACCTGCTGCTCCCAAAAAACAGGAGAAGAGATATTAGAGGAAAAATGTGGGTTTATTTGACTTGAAGGGACTTTCTGAGTGTACACTAAAGGCAAAATTTCCAAAGCAGTTGCTGTGCTGCTGCATAAAGTAAAGTTCTCACCAAATAATTCAGCTTTATTAACCTTGTATAACTCTATAATTGCAACATATCTGATGTACTGTGTGGAAATTTGGGAGTCAACATGTAAAACTTACTTACAGCCGTTATTTATTTTACAGAAAAGGGCCTTGAGAATTATAGAGAAGTTATGGAGCAAAGCATCGTGGTGAAAGAAGTTCATTTACAGAATAGTCTTGACAAAGAAATAAAAGATTCAAGTACAATGATAACATTTTTAAAAAATACATAAAATCCAGTGCAGTGTGTGTGTATGAAAAAGAAAACTAAGTTGTTGTGCATAAAAGTGATGATCTCTGTTTGCAGGTGATTAATAATTGAAATGAAATGTATTGAAATGTATTGATCATGTTAATGTTTCGTCTGGAAAAGGGAAGAGTTGGCAGATAACGTAAGATGACTCTTCTTTCTGCTCCTTTTCATTCATTTTTTGGAAGTTTAATGTCATGACGCTGTTACTGTGTTTTTATACTTTATGAATGAAATAAACAAAAAGTCAAGATGGAAGTGAGTATATCCTGAATAGCTTTTGATCAGCCTCCACCCCCTCCCAAGTAGCTCGCCAAAGGATTTCTGAATTGTTCATATTGTGCTGAATAACTAAAATATCTGTAATTCACTGCCTATTACTGCTATAAATGTATTATTTTGAGTCTTAACTTTGTGCACTAATACACTGATAATGGTTTATGTTTTATAGACATCTAACTGTACTAACTAACTCTACTCTAAGGCGTGATGTAGCTCTTACACTCATTTTTTTGCGACCCTTAAAACTTGTAGCTCTCTGGCATTTTTGTTTTGTAAAGGTAAAAGTTCTAGAGCACATAGATTTATATACACCCATGGACCACTATGGAACCTACCTGGACCACTGAGGGATTACACAGATTTAAAAGAAAGTACTATGGTACTATGAGTTAATGCTGAAAATTACTCTGATGTCTAAAGAATGTGTCTTTTTTTAATCATTGTGGCATTGCAAAAAGTACAGTCTATTCCTTAGTACTGAAATTGAGTTTTAGTACTATGTTACACTGAACATTAAATAGGAAGTTGTACAAACTGCATGACATAACACACGAAAAACCCATAGAGCTGCAAGTTGCATTTCAAGATGCAATGTGTAACTTTTCTGGAGTGTTGGTCACTTGCTTGTCTCAATGGACATGTTATAGCTTTGACTGGAATATTCCACAGTATGGCATTATTTTTATCTATCCCCAGGAAGACAAACTGGTGACATGACAAGGCCAAGTTACAGGGCAGATTACAGATTTTGTAAGATTAATTAATTTGTACACTCCCTGCCAGATAAAGAGTAGACTAATTAGGTCTGTGCAGAGGTAGCCTTCTCTTAGTAAAAATGTATGCTTTTCATAGCAGTCACGCTTCTGTAAATGTTAGATAATGCCATATTTAATGTTTAATGCCATATTGTGCAGCCTTTAAAGCCAATGTAATAACTTCGTCTTGGAGACAAGCAGTTGGTGGACCTCCCACTGGAAGAGTTACACCATGGGTCTCTGAACTTTTTCTTCCAGTGAGCTACTTTTACAAAACGAAAATGTCAAAGAGGTACTAGTTTTTTCAGTCACCAGATATTGAGTAAATTTGAATACAAATTTGGAATAAAACTTGCATAAAAGCCACAGCAAGCCTTAGATATGTTAGATGTCTTTAAAACATAAACCATTAGCCATTTATTAGTTTACAAAGTTAGGCATCAAAATGATACATTTACAATGAATTTTAATTATTCAGCACAATTCATATAATTCAGAAATTCTTTGGCGAACTACTTGGAAGGGGGTGGAGAGCTAACAGTAGCTCCCGAGACCCTTGAGTTACACAATGCACCTTTAAATTGTCCCAATTAGAAAATAATATTTTTTTAACCTCTACGAACATATTTAAGTCTTCTGTCGCATGTTAAGTCTCCTGGATGTGTTTATAATTGTGCACTGTGAGTTGAATTTTAATATAATCAAGAATAAATCATTTATTTTGAGGCATATAAATACAATAAAATTATTAACTTTTTAAATCCTGGCAAATAAAGGCTGAGTGGGTGTCGTAATCGTATGTGTGTGTGTGTGTGTTCTGTGTGTATTGTTCACATTGTGGTGGTGTGTTTCCTAACCCGTGTTGCCTCAGCCTCAAGTCTTGTGTGTCGTGTGTGTCGTGTATTGATCTCTCTGTGTAATGTTCATATCTGAGCCTGGACCTGTGCTGTGGAAATACTAACACTCTATGTACCATGGACATTTACACTGGACATTCTGAAGGACTCTGCCTGTGTGTGTTTTTGTAGGGCTGCATCATTATGGAGAAAAAAAATATAACCCTATGTAACTTTGCTTAAGGATCCCCTCCAAGTTCCTGCTTTGCTTCTAGTATTTCACCATGTGGCATTAAGCTTATCACCTTGCATACATTATTTTGAAAACCATACATCTTTGATCGGAGGTTGCCTTTCCACAGATCCGACCTGCAACTTGCTCTGGTATAGCCACAAACGAGCAAGACAAGCTGACCCTTCATCAAAAAAGTTACATAGTGCACCTTTAAACTATGGTGTGCAGGGCTGGGTATCACAGGGTCCCTCACAATCTGATATAATACTTGATACGATAACATGATACGGCGATTCCTGCGATAATTGATTTATTGCGCATGCATGATATTCTGCAACATATTGATATTTTAAAAGGAACAAATACCCTTTTTACGTCATCAGCTCAAGATCATTCTAAAGCTGCTCAGGAAAGGTTCATTTCTGTTTTGTGAGAGGGACTTTTTAAGTATTGATACATGCTCAAATGAGTATCTAGTTTTAGTATTGATTGAGTTTTGATACTTTTGATAACCTTTCTACCTCCACATTATTAAATCTGTTTATTTTAGTAATCAAAACTGTGAACCTCTTGCATAAAAATGTTACATTCTCTAAATAAACAATACAACTGTAGTGTTACCACAGTGTAATTTTGTATGTACCAAACATAGACTGTATAAATTGATTTACATTGAGAAATTTTCACTCCTCTCTCTGTGACTGCTGCATGGAACCTCATCATTTTGGTCTTAAAATGTTCACCTGCTCTACATAATCCTGGTTTCTACTTCATCATTTTGTCCATAAATAATTTCCTAATATGGAACATGGCTTCAAATTCGCCCCTGTAACCGATACTACCAATAATACCAATATTTTAAGGAAAGTAAGTCTCTAATGCACATGTCATTGTGTTTGTGTGCTTGGCGCAGGAGACCAGGGAGCGGTTCACCTCTCGCGTGGATCTTCTGAACATGTTACCTCAGCACCTGAAGCAAATCCGAGTCCTCATGTTGAACGACAAGGAGAACCTCGAGAGGACCCTGTTCAGACTGGAACAAGGTACTGCAGGCGGGGCATCTGGTTTAACTGCTGCAGCACGTTAGCATCAGCGGCAGACACCAACACGTTTCGTTATCAGATAGGACATACCTGTGGACGAGAAATCTAGGCTCATACTCTGGAAATGCTCAGGCACACGGTGAAGCAAGGTAATGTTAGGATTTAAATGTTCCAGGATCGTTGCTGTTGTTGTTAATGATGTTTTTATTGGACTGTACACTTGCCACGGCTTTGCAATTAATAGAATTTTAATCGACAATCCAATCGTTTCTAATGGTCAACGATCAGCTTTGGTGTTTTAATGGCGTCTACAGCCAATCTTCTGTCAGTACAAGCATGTGGTTTGGAGCAGAGAGAAGACTATTTTTAGTGTTAAATGGCTCTGATTAATGATTGAGAGATGTCTGTCTTGTTTATTTGCATGAAATTAAACTTGAAAGGCCTTTTTTAATAGCGAAGAAAAACTGATATATGTTGGAAATTGTTTTTATTTTTTTTTTTTGCCAGATCGTCCAATCACTGAGCACCAAGTTTAGTCCTGATATAGACCTGGTTTGGTCCTTGTCTAATCCTGTCCTGTTTTAGTGTTGGCATTTAGTTAGTTGTGGATTTGTGTGTGTGTGGAAGTGTGTAGTGTTGGACTCAGTTGTCTTGAGTGAGAATATAGTCTCAGCTGACCAAAAGTTGCATTATTTTATTTAGATTAGAAAGATTTATATGGGACAACAGCTGAAAGGAGAAGTGAGTGAGCGAGTTGGAATTTATTATGTATGAAACTCACGATTCACAAGTTTTCTGACTTATTATAAATACATAGATTCATAGTACTTTTTTGCATAACCTTTTTAGGTGCAGGTGTAGTCTTGTGAGTGCAGTTTGGATTATATGCAGTACATAGAGATGGGGGCTTTTTACTTGACTAATCATTTGGCAGAACAGTCGACTCTCGCCCTATGTTGAGTGTGCATTAAACTATTTCGAGCCCTTGCACCAGCCAAGTAGATCCATGTGATTTGATCATGACTGTGTTAAATTGGGGCTGTACCCACAGCCGTGAGTCTGTGGCTTTGTTGTATTACTATATTATAAGTCTATAATGTCATCGTAAAATAATATAATAATATTGTCAGTAATATTGTGAATTGTAAGTTCTTTTGTTTCTTTGCTCCTCAGTGTTGGATAGTGGCTTTGTAAAAGGATACAGTACCTTTAGAGGCATGCAGTTGTTTTTTTCCACTGTATTCTTGAGCTTGGTTCACGACCAAATAAGGCAGCATGACCTGACACTGGTGTTTTACAGCCTGTTGCATACTAAACAAATGAACTGCAGAGTGAGTGCGTAAGGTGGAAACCAAAGTAAAACACAGGCATAAAATAAGTATTAGAAATAGAATAAACTGACATTTTAAAATTCAACAGGTCATAATTGTTCTGATTAATCGTTGCAGCCCTGGTGTACAGACAGAAGAGCAGGGGGCAAAGTACAGAGCCTTGTGGAGCTCCTGTCCTGTTGGTACAAGTTTGGGCCTGTCTTGATAATTAGTATATTGACTTATTGTTCAGTCTATGAAAGCAGGAGCAAAACATTTTGGAGTTCAATATTTATCATGTGTATAATTTCTTTGCTACAGTAATCATAAAGTAGGCCTTCAGTCATTAAGTCCAGTGTCTTGGTGAGGTTCAAGTTTCATACATAATTGTATGAACTTTAATTAAACAAAGAAAGATCAGAAATATTCTATTCAGTGTATTTTTGTAAAGCCGCAAATCACCAGCAGTTGCCTTAGGACTTGACAAGATCATTGATTTAACCTTGGGGACTGTGTTGTTTCGCCAAGTGAGAATGGCCCCTTCCTAACTGGCCCACGCCAAAGCGGCCCCAAGTGAACTGTACCATAAGAGGCGGAGGGGCTCATTCAGAGGAGGGGAGAGCTCATCCAGCCAGGTGAGGGGAGGATCCGGGTCCACAGAACGGGATAAGGGCATTGGGGGGACATCTAGGGTCCAGTCCTCACCAGACAGTCGGCGGCCAGGCTAATATTACTTTATAGCTGCACGTTCCTTTTTAAACCATTGTGCAGCTTGCATCTTAGCAGTGTTACTGTAGACAATATACTCAGCATTTTCTATTTAAGTAATCATATCTGCAAAACTGAAAATCTGACATTACCTTACATTATCCTCTAAGTGCAGCTTGATGAAAGGACAATGTTCATTTTGTAGTGATTGCACACCCAAAATGTCTTGTCTCCTGAATATATCTGTCCACTTGTACACCTCACGCAGCACTGTGCCCTACTTTCCTAATCCATGTTATATCCTCTGTCCTCTGCTGCACTTTGAGACAGGTCAGCTCACTTCTGAGGGTGCCAGTGAACGCCAACCCCGGAGTGACCTGATCTTAATGACCTGATGAACTTCACAGCTACATCCCCTTAATGTCACATCAGCTGCCCTGGGAAATGCTTTGTCATTGATTAGAGAAGTTAAATACTATGATATAGTCTCCACTTGGCCCTGTATGTATTATTTTTTCCCTGCTGTGGCTGATAACTGATAGTTGATACTGATATTAAGCATTGCAAGGACCATAGCAAGGACCACGAAGTTATAGTAAAGTTCACAAATTAACTTTTCAAATTTGTAAAAATCCAAAAAACAAAAACAAAGTGTATTTACCTGGGATATAAGAGCATTTGTTGCATGATTGTGTAAACAGTCATGGCTGCTTACACATGGCCCTTTTCGGTCTAATATCTGTAATTTATAGCAAATCTGCTATTGGCCTTAAATCTCCAGCACAGGCCGATATTTTTTTTTTTGCCGACCTGCTGCCTAAAGAGAACAGAAAAGCTTTATTTGAAAACTTTATTGCAAATAGTCACATTTTGAACAGTTGTCTATGTAGCCCTCTTGAATATTTGTGGTAAAAAGTCAGTTTGATGGCCATCGATTTCTCTGGATTCTAAACAATCTGTATGGGCATCGGCTAAGAAAAAAAACATATCGGCCGATCTCTAATATTTTAGACAAAAGACAACTCTGATGCTGTGATAAAAAATATCAGGGTGAGATATCGTAAATTTTCAATATCACACCAATGCCGATATCTGGGGAAACCCTCTGATATCAGCGATAACCAATGCCCCAATCCTAGAATATATCGGTGGGCACATGTACACCTCGTGCTCCTCATGGCCAGTAGTGCGCTGGTTGACATTTGGAGCTCAGAATATGATCAGGAGGATTGTGAGTGTGAAAAGGGCTAAAGATAGAGCACAGTGCTGAGGGAACAGTGACGAGGCAGAACCCGGCGCACAGTAGGAGTAGGAATGCCTTTGTCTGTCCAGCGTACAGGAGGGGAGGGGCATGGGGTGCACGTCCGACCACTGCACAGGGAAGGGGGGCTGCACGTCTGCATCCCTGTCCTCTGGGGATCTAATGACAGGTCACGTATTATTAAAGGCTCTTCAGCTTATGCAATCCTGCTTGTTCTTTAGTCATGCTGTGGGGCTTTGTCAAGTATGAACATTACATTACTGAACTGGGTGTGGCAGTGGCAGTGGGTTTAGGGCAGTGATTTCCAGACTGGGGGGGCTCCAGAGCTTTGACCGGTCAGAGGGTCCGAATATCTAAAGCCCTTGAGATTTGAATGGAAAAGGAGTGTAGCTTTAGGTGTTTGTATAGCACAAAAATATCTTGTCTGGAATGTTTCACACTATGATTCTGTCTTCACTGAGACTAGAACAGACCAAGTTACAGGTCAGATCGGTGGAGAGGCGATCCCACTCACAGTCAGAATGCTTTGTTTTTCAGGCGATTTTTGAGCAATAAAACCACCTGTAATTGAATATATGTAAGGTGTAGATGTTTAATGTCATACTACATACTCTAACCCAGGGGTGTCAAACTCGTTTTGGTCTGGGGGCCGTATCCAACCTACTTTGATCCCAGAGGGGCCGGATCAGAAAACTCATGGCATACATATCCCAAAAACAGCAATAAATTTAAATATTTGTGCAGAGAAACGCAAATCTTTTACAGAAATCTTTTTTAATTAATGAATGCTTTCTTTTACAAAATATCATAATATTATGAACAACCTGAAACTTTAAGAAAAATGCAATTTCATCACAATGTTTTAACATTAACTTGTAGGCAAATAGGAATAAGTTTTTCTTGGAAAATCTTGCACTCAGCATCTACTTTTCTCATTTTTGACATTTTGTTGATGAGGGTGTCACGGTCAACAGTCAAAACGATCGTCCTTTAAGAGCTTTAAGACCAGCTGCTCTGGTGGGAGGGGCCAAGCACAGAGACACTAGGGACGCTGCTATGTTAAGCACTGCAAAAAATTACCAATATTTTAGTAGAAAATCAGCCGAGGACCAGATTAAAGGTCTTGGAGAGCCGGATCCAGCCCCCAGGCCATATGTTTGACACCCCTGATCTAAACTATTTGCAGTGGTCCAAAAGTATTCCTCACTTACCTTTATGTATTCTGAGTTTAAACTCTTCTCAACTATCAGAGACCAGAGCGGAGTTTACCATGACAGTAAATTTAGCAACAACTAGTATGCAAACCATATACTGTCTAAATGGACATAGCTAGTTGGCACATTAGAAAAGGAAGTGAGCCTGGGTGTGCATCTGGCTCCATCGACTCGGGCTCCAATTGACTTTACATTTAATAATTGTCACCACTCTCTCCACTGCTAAAATGTTTGTATTAATCCGCTCTACATGACCCTGTTTTTTTGCTCTTTTGTCCTTAAATAAATTCCTATTCCTAATATGGACCTCGGCTCCAAATTCGCACCTGTAACCTATAGACCGTAAATATGAGTGGACATAGCTAACTTACTAGCCACCGTGTGCCAAATAGGATATTTGTTAGGAGGCACTTCCAGTTCCTTCTGACCCTGACTCCTATTGACTTGTATTATGAGCTTGTCGCCCCTCTCTCTGTAACTGCTGCAGTAAGCCTTGTCATTTTGGTCTTAAAATGTTCATTAAACCCGCTCTACATGATCCTGAATGTTTTTTTCGCTATTTTGTCTGTTTAAAAAATCCTATTCATAACATAGAGCCTGGTTGCAGATTCGCTCCTGTAACCATGAGCATCACAAGCCTCATTTGAGCGGCTCTGAACGCTATGGGTGACGTCACACTCGCTTAGTCCACTTCTTTTGTATAGTCTATGCTGTAACCGCTAGCATCATGAGCTTCATTTGACTGGAGCTGCACGCTATGGGTCACATCACACTCACATAGTCCACTTCTTTAGACAATCTATAGTCCTGTTTACACGGGATTAATGTTACCTGTGGACCTTTGGTTATTTGTAATAATTGTGGAGGATGAATGAGATCTTAATTCCGTGCAAATGCAGCCTGTCTGTAATTTGTAAAGTGAAAATTCTGCCTCAAATTATCTACTATAGTTCGCCAAATACAAATGTCCGGTGATAATACTAGTCCCATGCGAAGAGGGCTTATAACGCTAACACATACTTCCTGACTATTGGACAATAAAACACTTTATTAATAGAAGTAGACAGTATGCAGCTGACTTATTCTGACCTCCAGAGCTGCTCACATAACTGTACTAGGGCAAGACAAAATGAAATACATCAAAAAAAAAAAAGAAAGAAAGAAAGAAATCATGTATTTAACACAATACTGTGGAACATTCGAGGCAAAGCAATAGCAAGCAATGCAAGCAATTTTTGTGGTTTCAGAGAAGTTGTATATTGCGACAATTAGTAAACGATTAAACTGAAATTTGATTAATCCACATTTCTCACAAATTTGCTCCTACAGTGTCCACTCTCTGGCTTCGGTCTCAGTCCTGTGCTCGTCTGTGTGTGCAGGGTTTGAGCTACAGTTCCGCCTGGGCCCCAGTCTGCAGGGTCGGAGGGTACAGGTCCACACGAACTACCCTCTGCATGGACAGCCATTCAGACGAGACGTGTTCAGAGTGCTCGCCTGGAACTACCCATCGGGCCGCGACGATGACTCCGACAAGTACTGTTCCCTGGACCTCAAGGTCGCGGGCTCCTACCAGTACTACTTCGGATATGGGTAAGAACGGGCATCATGTGTATCATTCGTTCATTTGTTTTTCAAAAATAAAACCAAGTTTTAGTAAGTAAGTAAATGAAAAACAACTATTTTCTTCATTATTTGTTTCCAAAATCAGAAAAGGGATGATTTGTTTTTACAGTTTTCAATGTTGTGTTTAAATTAATCATGGAAAAAACTGATAACGGACGTTTTTCCGTTTCCGTGACTTAAACTGCAATGCTGGACTTTTGTGCCGCATACGGACCCCAGGTGTCACACCTTGACAATTTAGACAGGGTGTGCTGACATATGAAATATTTTTATAAGTTATAGGTAAGTTATGTATAAGTTATATACATATATAACTGGCATATGTTGACACGTCGACATACAGCAAGGTCGATGAAACATTTTGAGCATGCTGAACATTTCTCGACATAGGTCTGCGTGTGCTTACGTCCTGCACACGTGGGCCATAAGTTGTACGTAAGTTATGCGATCGTCGACACATGTTCACACACATTAATTGTAAGTAACTCATGAGTCCAAATACGTTCCCATAACTTATGAGTAACGTCCTTTGAACTTATGTGTAACTTATATCGAACTTACCTCCAGTGCATATTGACATATTTGACCTGTTCTGACGACCACAGAACTTACTGAATGTGTTTCTAACTTATAGCTACTGTATAATGGTGTATTGGTGTAGGGAAATTGGTATATAAAAATGGGGAAACTGTCAATACTCCTCCAGACTTCATGGTGAGCAGACCCCGTGGTACCACCTGCTACACAGATCATCTGAGAGATGGAGGGTCCGGCAAGGCTGAGACGAGAATACATCCTAGCTGTCCTCCAACATCAGCATGACTTCAATGATTTGTCACTGTACCAGTTGTGTGCCAATAGTGCCAGGAGAAGAAGAGATCACGTTGATTAATGGTGCTACTGCGATGTCTAGAGCATAGACTTGGTTGAGAAAAATGTTTTACTTTATTACATTAATACAATTGAGTGAGTGTGTTTTTGCTGTTCCTCATTTGTTTGCGAGTTGCTAAAATAACGCTGTATCCATAGAGATATTGAGCGCTCGGGCGGGGGCTACATCGTGGTGGACCCTGTGCTGCGCGTGGGGGTGGATAATCACGTCCTGCCCCTGGACTGTGTGACCATCCAGACCTACCTGTCCAAGTGTTTAGGAAAGTTTGACGACTGGACCGACCGACTGCGTGTCGCCAAGGAGACAGGTATGCACACTGGAGACAGATACAGGAAATGTGGTTGATTTGATTGGATGAATACTGGTTTTAGGTTTACCTGTGGAAAATACAAACTGTAGTAACTAGGGACCGATCATTATTGTTTTTTGGGGGCTGATACCAATGTAAGGGGCTTTGGAGTTGCTGATAGCCAATATAACAGCTGATAGCTTAAGTGATTATAAATCGTATGTCTGGCTCTATTAGATTTTTTGTTGGGCTTATTGGACTTACGATATATCGGGCCGATATTTGGACTTTTTATCCAATTTGCTATCAGCCTTTGATCTCCAGCACATCTCAAATAATCAAAATTGACTCTACATATCGGCCCAAAAAAATATTGGCAGTGCTTATTGGTTGTTGGTTGCTCTGGATTTTAAACAACTGGTATCAACATCGACCATGAAAAAACCCATCCATCTCTAATTAGAGATATATTTACTGGCATTTTTGCATAACACTCCTCAATACATGACCTGATTATTCACAGCTCATTGTATCAATCATATAAATACGGGCTCAGTAAACATGTACATAGTCACTAGTCAAGCGCTAACCCGAAGAAGCATCTAAAGAGACATTTGCAACACTCATCGCTCAGACAGGTACCTCTCAGAGCCCAGGTCTTCGCAAATAAGATTCCTTTTAAGCCAGACTCAAAATTATTGTCTGTCAAAACAACAACAACAATATAATCTAGTATGTCAAGAGGAGCTCAGTCTATGCGTCCTCTATGTCCTCTATGGGGACAATCATATTTTGTTGCTGGTGTACGTAATGGTCAGGCTCGAGTCTTAATCATTTTATTAGAAAGAGCTAATATTGGAGTAACAGTTATGCAAATATCTATGCATCGTCTGTAGGAATACACAAAGAGTCTAAAAATATAATAGTCTAAAACATAGATAATGGTAAGTAGGGGTGGGAGGAGATACAATTTTCACAAGACAAGAAAACCACAAGATTAGGTCAGCAAGAACGAGACAAGACGATATTTTGACATAATGTGTAATAAATAAGTAGTGCAATCCATTACACAATTTTGGCTTCACTATTTTTATTTATCTTATGTAATACTTTAGTTCCAAAAAGTACTACAATGAGCGCTATAGTGTCTCAAATTGCATCTGACTCACCAGCTCTTAACTCTTTTTTTGTCTTAGGTAAACATAAATTCAGGGAGAAAAAACATCTCAGGGAGAAAAAAAATCTTTCACAAGATGCATTCCGTGCCCGTACAACGTTTGCGCGGAGATTCAGTGTGAACTATTTTCTTTGTGAAAATTACAGACATAGATTTTTCGTGTCCTGATTTGACAAGCAGAGTTTGTCTAATTTGTCTCAGTCTTTACCCTGCGTCTGCTTCAATAATGAATCTACAAGTACCTTAGTTTGGCTTCGCTGCTTTTCCCCTTGTCTTCTTCTTTCAAAAAACGGACTTTCTTTTGTAACTGCTCCTGGATTCTTGTCTGCCATAAAAACTTGTGCTAACTGCGAGGAAGATAAAAAAAGCCGCTAAAACTGTTGGTGGATAAACTCTGTGCTCTTGCGTCTGTGGATAAACCACGTACCGGCGGCGCGCAGGCATCAGTTACGCTAGAAACGTGAGTTTGATTGATGCCTGTCAGCTAACAGATGAGGCCGTGTCGTTATCTATGGCAAATGTTTAGCTGGCCCCACCACGTCCAGAGTGATGAATTTTATTCTCTTTTTTTTTGCATCATAATTACAAGACTGCACCTCTATAATGCTATCATGACAACTTGAAATCCTCCATACAACCTTTAACTCTTTTTTTGTCTTAGGTAAACATAAATTCAGGGAGAAAAAAATCTCACAAGATAATTTTTCTTGTGTGTATACAGTTTTGTGGCAATTTTGTCTCACGAGATCTTGTCTCTTCTCTAATAGTAAAATATAATTGTGTATAAAATAGACATAAAAATCATTGCACTTGCTTCTGTGAAATGCCACTTAGAAGAATGAGATGTGTTGAGTTGATGAAATCCATTCCGCAACTTTGACCCGGAAGTTATTCTCTCACATCTTTATATTATTAAGTTGTTTTAGATCAATATTTCAATTTGCATTAAATAAAAATCAAATAAATGATTCAAATAATTATCTTCTTGTGTGATAGATTCATAACACTAAACACCAGGGAATTTTAACTAGCCACTTCCTAACAACTCACTTCCTGATTATCGGATATTAAAACGCTTTATAATTAAACAGTACAGACAGACAGCCAGTACACAGCGAACTTCATTTGCCCTCAAGAACTGCTTATTCAATATATCTGTACTGGGATAAAACACATTTTAGGGAAAATTTGAATACAGGGCTTTGAAATTGCAAAAAATATGTTGTATTTTGTATTTTGGCTATACTTTTTTCCCTTTACATATAGAAGAACACATACCTTGACTTTCTGAATCAACTTGCATTTATTAAAGAGCTTTTTTAAAATGTAAAAATCTGTAACAGTTCCCACTATTGTCTTCTGCAGTATCTCTTTTATGACTTTGTAAACTGCACATTCCAGGGTACAACATGATCCACTTCACCCCGCTGCAGACCCTGGGGGAGTCGCGCTCCTGCTACTCTCTGGCCGACCAGTTGACCTTTAACCCCGAATTCAGTTCTGCGGGGCAGAGTTACGGCTGGGAGGATGTGGGTGCACTGGTGGAGATGTTCAGGACCGAGTGGAACATGATCTGTATCACCGATGTGGTCTACAATCACACAGGTGAGTCTAGAGGCTGGATCAGAAAAGAAATGGGAGATGTGTAACTCTCATCAGGTCAGGAAATGTGTACTTGAAACGTGAAAAATGCAACCAGGTTTCTCACGGTCATGGAAATCTTGGAAAAGTCATGGAATTTTAGTATGTCTTTCACGCAACTACAGTGTTCTGTTAAGTTATCATTAGACTATAATGATTATTTCCATACGTATGCGCCTTTTGTTTAAAAGAGTACCAAGCTATAAGGTGAATGGAAAGGGTTAACATTTCATATTTAGCCCTAAAAGTCTGATCAATACTACACATGTAGGTGCCATAAAGTAATGAAAAATTCACTTTAGGCCATGAAAAAATTATGGAAAAATTTTGAAACTTTGTCAGTGAAAAAGAGTGGGAACCCTGTACAACTAGTTCGTCTTAAACGGTTTGCAGTGATTCAAAGTTAAGATCACTTACCTTATCCAGAATTTACATCTGGAGCTGCAGTGACACATAACATAAGGAAAGTTGCATGTACATCAATTTAAGTATTAGAGCTGCTCCTGCAATACTAGCCTCTGTATATTGTCCCGTTTAAACGGTTTTATATTGCTTTCATATTCATTGTTGATCAGATGAATTATGTTTTAAAAGTTTAAAAATTGGCCAGAGAGACGATGCTTTGCAGTAAATACCAAGTTTTCCTTCAGTAGTTGTTCTTATAAAGTTGTCAGTTTGTGTTGTAAAGTGTTTTATATTTATCCTCCATGGCTGTAAACTTTCTGTAGTCCAGCACGAGTCATTCCCATAACTCCTGATGCGACTCAATGTACTTACATGACTGTAGCGGTGTAGTTTTAGACAAAGTAGCATAATTCTGCCTGTCAGACGTATGCATGACGTGGCTGGTGGAGATTCTTGAACTGTGATTCCTGCGTATATGCTACGCTTACATGCTGTTACTGCTTTGGTGTAAATTGGGAGTTCTGCATTCCAAGCATCCTAATTATTCACTGGGACGAGTTTATGATGAGTTTGTTACTTTTCACAACTTTCAGAGACTGGAGTTTTGTTGTGATGGTAAACTCCAGTCTGGTCTTTGAAAGTTGTGAAAACATGTATATGCTAGAATAGACAATAAAACACAGTACACAATAGACTTATTTTGACCTCAAGATCTGCTTATACGTTATATCTGTACTGGGGCAGGACAAATTTTGTTCATAAACGCAGAGATAAATGAGGAGCTGTGGCACGCAGTCAGAACAACACATCAATGACAAGCCCTTGAAGAAGATTTTGCCTTCAAATGAGGGCCCTGTCTAAGAATAACTTCTTTCATCTTCCATATCAATAAAAAGGAGTTTGGGGGCTTTTTAATGAGCAGGTCTGCAGCCAATCTCTTGAAAGTTAAAGCACCCAGAGCCACTTCTGCTCTGGACAAACAGGGACTGCGCTCTAGGACCCAGATAGTATCACCTCCTACCACCTGAAGGCTGCATGAATGAGCGTGCATGTTTTAAAGGGTCTCTATTGACCATAACACTAGGCTTTTTTCATTTATTAGTAAATAAATATAGAATAAAGTATTTGCCATAACACTCATGTAGCCTGGATAGGGTTGGGACAAGATCTCATGCCACAGCATCTCATGAGATAAATTTGTTTTTGCATACATGTGGAAAATGATCTCATGAGATTTATTTCCACGTGTTATGTGGAAATAAATAAGTTATATGGCTGGTACAAACGGGTTTAAGGCCTAGTCAGTATCATCTCTCGATAAGTGAGTTCTAAAACGCAATGTTACAGTGACAAGGTGAACTGAGGCCCAAATTGTGAATTGAATACCATAATTGATTTATTACAAAATATGTCAAAATGTCTTTTTGTCTGGTTCATGAGGATCTAATGTCATGTCTCGTCCAATCTCTTGTATTGGTAGTTCCTTCTGTTATCTCTTCAGACATGCCCCTCCGATCAGCTGTATGTGACCCTAACATCCAGCTCGTCTTTAGCGCGATCCATAGCTGTTAGTAACACACACACACGGTTCTGGCCGGGTGCAGGTCTCATGTGTGTGTGTAAGGGAATCCTGTGTACCAGCTGTACTCTGCATGTACCTCTGCTTAAAGGTCACAGTAAAACGACCCTCCCACACAGAAGGAGATTCACTGCAGCCCTAAGGACATGCCTCTAACACGATTGGCTTAAACACTTCATTAGTTAAAGAAGACATTGTGCTTGTGTCTGTTTTCTAGTTATAATCTATGACACCTGTGGATCTTTATGTTAAAAGTTGGACATTTTAAATCTAAATATTAAGCTTTAAACAATATGTAATAAAAGAAACAAGTCCGCTGACATACGCATTTGAAAACTAGGGTGCTCAGTGGCAGCTGACGTCGCTGTAAACATCATCACTGCAAAGCGCTGCGCAGCTGTCAACACCTCCGATGGATAGATGCACATTACACTAGCAAGTCGCTTTTTTCATTTGTACCAAAAAGATAATGTGTGTGAATCCTAGACGTGACATCGATTATGAAAATAAAGTTAGAGAATGCAGTAAGTAGACAGCAGTGGGTGTGTACCGGTGAAAGATAAACATTCCTTAACTGTGTCCCCAGACATGAGGGACACAGGTTGGACACTGGTTAGACTTCTATCTGCAGGTTAGACACTAGGCCCCTGCGGGACCCGATACAAAACAGTGCAGCGCGGGACACGTTTTGAAAGCTCATTGCAGGCGGGAGCGGGACTGCACAACGCGGGAACGGGCGGGTGGGATGATAAACTGCAGTCTTTAAACTAAATATGAGTGTAAAGTAAAATATACAAATGATGAATGTACGAATTTGTGTTGGATATCTTATTTGGCATTAATAAAAACATTTTAAGCAGCCAAAATTTGCATATGTGGTCTAATCTTGCACACATTTTAGACAATTCCTTTCCGATTCTCCGTGTTTGATAGAACTTAAGAAAGCGAACATCCTCATCTTGCGGGACTGGAAGCGAGACAAAATATCGCAGATGCAGGCGGGAGCAGGAATGAAAATTACAATTCTTTGCGGGACCGGAACTGAAAATTCTGTCCCGCGCAGACCTCTATTAGACACTGAAAACCCATGTTTAGTTGTGATTGTAGTACCTTGTTAAAACTGTAAGAGCACAAGCTACATAAACATTCCTTTAAATACTGGAATACAGGTGTTTAGAGAGACGCTTGCTTGCTATGGTTCATGAGCTTTTTCTTCTAATTGTTTTGCCTGTATTGCAGCGGCCAACAGCGTGTGGATCAGGGAGCACCCGGAGTGTGGGTACAACCTGGTGAACTCTCCTCACCTCAGACCAGCCTGGGTACTGGACCGGGCCCTCTGGCACCTGACCACCCGCACCGCACAGGGGCGTTATGAGGCGAAGGGGCTGCCCGCGGACATCACAGAGGACAAACACCTGCAGGTCTGATCATAGACTGTGTGTAGAAGTGGACGGAGGGAGTGTAGTGTCATCTATAGTGTTCAGGTTGTAGATGACTGTTATACCAGCTAAACTGCAACCAAGAGTCATGCTTGGAAATCAAGAGGAACTAATCAGAAGTGAGGCTGTTGAAGGTACTTGCCCTTTTCTACCTGCACCACTGTTTGGCAGAGGGTGGGCTCCTAGTAAACAACTGCTAGTAACAAAGGTCAGAATTTGTAGTTTAATTACTGTGAGAATTTTGATTTGGTTTAGATTCAGTGTGCGGCTCTACCGTAGACTGAATAAAGAAGTGGACTAAGTAAATGCAACGTCACCCATAGTGTTCGTCTCCAGTCAAATGAAGCTCATCGAGGCTACAGTTAAGAGCGGCTAATTTGGAGCCAAGATCCATATTTGGAAGACAGTGTAAATTGTAACAAGAAATGTAGGGCTGGGCATCATTAAGAAATTGCCGATACGATACATATCTCGATACAGTGCACTTTTAATTCGATACGATATATATCAAATTGATTTGATCCAGTTCAATAAAAAATAAAGGCTAAATCATGGCTGTGATACTAAAAGTCTTTGTTAAACCACTTCTTGTGCAAAGTTAATATGAAACACAAACATTTTAATCATCAGAACAATGAATATGTCAAATGTGTCACATAAACAAGTTTCCTTCCACTAAACAAGCAACAAAAGTGTAGCGCTATAAGAAAGTAATTTAGCAAACTTTAGTAAAAGTGAAATGCACACACAGCAAACATGTGTCACAGCGTGCTTTTGCGCAGAGGTAAAGAGAAATCTCTGTTAATTCATTACACAAAAATATAGAGCTGAGTTGTCATGCTTTATCCTTTCCACGTTTTAATACACAGTTGTATTATTTGTTGGTTTCTTGGGCATGACCAGATGTTGTGTTGCTTGCAGGCTTTGCGCACTGTGATACGGGAGGACATTTTCCCTCAGATCAAACTGTGGGAGTTCTTCCAGGTGGACGTGGACAAGGCCATGCAGGAGTTCCACTCCCTGGTGCTGAATGGTCAGTGAGCTCAAAATAAGGTTCACAACAATAGCGCGCGTCTCACTGCCTGTTTGTGTGTGAAGGTGTGGAGGCGGACCACAGTAAAACCGGGGGGGTCAAACGCCTGAAGATCATCCACGACCCAGAGTACAGGCGCTATGGCAACACGGTGGATATGGACTCTGCGCTGGAGACGTTTGTTCCTTTAAGGTGGGACATATTTAACTCCCCATGTTTCTGCAGTTCACGTGGGGCCTTGGAGCTGGTCTGTTTGGTGTGGCCCCCTCCAGCCCAGTTACATTTTCATGCTCTGAGCTCCAGGGCTCCAGGTCCGAGGGTCTGCTCCATGAGACACTGACGTCACCCAAATAGAATGTATAAATAAAATCTAAATCCTTTTTGAAATATAATCTTAATCGCAAAGGAGAAATTCAGATCTTTTGTCCAGCTGACAGAATTGAATTTCTCTATTGCGATGGATTCTACCTGGACAACTGAGGGATTACACGAATACTTATAATGCCAATTTCAGTGATTCACAAAAAGATTTTCAGTAATTCTAAGTTTGTGGTGCTGTGGGACGGAGCTAAAGCCAGCATAAACACTAAACTACCTGCTTTTTATGTACTTCTCTTCTTTGCACCTGCATTTGGGCATCTGAAACATGCTAGTGTTAACTGCATAAGACACTACAAATCAAATGTTTTTGACATGAGCGCTGTGCATCGATAGAAAGGAAACAAGTGGCTAGCTTTGTATTGAGAAGCATATCACCTTTACATATAAGTCACATCACTTATTCTTTAATGTTTAACTGCTTTTTTCCATCTTGATGATTGTTTATCCAAGAAATGTCTGACTCTCCACCGTACCTAGTTACATAGTGCTTCTTGGAATACTTAGAGTATCCGTGTTTATTGCTATATCATCATGGAAGCGAGTAAAATGCTGGTTATTCTGCTGTTGGTGGGAATGAGGGTTGTGCCACGTGGCTTAAGAAGGTGGGGAGAGAGTGCATTTATATGAATAGTTTGACAGGTAAAGATATGGTAATGAAATTATATCCTAAATCAGACATGTCAGACTCAGGCCCTCGATGCAATTATATTTGGCCCGCGAGATCATATCAGATATGTGTTAGAGCTGACCGCCGGCTACAGATAGACTATAGATACATTATTTATTTAACATTATTATTTAATATAATTATTTTATATTATGCTTGATCTGGATTCAATGTTTAAGCAAAACTATTATTAAAAATTTATTTTAATAAGAAAAGAAAACATTCTGATGTTGTTGAAATGTTTCAATAAATATTTAGTTTGGCCCACGACTTAGTCCCAGTTTTTAATTTTGGCCCTCTGTGAATTTGAGTTTGATATCCCTGTCCTAAAAGATATCCTGAGCCATTCTTGTGTTTATGTTTGCAGCTTGTCCACACCACACGTGGAGGACTGCTGTGACCGGTTCAGAGACAAACTCACTCAGCTCAATGATGAACAGTACAAACTGATGCAGCAGCACCAGGAGCAGGTGAGACAATCCCCCTCCCCCCCTCCACACACTCAGTACACTTACATGTACGCCAGGAAAATCAGATTAACAACCTAGTTCAATTTAAACCGATTTTTCAAAATGTGTGTAAACCCGGAAACTACAATTGAGACGTTGTGGCTTGAAAACTCCAAGATTCCAATAACACATCTGGAAAAGCTAATGCTCATTACATGTAAGTGTATAGTTACATTAGGCACAGAGTGGGAGAGGCATTCAACTGCACTAGGTAAGAAACAGCCAGGGAAATATTAGTCATTCATGTGTTTTTATGTTTACTCACTCAAGGGACTACACTCACTAGATTAACAACTACAGTCCCTCCATTCTGGACCAGCACATGTTGTTTCATTGTTTTGGTCCATTACGTTTAAGTCAAAGTGAAACCTAATGGAGCTTCAATATGTTTATTTGTACTGTGGAGAGCGAATCAAACGTAACACAGTCTGTACCATGTCTGAAAATCAACTGCTCGATGTAAATGCACTGTTGCTTATGTAAGTCTGCCAAAAGCATGGTAATATGTATGATGGTCATCTTTTTTTTTTTAGCAATTATGGCTGCAAAGTTTCCATGCTAATGCAAAATTATTAGACGCACCTGAACGTCTCTTAGCCCCTGGTTGTTTAGTGCATTCTGAGTTTTTTGTGCATGTAAACATAGTGAATGTGTCTGGAGCCAGCCTGCAGCAGCCAGTGTTTACTTAGAGTATCTGAGCAGTCACAGAGCAGCCATTGACCCCACTTATGGCATGTTTATACTTGTTTTGTGTTTATGTGACGCAGTACAGTTAAACAGCTTGTCTAAGTCTATCTGCACTTCTGCCCATTCAAGCATGCTCAGTGTGGTGTGCCCAAATTATTTTATGTCTTCACTTGTCTTCATATGATTTTGGCACATCATTTTCCACAGATCATCACAACAGCATACATTCTTTAAAAAGATCTTCGATAAAATTATTATGAAATATTACAGGTGTACAAATTAACTCAGATGACAGATGCAATTAAGTTGTGCAATGAAGATTTGAATGGAGGATAAAAGATTTATGGATGTTGTGTGCAGAACATGTTTACACACGTGGCTCTGTTGGGTAACTGTGTTCCTCTCAAAAGAAGGGGTCAAAGGGCTGAACTCACTGGCCTAACTGTACAGCACTCAAACAAACTGTTCTTTGAGCTCATACAGTACAAATCACTTGAAATATTATCATTAATGTCCTCTATGACTATAAGTTGCACCGGAGTATAAGTCCCACCAGCCAAAAAATGTGTAATAAAGAAGAACAAAACATATATAAGTCGCACTTTTTGGGGGAAATTTATTTTATAAAATCAGGGACCAGGAACCGACATTTCATCTTAAAGGGAAGTTATAGTAATAACAGTAGAATAAAGAACAACAGGGTGAATAGGCGTTAATGTAACATATTAACGGTTATTCAGATAACTATAACATAAACAACAGAACATAAGTTTACCAAACTTTTGATCTCACTCCAAATCACTAAGTCTATTGAATCCATTGAATTCTTTGTCCTCGGTGTCACTTCTGAGCAACTCCACGCAACTTCGGTTGTCACTGAAGTCAAGGCTTTGTCGATCCATCCAATGACTTCCAGGAAATTGTATGGCACACCCCCCCTCCCGTTTGCTGTGAGTCTGTGCTCTCCATCCCCGCTTTCTGCCAGTCTCTCACAAGTTTCTCCCTCACTCCAAACTATCTTTCTGCTGCTCGATTATAATTTTTTGCTGCATATTTCACTACTTGCAGCAGGACAGTGTCTTCTTCTGCAGGAGACATGCACAGAAAACTGATACATAACCCTAGACTGCCCTTTCGCTGCTGTCAGTCTGAAAATGTTAAAACATAAATCGCACCGGAGTATAAGTCGCAGGGCCACACAAACTATGAAAAAAAGTACGACTTACAGTCCGAAAAATACAGCACATTTTCTCATGGAGGGTTTGCTCCCTGCTATTATTGCTTTGCCTGGAATGTTCCACAGTATGGCATTAAACTTCACTATCTCCATGTAGACAAGCAGGTGACAGCACAAGGCCAAGTTACAGGTCAGATCTGTAGAGCGGCAATCACAGAAAGAATGTATGTTTTCAGCTTCAAGGTATTTTTCAACAATATTTAAAAACCCCTGGAAATAAATTATTGTGCGGTACATAAGTTTAATGCCATACTGTGAGACAACAATATCTCCATGGAGACAAGCAGGCAGCAGACCCCTTACAACAAAAGCTACACAGTGCTCCTTTAAACTTTTAAACTGTCTGGTCTACCTGAGCTCATGGGAAGTGATGATCTCAGCTGCTGGTGTGAATGTGACACCTCCCGCCCCCCCTCCTCAGACCTGTCGGCTTTTATGAGCTGTACACTGAAATAGAGTCTACTGTATGTATGATGTAAGCCCGAGACTACCGCTCAAGACATCACATCTGTCTCTTCTCCTATAGGCCATCAACTGCATCATGGGAAATGTAGTGTATGAGCGACTGGCTGGACACGGACCCAAACTAGGACCTGTTACCAAGAAGGATCCACTGGTCACAAGGTAATTTGTCATTCTTAAAGCAATGCTCCAAACAAAATATGCAAATATCATTTCACCTGTCACACTGTCACCTTTGGGGTCGCCCAGGGCTCTGTACTCACTCCAACCATCTTCATTATCGACATTATTGAGGAAAGTCCAGATAATTTACTTATTCCAGTATTAGAAAGCCATACTTGTACAAGGAGTCTGTGCCGACATTCCCATGCACAGACTCAATGTTTACGCCTATACAATGACTTTTATACACAAACTATAGTGGGAGGCTACCATGGTTTAGATCAGGATAGCCGCGAGGTCTTAAAAGTCTTAAAAACATCTTAAAGTTCATGTTCCTAAATTAAGGCCTTAAAACGTCTTAAATTATGTTGTCCAAGTCTTATTTTTTTCCACAAAGGTCTTAAATTTCTTTAGCCTATTTTTTGTATACTCGACCAGGCTGCAGTGCGATGTTGAATGAAGGGAGGGAAAAATATATATATATTTTTCACATTATAAATGAATTTTAAATTTTTGTCCATTTTACAAGCAATGCATACTACTATAAATGAGTTCTGAATGAGATTTTATATTTAAAGTATTTTTTGTTATTTAAAGCAGTGAGTAAAGGTCATTATTAGAATTGGATCTGGAGTTTTTCACCTGCATAATGGGTGCGATGTTGGTCTTAATTTTCATATAAGTGGTCTTAAAAAAGTCTTAAATTAGGGGTAGTCAAACCTGGGGATACCCTGTAGACTTGGCGCCTCATTTTTTGGTGCACAGGCCAGCTCTTGGCACATTGCACAGTCCAATCAGACTCCATCCGAGGTGTTATCTGGCTAACAAGTCACGACATCATTCCTATCAGTAGATTATACAGAATAGCTAAGCCTAGTTATTTATCCTAACAACATGCTTCTCCTTGGATGTATTGTCAGCATGCATGGAATTTTTTCCACTGCTATGATGACGACTCACAACTCTGTCTTAACATTGTTCGCTTCAATCCTCATGCTAAGTTACTAGAAGCAGACACTCCCTATCGCATGTATTCGATTCACTAATCTGTTGTAGTCTGTGACAAGTGTGATCTGACAGGTTTTTGGCAAAGGCGATTTGAATTGGGTTGTTTAGCACATTCGGATTTCCCATGTAAACATAGTGACTTCCGACAACACACAACTCTTATCAGAACTTCCTCCTAGCTTCCTCATAGCAAACTTGAACCTCTCCAGAACTTCTCTTTTTTCCCATCACTTCCATTTCACTCTTTGTTTCCCTCTATTAGCAACCTTGTGGTCATACACTTTTGACCCACACCTCACCTTCAACAATTAAGTCAGAGGCTGCAGAGGCTGGGTGCTTTTTAAAAACGATTTAAAACTTGTTACTTCTTGTTGTGCAACATAAAAAATAATGTTTAATATCAAAGATATTAGGTATTTAGAGCTTTATATCATATCTTAAACATCATCGTCTGGAGAGGCTTTAGATGTCATCCATGCATGTTTGAGTAATCTAGAGATCTGTGTTTAATGCTACATCACCCATGCTCCCACACGACAATTTTCTGTAAATATACAAATGCATGATACAAAACAGTACACTACAACTTCACAAACCTGATGTGATGTGCAGTAGTTTCATTAGCGGAATGCACGCTGAAGATAATGTTGCTCAGAAAGGGGAGTGAATTAGAATGGAGAGCAAAGGGTATTATCGCTATGTCACTACTACCGTACTGTGATCTTGTATCTAAGCATGATTTGTCCTTTGTTCGTGGTTAGATATTTTGCGTTCCCTTATGGAGACATGACTCTGGAGGAGGAGATGCTGCTGCTCGATGATCCTGAGAAGTGTGTTCACTTTCTGGCTCACAACGGCTGGGTGATGGGAGACGACCCTCTGCGCAACTTTGCTGAACCAGGTACTCCCAGGTTTAATCTTGCCTTATCCAGGTACTCCAGAGTTTAAACATAATTGAAACAGGTACTCTCGAGTTTAATTATAACTCAACCAGGTACTCCCAGGTTTATTCTTGGCTAGTCTTGGTAATCCCAAGATTAAACATAATTTAACTAGGTACTCCTAAATTTAAACATGACTTGATCAGGTACTCCAGAGTTTAATCTTACCCAAACCAGGTTCTCCCAGGTTTAAAGAGGACCTATTCTGCAAGATTAACTTTTTAGAACTTTTAACCATGTTATAGTTGTTTCCCTTATCATAAAAGGTATAGGTATATGCACATCACTGGTGCAAGGCTACAGTGAATGTAGAAAGTGAGACAAAGCCTGCACACTTACTCCCAAACTGCATTTAATGAACGATAATGCGTCAATCAGTCATCCACTTATCCACTCATCACAAGGTTGTCATTCATTAAATACAATTAAAAGAAAGTGTGCAGGCTTTGTCTCACTTTCTATAGTTGTTTCTCTTCTCATTTAACCTCTGAATTTCTATTTAGAGTGATTCATGCATGTTTGAGTAATTTTTATTCTCCTGTATTCAAGACGCCATTGCTTCTACTGTATCAACCCCCATTTTCTCCTATTTTATTTTATTCATCTGTGATATGTAGGATTCAGCAGTGTCGTGTAGTCTTTTTGGTACAAGTGACAAAAAAATGGTAATTGCTAGTGTAGTCTGCAGCTATCCATAGGAGGGTGTGCTTTTTATTGTCATACTGTCAAAAAAATCACCTCTTACATCATGATGGAACAATTTACTAAAAGGGATTCTACAGACTAGGTTGTACGTGTCTGAGTAGTGATGTGTGGGTTTTTTTAGGTTCAAACGTGTACCTGAGGAGGGAGCTGGTGGCCTGGGGCGACAGTGTGAAGCTGCGTTACGGGAAAAGCCCTGAGGACTGCCCCTATCTGTGGGAGCACATGAAGACGTACACAGAGATCACAGCCACGCACTTCCATGGAGTACGACTGGACAACTGCCACTCCACCCCCCTGCACGTCGCTGAGGTAATGGGCATGAGCGTTTAGGGGGCAAATCAAATCCAGCTGCAAGTTTCTATTATGTTCCAACAACATTCAGATTAGAGATGTCACAAAGTTTAGTCGATTTATTTAATGCACTTAATAGATTATCATACTCAATCAGTATCTATATTGCTGTTCAAAAATGTATTTCAGTCCAAAAAAAGTTATTTTCATGTAAGTGTATGTTGTTGCTTCTAAAATTCTTTGTTATCATTCTGATTCATTTGGTTATGACCTTCATGCCAGGACCTTGTCACAACTAAAACTTGTTTAGGTCCAATGAGAGTCATTTGATCATCCGATTATTTCTTTCTTTTTTTTTTTTTTTTTTAGGCCATGGTTTAGTTTATTCTTATACCTGGCAGCTTCTTCCTCAGAGTGGTCATGTGATGTGGCTATTAATCTAGTGTAAGATGTAATGAAGGAGTGATAGGAGCAGAGAGGTGGGAGCATCACACTGCGAGACCAAACTTCCTTCTCATAGCCTCGTCTCATCTCAGAAGCTAAGCCTTACTGGGCCTAGTTTAGTGTTTTCTATCGTAAACTGTTGTTGTTGTCCAGAGGCGAGACAATTCACCCACCAAGCCTAGAATGAATGTGCTGAGTAAGTGTTTGTGGTGAGAGGGGCTGATGGTGCAGAAAAGCAGCCTCACTTCCATCAGTCTGCTTTAAAACAGCCTTGGCAGATACAAAAAGTAAGAACTAGGGGTTTAAGGTAGAACAAGTAGAAGATCAGCTGAAGGCAGTACAGTCTAGTATATTTGGTAGACATGAGGGAAGTTTGAGCGAACTGTGACCAGCAGCATTTAAAGAACTTCCTGGTTTAAATGGGGAAGTTGGTGATATATTAGACTTAGACTTAGACAAACTTTATCGATCCACAAAGGAAATTATTTGGAGACAGTAGCTCATGCATCACAATAAATATAATAACAAAGAGCAAAAATATAAATGGTAATACATTTTAAACAAGTAGCAAAAAACATAGCAAGAGACAGGTGTCAAATAAAACATAATTATATAAATGTAAATAAAAAATATAAATATACAGTAAAAATAAAATAGAAAGATAAGTAATAAAATATAAAATCACAGCTTTATACAAGAGGTCAGAGGAAGACAGTGCAACAATAATATGATGATTGACAGGACATCTGTTACATAAGGGTGAGTTGTTTTACAGTTGTAAGGAGTATTATCTGTTACATAAGGGTGAGTTGTTTTACAGTTGTAAGGAGTAATTATCTTGTTACATAAGGGTGAGTTTTTGTTGTAAGGAGTACAGTTGTAGGGAGTATTATCTGTTACATAAGGGTGAGTTGTTTTACAGTTGTAGGGAGTATTACAATTGTAGGGAGTATTATCTGTTACATATGGGTGAGTTGTTGAGCCGCAGTGAGGAGTCCTGGTCCTGATTTTAACTCAATAACATGAGTTTACCCTGATCTCTTATTTAAACTTATTAGATGACACAGTATTTGATTGAATCATTGACAATGCTCTAGTTCGTCCTGACGTGTGAGTAACTGGATGTGCCCCTCTGTCTGGTCAGTACATGTTGGACGCAGCCCGAGCCGTCAGAGCAAACCTGTACGTGATCGCAGAGCTGTTCACAGGAAACGAGCTCTTAGACAATGTGTTTGTCAACAGACTGGGCATAAGCAGCCTGGTGCGAGGTACTGCCCCCTACAGCATGGACCACACTCTTGTTGGATTTGACGTTCTCTGGTCTCTTGTGGAGCATGTTTAGACCCGTATCACTAACACGGTTTTGACGCTGTTTTGCTTTGGCGCTGCTGAGTTTCTTGCCAAATTAAACCGAGATGAGCTGTTAAAATATTTCTTTTAATAGGGATTAATTTGATCTTACATAGAATGAGTGCCCATATCATTCAAGACAGAAAATTAATTTTTTTTCTTTTGTTTATAATAATTTCAAAAAACAAAAAAAAAAAAAATATTCATTACAGAACCCCATTCCATATTTCATCATAATATATCATAATATTTTAAATTGTGTTCTAGTTTAATCCAGTTAACATCCAGGTTTAGTAAATATTGATTATGAAGTATAGTTTGCATCCCTGCTTTTACTCACACTCTCTGCTCCTTCTCTTCTCCTCTCTCCCTCTCTCTCCTCCTCCTCCTTTTTTCTGTCCTCCCATCTTCTCCCCTCTCTTGTCCTCTCTACTCCTCTCTTCGGCTCCTCCTTTTTTCTCTCCTCCCCTTTTCATCCCTCTCCTCCCCTCCCCTCTCTATCCTTCTCTCCTCCTTTTTCCCCTATTCCTCTCTTTCTTTATCCCTTCTTTCCTCTCATTCTCGCTCCTCTCCTCCTCTTCCTCACTCCTCTCTCCTCTCTCCTCTACCCTCCTCTCTCTTCCTCGACTCTTCACCTCTCTCCTCCTCTTTTCTCTCCTCCCCTCTGTTCCTCTCCTCCTCTCTCCCCTTCTCTCTTCTACCTCCCCTTCTCTCCTCCTCTCTCCTATCCCCTTCCTCCTCTCTCCTCCCCTCCACCTACCTTCTCTCCTTTCCTCCTCTTTTCACTCCTCCCTTCTCCTCCTCTTTTCTCTCCTCCCCTCCACCTCCCTCCTCTCTCCTCTCCTCCTCTCTTCACCTCTTTTCTCTTTTCCCCTCTGTTCCTCTCCTCCTCTCTCCTCCACTCTCCTCCCCTCCTCCCCTCTGCCCCCTCCTCTCCCTTCTCCTCCTCTATCCTCTTCTCTTCTCCTCTTTTCCCTCCTCCCCTCTGCCTCCGTCTCCTCCCCTCTCCTCTCTCTGGCTCTTTTCTCTCCTCCCCTCTGTTCCTCTCCTCCCCTCTTCTCCTCTTTTCTCTCCTCCACTCTCCTCCCCTCTGCCCCCCTCCTCTCCCCTCTCCTCCTCTCTTCTCCTCTTTTGTCTCCTCCTCTCTCCTCTTCTCCTCCTCTTTCCTCCTCTCTCCTCTTCTCCTCCTCTTTCCTCCTCTCTCCTCCACTCTATTTCCCTCTGCCCCCCTCCTCTCCCCTCTTCTCCTCTTTTCTCTCCTCCCCTCTCCTCTCCTCTCCTCCTCTCTCCTCCTCCCATCCTCTCGTCTCCTCTCTCCTCCTCTTTCCTCCTCTCTTCTCCTCTTTTCTCTCCTCCTCCTCTGTCTGCTGTGTGGTCTTGCTCGTGGCTGTGTTTGTGTAGTACATGCTGGACGTTGCCCGCGGTGTGCGTCCTAACCTGTACGTGGTGGCTGAGCTGTTTACGGGCAGTGAGGAGCTGGATAACGTGTTCGTGACCAAGCTGGGCATCTCCTCTCTCATCAGAGGTATAGTGTGATGGAGGACGCATGGGACACTCAGCTGGTCTCTTCTTCTGGTGCATGTGTGCGGAGTAGACTTGTTTACACTGGAGATGAAGAAGGAACAGGTCAAGAATGTACTGTTTTAAAGTTAGAAATTGTTTTATTGAGAAAATGTTTATACTATCAAAAAATGTGTTAAAGTAGAGCATTAGAACTATTTTAGTGACTGTTTTTTTTTAAATAAAGGGTTAAGTAATTTAGTCTATTTGGGAAAAAAAAAAAAAAAAAAAGATTACAAACACCTGGCTGCAGGGGTGGAGTTTGAAGTGTGGATTATCGATTGACTTTATACCTCACTGCCCACTTTTGCGCCTAAATGTTCCTAAACTGCTTTCTTTGTGGTGGTGCCTCTGGTTAAGTCAAACCCCGTTCATTTAAATTGAGAATTTGGGAAAAGTTCTAAAATCTGATATAAAGTTGGTTTATTTGTGTAAAATGTTCAGTGTTCATGTGAAACAACAAGTCAACACTGCACTGATTCTCTGGGAGGCTTTAAAACTACAGGGTTCCCACGGTCATTGAAATCCTGGAAAACTCCTGGAAATTGACGATGTCATTTTACAGGCCTGGAAAAGACATTAAATTTTAGTATCCCTTTCACGCAGTGTTCTGTTCAGTTATCATTAGGCTATTATGATTATTTCCGAACGTCTGCGCCTTTTGTTTAAAAGAGACGACAATAAACGCAATGACAGTATTTTGAATGTTAAAAAAACTATAATACCAAACCATAAGGTGAGTGGAAAGAGTTAACATTTCATATTTAGCCCTAAAAGTTTGATCAATTATACACATGTAGGGGCTGTAAAGTAATGGAAAATTCACTTTAGGTCATGAAAAAATCATGGAAAAGTTTTGACATTTTCTCAGTGAAAAAGAGTGGGAACTCAAACTACTCTGTAGACAGACAGAAATTTACTGTGAGATTGGAAGCCCCATGCAAAATAATACAACAATAATGGCAATGGTGTCCACGGCAACTTCCAGAATAAGGAGAATGGTCCTCATATGTCCAGACTCCGCTCCTCCTCCTCCCTTACTCTCCTCTTAGTCCTCCAGGTACTGCCCGGTGTAGTTAAATATCACAACCAAAAACTGGCAGTGAGAAGCCAGTGACGGTTACTAGGTGGTCTTAGAACATATAAAATACTGATTTTGCGCAAAGAAATTTTCTTGAATCTCAAATTGTGAGAAAACGTTATCTTTTTATTACCACTTCTCTGCATTTACTTGCGATTATTTTTAAATTTTAGACTCTTGGTCAAACTTCATGGGTCATGTGGCAATTTACAAAAAAGATAACAAAGACAAAAATTACAATCCTTTGCTGTTTTAAATCAAAACTCCTGTTTTTAAAATAATCAAAATGTAAAATAATAATCTTCACGTGTTATAGTTTAAACGGCTATTTTCTAATCTATGTTTGAATGTTGTTTCCTCATCACAAACCGACCTGGAACTGTGTTTTGTTTCATTCACATAAGTTTAAAGCACAAACCCTGCATATTTAGGCTGAGTTCTTTTCTCAAACAGAAAACACCTTGTGATGTCATGTAGTAATACAGGAAGTGCTCCACTGTGTTTTCAAACTCCATACACCTTCACTAGAATTATTTGGATAATTTTGGCCCTGGAATTGCCAATCTCTACTGTACAGAAAGTGAAAGGTGGTTGTTCACTTGAAAACTACCACCACATGACAAAACTCTAGGTGTGTTTTTGAGGAGGTAACAACATTTTTACAAGAGTAAATTTTGAGTAATATTGGACCTTTAATACTTTATACCCCCCCAAAAACCATAATACATCTGCTTTAATCTAAAACATAGTTCATGGAGATAAAAAAAGAAAGCAGAACGTAGGTCAAACCTGTAGTCAGACCTCCAGTGAGATCTCCAGTATAAACAAGCACAGGGCCTCATGCAGTCGCAGTAACACAGTGAAGCATGTGTGACTCTGTTGTCTTGTTCAGAGGCCATGTCAGCGGGGGACAGTCATGAGGAGGGCCGTTTGGTGTACCGCTACGGAGGAGAGCCCGTGGGCGCCTTTGTCCAGCCCAGCCTGCGCCCGCTCATGCCCTCCATCGCACACGCCATGTTCCTGGACGTAACCCATGACAACGAGTGTCCCATCCAGGTTTGTACTGTCACTCTGAACATGGAAGCCACACTGACATAGTGTACAGTACTCATATACTATAGATAAATTGTATCTGTTGCAGAGGTGGGTAATACATTTTCTGCTAGACATTAAAGAAATTGCTGTTTTTAACATATAAAAACTTAATAAATTACATACTTATTCATTTATACTGTATCATCTATTTTGATCTTGATATTTTGACATAAAAAGTCTGATTCAGTTTAGAATATGTTACTTTTCAATGTTCTACTTGTAAAAAAGTAACCAACTGGATTTCAGCATTGAAAGTGACAACCAAAATCAGACTCATTCTGCTTTTTGATTGGATAATTGTCTTGAGAACAAAAACACTAAATTCATAACAAGTATGAATGCACCCTTACAGTTCAGTCACTTTTGCAATACTGAAAGCTCAGTCCACGCACCTGAGGACTGTTATGAGGAAAATCCAAAACAAGATGCACATTTTTGTGAATCTTCCATCCTCATTGTATACTGCATGTAACTCATGATTCCCGTTCTCTGCTGCAGCTGCGTTCGGCTCTGGACTCTCTGCCCAGCTCTGCCATTGTGTCCATGGCCTGCTGTGCCACGGGCTCCACCAGAGGGTACGACGAGCTCGTGCCACACCAGGTACTGTACCACTGAGGAAAATGCCAGCTAACTACTGTCAGATCTAATGCTTTTGTGTTTGTGTGTGTGTTTGTGTGTGTGCAGATCTCTGTGGTGAAAGAGGAGCGTTTCTACCCCAAATGGAACCCCTCGGCCTCCCTCTCCTCGTTGGGGGAGGTGGGCCCGCAAACTGGCATTGTGGCTGGGAAACTGGCACTGAACAAACTGCACCAGGAGCTGGCAGCACAGGGTTTCATTCAGGTAACACAACAGTCCATCGTTTTGGGGGGTTTATTTGTTCCTTCTAACAAATGGATAGTGAATGTGGTATCTTTGAGAACTTAAATATGCACTGTGTAACTTTTCTGGTGTTATTTATTTGCCTGGAATGTACTACAGAAACTAAAAAACTTAAACTTTTCTTTTGCATTTTTACAGTTACAAGTGTTATTATTGCTCAAAAATACCTCTACAGGGGTTCAGACTCGCGGCCCGGGGGCCAACTGCTGCGGAAGGATTTTTTGCTCCACTTGATTCCAAAGAATAATTCTTATTACGACTCCCACCCCCCTACCGGCCGACTGAAGATGAAGCTGCAATCCCCATGCAGATTCACAACAGATTATTAACGCAGTTTACATCCCAAACTCAATGTACAACAGTTGTGAAGCAACGAGTCTAAGTGGACTGTTAATACAAGTACCGTGACATAGGCCTCACCGAAGAACCAAAACAAACCACATATGGTGGTACCGTGTGAGCACTTCACTTTACGCTCACCACAACACAGCATCAGAGTGCAGAGGAGGCGCTGACAGAATCCCCTGTTCTTAAGTATGGGACTTTATTGGAGGGGCTAATAAGAAATAAAAGACATTGACAGTCTGTTTACCTGTTCAACACTCCGTGCGTAACTTGCTGGCAACCAGATGACCAAGCTCCACCTGTGCGTCGTCGAAATCCACCGCACTCAGCGGTAAACACAGTCATCAATATGCAAGCACCACAAAACTGCAGTGATCTACCAGAGGCTGGCGACATGGCAAAAACTACGAGGCAAAAACAAGCGTCTTCCATATGTCTGACTACGAGAAGCAGACCTCCATGTGGTCCGCTTTCACACCGGCAAACAACCAAAACGGTCCGATTAACGAGCTCTGTCCCGTAGAACAGTGATATCCCAGTAACCAATACTGATGTTCCTGTTAATACCGCGGGCGTCCTCATCTTATCACCAGTTCATAAAACAGCAACGTGAACTTTGTACAAACTCACCGCATCAGTTCTGAGTTCGGGTAACAGCAGCAGCCAACAGCGTTCAGCGTAGCGCGCAGCTCCTCAGGACGGCGCTGGGGTCTGGTCCTTGGTCTTCTGTCGTCCTACAAGCGCTTTGGTCAGATGGTCCGGAGGCTCTGTCCTCCATGTGCTGGTTCCAGACGGTGGCGAGCAAGACCAGTGCGCAATGACTGGTTCTGAGCGGGTACGTTCCGCCGTCTGCGCGTTGGTTTCGTGTTCCGTGCGGGGAAAGTGAGAATGCGCTGTGGACTACCTACAGGTCTGTGCTGCTCCTGTCCTCCGCGCTCAAGAACCGCGGCTGGTTCCGAGGTGGTGCAAAGCATCCGGACAGAACGTGAATCCAGTTTAGTTGGTGTCCGCATTTGGTTCTTCCCGGGAAAAGGGCTTTTCACTCCCCGCTCCACGTCATCTGTGCCCGGACAGAACCGGAGCTGCTCCTGCTGGTTCGGGACTCTGGTTTGGATCTAGTCCGACTGTATTTCTCACACTAGGCTAAAAGCAGGACATTTTTTAAAGGTGAATCAATTGAATGGGTGATTGCCTATTGTCATAAAATTATTTGGTTAATTAAAGCCTAAAATAACAAATGCTTGTTCCTACATGATCACGGGGAACACCGGGACCTCTGTGCAGGTCCTGAACAGAAGTACACACCCCCATTTTTGACTCACTCTGGAGCCACACGTTCGCACGTTCTTGCTCTGATCTTCGTGTATTACATTCTCTGTATTGGCCATTGTTGTTAAAATATTTCGAAAATGAATTGCGGCTGCGTCTGGACAACAATCTGTTACTGCGCTGGAGTCGTACAGCGCGTCATTCAGGCAGGAGACATGTTTCTCCCATGATGCATCTAGAATAGTTTGTTTGAACCTGCTGTCTATGGTTTGGACCCGGGTTCGCGTTCACACCAGGTAGAATCGCACCAAAGTTGGTCATTTGGTGCGGATTCAAGCGAACCGAGACCACCTCTTTTTTGAGGTCTCGGTCCACTTGAGTTGGTCCGGGTCAGAGTCTGATTGACGCTTTCACATCAACGCAAACGAACCGAACTAACCACTTCTGGTTCGAATGGATCGTTTGGTGCGCACCAAATACTGTCGGCGTGAAAGCACCTAATACAGGTCAAGGCTCACTGATGAGCATCTTCAATCTATCCTGAGGATCTGCTTCCTCCTGCAAGCCAAATATCTCTCAGCTGTGCAAGATGAAGCGTAGCCAGGTTTCAACCAGCAAGGAGTAGGCAAAAGAAGAAGAGTAGACACATTAGTTTAAACTTACGTTCTGAATACATTTTCATGTTCTGAACTGTTATTAAAGATTAAGAAAGTGTGTTGCATGTTGTTCTTTCTCTCTCCTTTTTTCCCGTGCAACCGCTATTTATCAAATACTCAATGCGGCCCAGCCTCACTCAGACTTTCTCTAATGTGGCCCCCAGGTAATTTGAGTTTGAGACCCCTGCTCTACAGATTTGACCTGTAACTTTCTAGGCAAAGAAATGCTCCATTAAGACATTACAGTGCACTTGACTAAGTAAACTAGTGAACTGATAACCAGGCTGCTCCCTGCCTACTCTGTGTGACTGTCCCAGGTGTACGTGGACCAGGTGGACGCAGACATCGTGGCCATCACTCGTCACTGCCCCAGCACACACCAGTCTGTGGTGGCCGTGTGCAGGACCGCCTTCCATGACCCCAAAACCCACCACTACGACTCCAATGTGCCCCCCATGTTTATCCCAGGTGTGACCCTCTCTCTCTGCCTGCATGTGTATGTGTGTGACCAGTGGACACTGGAACTTGTGTGTGTTGTTTCCAGGTAAGATTGAGGAGGTGGTCCTGGAGGCTCGGACAGTGGAGAGGAAAGCTGATAACTTCGAGAAAGACGGCAAGTTCATCAACGGGCTGCCCCAGTACACTGTGGAGATTAAAGAACATATATCGGTAAAGCTGGTTCACACAGAGAGTCCCAAAGAGGGGGTCACGATTTCCTGGGGTGCGCGAGACTCTGAGCCGAGGATCGCCAGATGATTTCAACAGAACCCCTATTCTATTGCAGGGGATCCCAAAATAACCATCCGACCAACTCGAGTTGGGATCCCTCAGCAAAAGGAAATTGATATTAGTAATACTTTTAAGTGTCAAATCTAGGTTAATGTTGTTTTAGTTTAACAAATTATCTGGAGGACCTTTAACCATAGACTGTACACGAAGGGAGAGAATAGTCACGCCAGTGTTCGGCCAAATGAAGCCAATCGAGACAAGCTGTTATAGGGGCTATTCTGCAACCACGTTTTATATACGGTTATCTGAGTGCCTAACCAAAGCGAGGGTCCTGAATGTACGTCACACCAGCGCTGTGCAGTGAGGCTTGGTATGTGTCCATCAAACCTGTTGTTAACGCTAGCGGGACCATATCTCTTGAGAGAATACATTTATTAATCTGTATTAGACTTAGACAAACTTTATTGATCCACAAGGGAAATTACTTGGACACAGTAGCTCACACATCACAATATATTATAATAACAAAGAGAAAAAATATATGGTAATAATAAATTCAAAATAACTGGCAAAAATAACAACTGTCATGTTCATATCTTGATTTACAGACAAAATGGCTAAATAAAAACCACCCAGATCATATAGAGCGCTCAGAATGACACGCCTGACAGCAGCAGTTACAGAGACAGGAGCCACCATTTTTCAAGAGAAGTCTGTCTATATATACAGTCTATGCCCCCAACTCGTGGCCCCACTTTGGGAACCAATTTACACTGGTGTGGCCTGCAGGTGTCACTGTTAATAATATATTTGTGTGTGTGTGTGTGTGTGTGTGTGTGTGTGTGTGTAGCTGGAGCAGAGCACAGTGGTGAAGCACTCTGCAGTCACAGCTAAAGATCGCTCTGAGTTTGTCCAAGAGATCACGTTTGAGAAGCTCACCCCGGGCAGCGTCATCGCCTTCAGGTAACACTTGAATCTGACTTCAGCCTGGCTTATTCTGCCCTAAGCGTGGCCCTAAGTCAGCCTCATCTAAACTCTTCTTATGAGTTTGACTTTAAATATGACATTATGATGCTGATACTGTGTGACACTGACACTGCCAGTCAAAAGTCTGGACACACCTCATTCATTGTTTGTTTTTCTTTGTGTTTACCACTTCCCTCATCATCATATATGGTGCCAAGATACAGTAAATGGAATAATGTAGTAAAGAAAAAATAATAATAAAATAACTGAACAAAAAAAAACACAGACATGTTCCCTGTCCACAAAAGCATGAAGCTCTTACCTTCTGCATGTTTTTCCCAAACTAAATAGTCGAAGCTAAAACAGACAGAAGTATGTCTGTCAGCGTCTCCATGTTTGTTTTAGTTAGTTTGGGAGTTTTCCCTTTGGCTCCACCCAAACCTCAATGCTGCAATGTGATTGGTTTGCCCACCTAAATAAACTGACAGTGGACAAATATTGTGAAAATCCATCTTGCTGTGCAAGGTTAGTACCTTGTCTGGGTCAAAAGCAGTGATCAAGTTATTTTGAGTAGATTTTGTCTCTACTACATTCCTCAGGTGTTCATTTACAGTTTTGATGCCTTCAGTGAGAATCTACAATGTAAAGAGTTAAGAAATTCAGAAACAAAGTGTATGTGACTGGCAGAGATCATTGGAGAATAATTTTTGTTTTGAATGTGCTCAAACTTCAGCAACCGGTATTTCTATAACTCTAAGACTTTTGCCCTGCCCCTGAGTGTAGGAACTCCACTTTTATTATGAAATAATGAAACATATTTGTACTTTGTGTTTTGTTTTTCCAGGGTGAGTCTGGACCCCAAAGCCCAGCAGGTGGTGGGGGTGCTGAGGTATTACCTGTCCCAGTTCAGTCCTAAGTTCCGCAAAGGAAGTACAGCTGACGACAACCCCCCCGAGGTGCTCCAGAAGCCCCTCTCCCAGTCAGTGCACACTCACACAGCTCACATACACATGTGGCTAAATTGAGAGGCCAGTCCTGTCTAACATACGTGTGTCTGTTTGTGTGTTTTTGTGTGTATTAAGGCTCATGTCCAAGCTGTCCCTGGCTGACATGAACGTGCTGCTGTTCCGCTGTGATGCTGAGGAGCAGGAGGATGGAGGAGGCTGTTACAGTATTCCAGGCTGGGAGAGCCTCAAGTACGCCGGCCTGCAAGGTACTTCATATACTAGTCTGTCCGGACTACAAAGTACTTCACATACTAGTCTGTCAAGTGGAATAAAGACAGAGGGGAGAGCTGAGCAAAATCTAATCACGATCGGCCATATTTTAACTCAGTGCTTTTCTGTTTAAAGCAACAGTATGTCACTTTCTGGCCGTGGCACATCTGCATGATTTCATGGAAATGGAACGTTAAAACCATACTCCAGAACATTCCAGAACATGGAGATAGAAATGTCTAATGCCACACTGTGGAATATTATATCCAAAAGAACAACATTTCCATGGACACAAACAGGAGGACGCTCTCTTCCAAATAACGCAATTTTTAAGGCCACCAATGATTTTTAAGACCTTCTTTTCTTCTTTGTGTGCGCTTAGGTCTGGTGTCTGTGATGGCCAACATCCGTCCCAACAATGACCTGGGCCACCCTGTGTGTGCCAACCTCAGACAGGGAGACTGGCTCCTGGACTTCACCTCCAAACGCCTGATCTCCAAAGAAGGGCCCCTGGCACAGGTCACTCTCCTCCACACACATAGTAGTACAGACTATTCCTTATAATGATATAACTGCAAGTGGTCACACACGGTGAAGGGGATATGAAGCAGTTTTCTGTGGTGTATTATTCTGTTTCATTCTTCATAAAATCTACAACCCTACAAATGGTCTCATCACTGTTCATTTTCTTGAAATACCTTTATCACATATTTATACTCAAATTCTGACTAATGAACAAAGATGCTGTATGTTGAATATGTAACCCTTAATGAAAACGTAGATTAAAGTCTTAAACATGTGCTGTGTTGCAGGTGGGCGAGTGGCTGGCAGCCATGTTTAAATACCTGAAGCACATCCCTCGTTACCTCATCCCCTGTTACTTTGATGCCATCTTGGTCTCCACTTATACCACGGCTTTGGACTCCACCTACAAGCTCATGTCCAGGTGAGAGATTCTCGTGTCTGCTCTTTGTTTGTTTAGTTCACAGGTGTCAAACATACGGCCCGGGGACCAGATCCGGCCCTCCAAGACCTTTAATTTGGCCCTTGGCTGATTTTCTACTAAAATATTTTAATTATATTTTCTATTAAAATATTGGTAATTTTCTCCGTCGCTTAGCACAGCAGTGTCTCCAGCGTCTCTGTACGTGGCCCTTCCCACCAGTGCAGCACAAATGAAGACTTGTCTCTTTCCAAACGCTCTTAAAGGACGATAGTTTTGACTGTTGACCGTGACACCCTCATCAGAAAAATGTCCAACATGAGAAAAGCGGACGCCGAGTGCAGAATTTTCCAAGAAAAATTGACTTGTTCCTATTTAAATACAAGTTAAAGTTAAAACATTGTGTTGAAATGGATTTTTCTTAAAGTTTCAGGTTGTTCATAATATTATAATATTTTGTAAAAGAAAGAGTTCATCAATTAAAAAATATTTCTGTAATAGATTTGCGTTTCTCTGCACAAATATTTGAACTTAATGTTATTTTGGGGGTATATATGCCATGAGTTTTCTGATCCGGTCCCTTTGAGATCAAAGTAGATTGGATATGGCCCCCGGACCAAAATGAGTTTGACACCCCTGGTTTAGTTGTTTATTGTTTAGTGTTTATTGTCTGGCTTTGGCCCTGTACAGATGTGTTTGTTTGGTGATTTGTTGTGTATTTAATTGTTTACTGTTTGTTTTTTGTATGTGTGTAGTTTTGTCCAGAACGGCTCGAGCTTCGTGCGACACTTGGCTCTGGGCTCTGTGCAGATGTGCAATGTGGGCAGACTCCCCGCTCTGCCTCCGCTCTCAGACAAACTGGAGGGAGTGCCGTACCGCCTCAACCCCATCAGCGGAGAGAAGGAGCAGTGCTGTGTGTCAATGGCTGCAGGTAACACACCCACCTCTTATTATGGGTCAAATGCAGATAAATGTTTAAAGTCCTTGTTGTAGAAAGCTGACAGCCCTGGTGTGTCTGTGTGTCTGTGTGTGTGAGCAGGTCTCCCTCACTTCTCTGCTGGGATCTTCCGCTGCTGGGGCCGAGACACATTCATCGCTTTGAGAGGACTCATGCTACTCACAGGAAGACACCTGGAGGCCCGGTATGAGACACACACACACACAGACACACATTACACACTTCTAGTACACACACATGCATACACGTATATACACGGCCTTTACGTCTCGTTCTCTTCTTCCTCCTCAGTAACATCATCCTGGCGTTCGCGGGGACTCTTCGTCACGGGCTCATCCCAAACCTGCTGGGAGAGGGCCGAGGTGCTCGCTACAACTGCAGAGACGCCGTGTGGTGGTGGCTCCAGTGCATCCAGGTACTATACTGTGACTGTACACCCCAGAGGTGCATGAATCCTGCTCAGTGTTCCCATTTTTATCCGTCATCCAGGCAGCGAAATCCCCCAAAAAAAAGAGGTTGTAATCAGGTTGTCTGCTCATGGAGAAAAACCTGTCCAAAGCTCACAGACCCTTTGACCTGCTGTGACAAGTGTTTTCTCTGAGCTACATTGTACTGAAGTGTTTTTATGTTTGTCTTCACAGGATTATGCGAACCACGTCCCTCAGGGCCATGAGATCCTGCTCTGTCCCGTGTCTCGCATGTACCCCACTGATGACAGTCAGCCCCTCCCCCCAGGACAAGTGGTAAGTTCTCATCATACTCATACTGTGTAGTAGAATCAGGGGTGAAAGTAAGCCGCTACAGTCCAGTACTGCATACACCTAAAACATTTGGTGTCAGATTTGGCAGCTCGTTGTCTCCCTGCCTTACGCACAGAGCACAGAGCAGATGTACACACAGCTTTTCTTCTTCTGTCTTCTGTACAAGTGAGACTAAAGGAGGAAACTATCTTGGCAAACTTTACTACACAACTAAAAAGTTTAGTGCCAGTCCATGTTTTTGCGTATATTGATTTGCAAATTAGCGTTGTGCGTCTGTAATGAGTTGTCATGCACACAGAATCCTTATCCCCGTATAAGAGAGGGCTTGAGAACTAAGAGGGTGAAAACCTTATAGCCACTGACAGAATGTAGTCCTCATACTCCTCCTAAGCGTCTTTTGTTTTATCTCAGTGCTATTTCAAAGTCTCTAAGCTCCGCTCATCTGAGGCGGCGGCAGGTACGTAAGAGAACAGGTCCTTTTCTTGTAGAACAAAGAGAGCTCCTGCACTTTCTCACTCTTTTCATGTCATTTATTACTTTCAAAATTTGGGTCGACTGACCTTCATCAGGTACTAGTATTTGTTCTGATTTAAAAACACTGAAATAGTGTGCAGGAGCATTTTTTTTCTTTTTTCTTCTTTGTTTAACTTTTGCAATTAATGGGTTAAATATTTATTCCTGGCCCCACATAAAACATACAAACTTTTCCTGTAAGACTTTGAATGTTTTTTGCACAGGAACAGCCCCTGTATGATGTGATCCAGGAGGTTCTGCAGCGCCACCTGGAGGGCATCTCCTTCAGAGAGAGGAACGCAGGGCCCAAGATCGACATGCAGATGAGAGACGAGGGTATGCACTCATACACACGTTTTACCTGTTTACAATAGACATATGTGTAAGAATCATGTATGTGTGTGCTCAGGCTTCAACGTGGAGGTCAAAGTGGATCCAAAAACAGGCTTTGTCTCTGGAGGGAACCGTTTTAACTGCGGCACGTGGATGGACAAAATGGGAGAGAGTGAGAGGGCCAGGAACAAAGGCATGCCCGCTACTCCCAGGTGTGTGGAGACTGTTCTAGACCTGATTCTGTTTGCTCTTTAGAGGCACACATGTGTAGCACTGTCATACTGTCCCGCACAGAGATGGTGCAGCTGTGGAGATCGTGGGTCTGAGCAAGTCTGCTGTGCGCTGGGTGGTGGACCTGCACTCTAAAGGACTGTTCCCTTACGACGGAGTCACAATCCAAAACAATGGTACGTCTGAATGCCTTTGTTCTATTATAGGAAATATTAGGAAACATCAGGTTTCAATATTGTGATTTAAAATGTCCAAAACCTAAAATAGTGATCTGTGTGTGTCATACTCTAACTCTATAGCAGACAAAATTACTTACAAATTAAATTACTAAAGAACTACACAGTGATACTAATGTTGTGTCCAGGCACAGAGTCCTTCGTGTCCTACGCCCAGTGGAACCAGCAGATCCAGGCCTCCTTTGAGACTCACTTCTGGGTGTCCGAGGACCTCCACGACCCCAACGAGAAGCACCCTGAGCTGGTGCACAAGAGGGGCATCTACAAGGACAGCCACGGAGCCTCCAGCCCCTGGTGCGACTACCAACTCCGGCCCAACTTCACCATCGCCATGGTGGTGGTGCGTGCAGCCTCTTATACTTCTGTCTGTCACATCTGTGTACATGTGTTTTATACCACTGATCTGTGGAAATATAAGATCTGTTGATACTTTGCAGTGATGTCATGCTGAGGGGGATCTGCATGTATGTGTATGATGCAGTTACCAAAGTGTCAATGTAAACATTAGCAAACACAACTTGATAGGTTTTAAGGAAAAAAAAAATTTAAACAGCTCATTTTCAGAAGCATAGTCACAGCATAGGTCCTAAACTGGACCATGAACGCTTCTGTGATCAATACAAGCGTTCATGGTCCTGTTAAGGAACTGTATCAATACTTCTGCGTCTGGTATTACTAACTGGACAGTTTTCTATCTGTCAGACTACATTCTGTATTTATCATTGTTGTACCCGGATTAATACTACATTTGTCTGTGTGTGTGTGTTAGGCTCCAGAGCTGTTCACTGTGGATCATGCCTGGAGCGCTTTGGAAATGGCCGAGAAGAAGCTGCTGGGGCCTCTGGGCATGAAGACCCTGGACCCAGAGTAAGTTCTGCTCTGAGAACATGAGGCTCATGTCTGTGTTTGTGCAGATGTTAAACTGACCTGTGCTGTTGCAGTGACATGGTTTACTGTGGCATCTATGACAACTCTCTGGACAATGACAACTACAACCTGGCCAAGGGATTCAACTACCACCAGGGACCTGTAAGTCTGTAAGCCCTCTGCTGGGTGTGAGGGGTACTGCATCTGAAAAAATACCCAGCATACTAAAGATACAAATAATGCTTGAGTCTAATACATGTGTGTGTAGGAGTGGCTGTGGCCTGTGGGATACTTCCTCCGAGCCAAACTCTACTTTGCAAAGAAGAAGGAAGAAGAGAGAGACAGTGTGACTCTGGTGAAGAACGTGCTGTCCAGACACTACACTCACCTGGAGAGGTAGAGCTCCTTCAGCTTTAGTCTGTGTCACTAAGTATTAAGGTGGACAGTGAGGTGGACAATGAGGTGGACAAGCATCTAAACTGAGCTATTGGAGTTTGCGTCTCCCACATCCAGACATGTCCCATAGTTAAGGCCTTTATTCTGTTTGCTTTTCATTCAAAGCAAAATAGGACACTCCATTTTTTTTTTATACTAGGAATAGATCATACTAATCACCTTGAAGACTGTATTTCACTGATGCAATAACCATAACGTACTTAAAGTGCACAATAGTTTATAGCAGGGGGTTTCAAACTATGGCCCAGGGGCTAAATGCGGCTCTTAGAGCTGAATTGCCCCAGATGGTCAGTGGTAGTACTTTTTCCTGTAAATTTAAATGCTTATATACAATCAAAACAGTGTATTGTAATACAACTCACTGTAGTGAGTCATTGGATTAAAAAGAGATCTGTGGCCCTCAAACAACTCATTTCACACAATCCAGCCCCTTACTTGTTTGTGTCCACTGAACAGCACTTGCTGCAAATCTCATGACACATTGTTAAAAACTGAGCTCAAAAAGCTGAGCTCAAAAAAGCAAAAAGTTTCCAACACTGTTTTGTGTGAGCCAGGTAGCTTCAAGAGCAGCCAACCACTCGTGAGAGAGATACTAAGGAACAGACTCAATACTCTAAACCGATTATGATACCACAACCATAATTAAACTATTTTTCTACTCTGAGCGCACTCACTCTGGCCCAATGGAAAGACGCCAAAGCGTGAATCACTCCTAAATCACAGTACATGTGTCCAGAATGAGTGCAGAAAGACGATTGTTAATAAATATGATGTTTCCTAATTCCTTCTCCTGACCAGCTCTCCCTCTCTCCTCAGGTCTCCATGGAAAGGTCTCCCTGAGCTGACCAATGAGAATGGTCAGTACTGTCCGTTCAGCTGTGAGACTCAGGCCTGGTCCCTGGCCACTGTGCTGGAGGTGCTCTATGACCTTTAAACTCATTGTAACAACATGAACCCTGAGAGATAAACAGTGTAGTACTAACCCACATCACTGCATCACACATGTGCAATACAGAGGCCAGACTGTCCTGAGCGCACGCTCACAGGACTTTCCGGCTTTTAGCATTTCAGCTGTCTACTTTTGTCATTGTGCAATCATCTTTTACTTGTTACATCATTGCAATATGAGGGGATTTGAATGAACATTTTAAGACTTATTAAAGTGGGACTAAACAACTAAACTCCGCCCACATCCACATTTCAGACAGAGCTGCTAAACTGGGCAGTACCTGGAGGACTGAAGGGGGAGTGAGGGGGGAGGAGGGGTTTCTGATTACAAGCACCTGGATGTAAACAGGACAGTCTTGCTTGATGTCACCAACTACTGGAAACTGCAGTTTTTTAGATGTTTTTAACCAGAGTTTTTGCACCAAATTTGCCCCAAAATGAGTAGGAACAGTAGATAAAGCTTTTAAAATATACACCATTTATTAGGGCAACTGTACTGTACATTGCAATATCACAGCAGCAGAAAAGCAGAAAGGACTAAGTGGGCATGGCTTTAAATGAGTAAAGTTTTAGTAATTTTTTTTCTCATTGATTACTGTTTTGTAATCGGACACGTCTGAGCCTCTAGAGATAAACTGCTGTTAGAATAAACCTGTTTAACATGTGACTTTAGTCGTTCATGAAACCGCTGAATGTCATTTGACTATAGATGGAAATGCACTTTATAAATATGGGAAAATACATGAACTATAGCAAAAGTAGGAATCGTAACAAAAGGCAAAGATGACTCATGATAATCTAATATGCGATGGAGAGGTGTTGATAACCCTGTGACCTTTGACCCTTTGTAGTGTTTTTAGTGTAGAGTCTTCCACTCTCTCATTGCCTTATGCTCAGACTACTGTTACCATGCACCTGAGACACTGGACAGACCAGAATGCATCCATGTGATCCACTGCTGCTGTATCAATGTTTAGTGTGGACTTTGTTGTAATTCTAAATGTCACATATTAAAGAACTGGTGCATATCTGTGTATGTGCAGTCTGTCATTTGATTCACTTGGAAATGTTTCATAAAAAGAAGAATACATTGGATTTATTTAGCACCTTTCAAGACGTCGAGAGCTCTTTACAGTTCCATGCATTATTCATTCAGTGGTGGGCTGCCGATCTTTACAGCAAATAACCGACTTTATATCATATTTAAAATGCAAAACTTTTTTCCATATTCTCCTTTGAATGAGATCCCTGTTTAACTGGAAGTGCCACCACAAAAAAACTGTGGTTTGGGAGCATTTAGAGACAAAAATAGGCAGGGATTGGTGTGGATTGTAGCCAAAGCTGCCCTGAGGCACACTGAGGGAAGTGAGGTTTTCAGTCTGCGCCATCACCTGACCACCACTAACTCACTCAGAACACATTCATATTAGGCAAGAGGAGGCAACATTTTGGTTAATTAAATGGCTATTACCATTGTAAATGTATAATTTTGATGCCTAACTATGTGCAGTACTAAATGGTTTAAGTTTTATAAGTATCTAACTGTACCTCATCTAAGGCCGTGGCTCTTTTAAATACTCAATTTCTTGAGACCACTAAAGTGAGTAGCTCTCTGGTGTTTTCATTTTGTAAAGGTAGCTCACTGGAGGAAAAAGGTTGGAGACCCGTGCACTAGAGCCCCTGCTGCCCCACTGTGGCACCTCGTATTCCCAGTGGTCTCATGACTCCCATACAATTTTAATTTTAGGGAATAACATTTATAATATGAATAAAACAAGCCCATTAAATCCATTATTGTGATAGTACATTAAAGCTGCAGTATGTAACTTTCTTTAGTGGTGTGTCACCTGCATGATTGCGTGGAAATGGAAAGTTAAAAATGTACTCTACTGTCCATGGAGATGGGTAAGTTTTATAGTCAGGCTGGCGCCACCTAGTGCCTCCGCTCAATTTAATTTCTCTCCAGCGACAAGGTCAGGAATCAGAATACACTAAACGGTTTGCAAAAACCCAAGAGTGTGAGTTCGGGCACCAGCCAATCAGTGAAAAGCCATACATTCTGTGTTAGCAACAATTACTGAGATCGAGGATTTAAAGCTGGGACAAAGAGTTGTGTTTGGTGGATTTTATCAAGGGGAAAGACGTTACTACACTTCTTCCTCCAAGAAAAGCTTAATTTACCAGTTAGCCCCGTTAGCACCGCATTACATATGTCACAACCAAATAGCAGCGATTGGTTAAATGAAAAAGTACCCGCTTACCATTGAGCGAACGAATCCTAACGTCAGACGGTTTCTATGAAGTGAAACCTGCTGGTGAATCAGGCTATAAGTTTTATGCCATATTGTGAAATATTATGGCCAAAGGAATATTTCCATTGAGACGAGTTACATACTGTGACTAAATGATCTGTTTTTTTAGTAATAAAATCTAAAATTATTATTTTTAAATCTACAAGGTTCATTTTTATTCACCCTTTAAATGCTATACATTTTGGCTACATGGTCATTTCACTAACTCAATTACAAAGTTAAATATTACATCAGTTTGCAGACAGATCAAGCCGTCAAAGTTGCATACATTTAGCTCAGATGATCTTTAAAAGTCCTTTATTCCAACACAAAGACACATTTACGGTACATGTGCAGATGAGTGGACAGACAGAGGTTTGACAGTGAAGTGAAGTGATTCTGGAGTTGTTCCTGTGGAGGGTGGAGCTGCTGGTTCTTCTGTGTCAGGAGTGAACGAGCAGAGACACAGAGCAGAAGAGGAGCACGGACCATGACACCACCTGGACACAACACACACGTCGATGGTTCTGTATAGACTCGTTTGCTTCATGGGTGTGTGTCAGTGTGCAGTACTCACAGCAGGTGGCGCTCCAGGACTTCTCTCCAGTTTGACAGAGGGACTGGTCACGTTTAACCAGAACTTACTGTAACTCTTCACCACTGTGGCCCTGCTCCAGACACACACAATCAGGACTTCCTAGGCTTGTGCATGTCAATGGTCATAGTTTTCCTGCCACTAAAAACAGTCTTACCCACTCCACAAAACACCCAAAGGAAATCTATTATTACACCAGACTGTTGATGTAAATGTCTGTGTTGATAGAATAATGTTTGAAATAAAAGTAACCTTGCATTGCATGAATCATCGCATGTTGAGGGACTATTTTCTCACATATCAGTCCGCCGCTGCAGAGCTTTCTATCAGGAAGTACAACTCACTGCTGCTGCTCAGACAAAAATCTTCAAATGCAAGGTTGATTTTACTTCTAAAATTATTCTATCGACACAGACATTTACAGTCTGTTGTAATAATAGATTTGCTTCGGGTGTTTTGTGGAGTGGGTAAGACTGTTTTTAGTGGCAGGATAACTATGGCCACTGACATGAACTAGCCTAGCACCAGCGACCTCTGCAAATATAAGGACTGGATGGAATATTTAAAAAAGTGTCTCCACACGTCGCAACACTCTGGCTCACGAGGAATTGAGGTCCTATGTCCAAAATTCCAGGCTGTCCCTTTAACCCTTTCCACTCACCTTAAGGTTTCGTATTATAGTTTTTTTAACATTCCAGATACTGTCAGTGCATTTATTGTTGTCTCTTCTAAACAAAAGTCGCATACATTCAGAAATAATAATAATAGTCTAATGAGAACTTAACAGAACGCTGTAGTTGTGTGAAAGAGATACTAAAATTCCATGACTTTTCCAAAACTTTCATTGAATTTACAAATTTCCATGACTTTTCCAGGATTTCTATGACCGTGAAAACCCTGTTGGATATAAGGTGGGTTTGAATAGGGTTCAGGAGAGATCGCTAAATTACTCAAACATGAATGGATGACATCTAAAACCTCTTCAGGCGTGTTTTTTGATGAGGGAACAATGTTTTAACACAGAAGAAAGCTTAAAAAAGTGGGCGGAGATAGGGGGTAGGTGGAAAAAATACACTTACTGACCCACCCCTTGTTTACCTAAAGTGCACGTCTCCACATTTCTCATTGTTTGGTGCCTCCCACGTCAGCACCACTTTGGTTCTTTTGGTATTATTGGCCTGACTGACGGCTGAGTTCTGTTACAAAGAGAATGGTTTTATTATCAGTTTTCACACGTGTATGCAGCGTATGAGTCGAGCTGGTGTATTAGTCACTTACCATTTTACTGTTGCATGTGAGAGAAGTAAACATGTTATTGTTGATGACCTTGAACTTTCCAACGGGCCAAAGCTCTGACACAGAACAACACAGAGTCACTTCACTGTCAAGAATTGTAATTAAAGAAACTGTATGTAAGATTTTGAGTTTAAATTCCATAAACATGACCTAACTGTGTCCCCAAACTTGTACAAATCAAACATGGCTTTTACTGATAAAAATTGTAATGCTGATTTATTTATTGGATGTGGTACGCGGGGGTTTATTTCAGTGAAATGTTTTACCTGGGCTGCTGCTGCTCCGAGCCTGAAGAAAGAAGCCCTCAAAGTAAAGTGTGGCGTCCTGGACCTCCAGAGTCACTGACAACACAATGTGAGCACTTTCATTCTCAAAGACAAATACAAGAAAACATGAACAAATCACTCCCAAAATGAAAGAAAATCATGTAATGAACTCTTTAAGGGATGGTGTCAAATTTTGGAGTTTGATTTTACTAGTTTTCTGAGATACAGAACACACACTTCTTCAATACTTTATGAAGATGTGAGTGTGGTCCCTGGTGAGTCTCCCTATTTTCAAATGGCCATGATTGACAGATTAGGCCGATCAGGGACATGCCTGGTCTGTCTCTATCAAAAAAATAAAGGAAAAAAATACCACAGGGGACTGAAAAAGTTGTCACATTGATGTGGAGTCAATGAACAAGCTAGTGTAATCAAGACCGCACTAATCGAGAACAAGTCCAGTCCAAGACCACAGGGTCCCAAGAATGAGATAAGACTAAGACCTCTGAGAGTCGAGACCGACACAAAACCGAGACTTTTAAAGGTCGAGACCAAGATAAGACCGAGACCACGGCCCATCGAGACCAAATCGAGACAATTTTTATCATTTCATATCATATCATGTATTTTTATTTTACTGTTATTCTGGCACATATTTATCAATATTTTTATAAATGTATCTCCATTTGATCTGGTTAATGTTCATCTAGTCCTAAAACAAGCCAAGCAAACTGTACTGCACTGAAACACTCTCCCTTTTTGGACCCTCACCCACAGTTTGAGAACCCCATCTTTAATCCCACTTCCACTTTACAGAAAACAACTTCAAAGTTTATCAAGTGTTTTTTTTTTTTCAAGTTCATAACATTTACAGTTGCATTATCTTACTGATTTTGCAGTGATATTTAGCAACCTCTGCACATTTACTGAAATATGATTGCACTCGTCGAATGTCAGACCTCGAGTCCGAGACAAGACCGAGATCAACTGCCATCAAGACCGGGACAAGACTGAGTACAAATGCACTCAATTTCGAGACGAGACCAAGACCGTAAAAAGGCCGGTCTCGAGACTAAGACTGGTGTCGAGTACTACGAATCTAGAGCAAGGCAGTAACCTCTGTTCATCCGAGGGGAGAAAATTTTGATTTAATTTTAAATGATAGTGACTAATTTGTTTCACATGAGTCACTGAAATAAACAAATCACAGAGGCAGAGGGTGTGAGGACCAGACTGATATCAATAACAATACAACTGTACAAATATTATGAAAAATGTTTTGAGCTTTGAGTGCGTTGAAGGTGGAAAAGCGCTATATAAAATGTGACCAAAAAAACGGAAAGAAAATCTGAACATTACAAAGCTACCAGCACGTGTTTTAAAGGTCAGTTTTCAGTCATTTTCACCTACATTTTGAACATATTTGAACTGTACTGGAGTTTCTTGCTATTTCTGCTGCTTATTCATTTGTTTATTTTAGTTATTATAATATGCTGTGAGCTACAAATACTGTCCCTTGTAGACCAATAAAGTGTGAGGTTTCATGTGTCAGGTGTAGTAGAGCTGACCTGTAATGCTGTCCCCTGGCCTGTAGGTGTCAGCAGAGGCAGACAGGGTGTAGGGGGGGCTGCTGGAGTTGGCGGTGTAGGGCAGGTGCACGGGGATCATGCTTTCACAGGAGATGGACACGGAGCCGTTTGGGTAACACAGAGAGGAATCGAACCAGCAAACGCACACCAGCACAGCCACAGACCAGACCCACACTCGCATCTGCAGACGGGATACAGATAAAAACATAACAGTCACTGAAATTGACGCTATTTTCTCAGATTTTCATTTTATGGGAGACTTACTTAGCAGTCTTTACAATATCTGCATATAACTTCTTATATTACACTCTTTTCTGATGTTATAATGTTAAACCCACAAATCCTGCATATTTAGGCTGAAAAAAACACTGTGCTCCACTGTGTTTTTAAACTCACTACAATTATTTGGAAAATTTCAGCCCTGGACCTGTCTAGTGCCTCCGCTCAATTTCATTTCTCTCCAGCAACTAGGTCAGGAATCCGAATACACTAGACGGTTTGCAAGAATCCCGGAAGTTGTAGACAGCGCACCGGCAAATCAGCGAAGAACTGTGAAGCCATGACGTCAAATTCAATCTGACGAAGCAGATTATATTCTTTGAAAACCACCACACTTTCTTTACACAACAGAAAAGCTGAATGGTCCTTACACTGAACAAAAAGTAATCGGTCATCCACTGTTCTTTGAAAACTCTTCAACTTTTCGTACTTTTCTGTCCTTACCTGCACTACAGAACTCTGCTCGTGTGTGTCGACTGTCACTGTTTGATCTCGAGCTTCTGAGGTGATGAAAATTCGGTGGCAAATGTAAATACGTCATATAAAAATTCAAATATAACTATAAATACTTCATATAAATATCATTTTTAAATTGAAAAAAATCAACAAAATACGAGATGCAGACGTGTTATTATTTGCCAAAAAGTAATAAAAAAGGGTTACTCAAACATGTGAATTAAACAAAACACAACTCCAGGTCTGTTTTTGAGGATTTAACAACATTATAACAAGGCTAAAAGCTCACAAGAGTCAATTTTGTGTAATACAGGACCTTTAAACTTTTAAGACCAACAGCATGATGTAATCCAGGAGTCTCCAAACTGTAGCTCAGTACTTCTCCACCCCATTCCAAGTAGCTCGCCAGGGGATTTCTGAATTATATGTATTGTCTTGAATACTTTATGCACTAATACAATGATAATGGTTTATGTTTTATAGGTATCTAACTTAGGGTGATCACATTTTCAAAATAAAAAACTGAGACACCCTCGGTTTGTGGTGGTTGGTAATAATAAAATTGTGAATTGAGTGCGTAAATTAAGGAAAACTTTTCTGCACTCGGCCCATTCATGACTAACATGGGTCTGTATAGTCAAATTTTCTTTGTGTTTTGGTCATTTTTCAGCAGCTTTTCTGTATTTCGCTTAAACAAATGACAATTAATGCCTTTCTTTACTGTTAGCAGGGATCAAACTGGTCAAAAATATGGAAATCTGTGACATTTCTTGTATAAAACTGGGACAAATGAGTGGTTTTGGATAAATCTGCTGGGACGGGGGACACAGGGCTCAAAACTGGGACTGCTCCGGGTAAATCTAATCCTAATCTAACTGTACGTCATCTAAGGTTTGCTGTGGCTCTTTTATATACTAAATTTCTTCACTAAAACTAGTATCTCTCTGGTATTTTTGTTGTTGTTGGAGGAAAAAGGTTGGAGACCCCTGATGTAGTCTAATATAAAAACTAAAATAGACTCACCCCCATTTGTTGACTGGCCCCAGATGCTCAGTTCACCCCTTTAACAAAACAAAACAAAAAACACACAGAATTAAAATTTCGCCAACATTTTAAAACGACAAAATCTGCAAAATCTCACCTTATTTGGAATGGAAAGGCCCAGTGAGCAGCTTTGACAGATCTCAAACTAATTGGGTATTTCCGAGTAATTGAAATGACATCAAAATGTACAAAGATAGAAGTGTAGCGGGAGGCTGGCAGCGTTTGGACTGAGAAAGATAAAATGGGTTGTGTCGGGTGAATAGAACTTCTGGGTGGTGTGCGTGATCGTGTTTCGCAAAATGGTCCAGTGGGATTTTTCTGCTGTGGTTAGAACAATAGTGCACAGTAAGTGGAATTGGTCACTAATCACTGGTTCTGACAGGAGTTTAAATGGCGGTAAAAACATGTTATACAAGGAGAGGTGAAATAAGCAGCTTCTCAGATTCACCTGTGGTTAAAAGATTAGGAATAACAACAGTGTTCATGTTTTACAATAAAAATAAACACTATTAACCCTCCTACAACCCTAGGTACATTTTTGTACATCGCAGCTTTTCTTTTTAGCATAACTTTGTTGTTATTGCACCAAATGGCACAGAAATTGGCCAGTTTGTGTTTCTTGTGATGTATTTTTAATCTCTGTGTTTTTTTCCAAGATCACATTAATTGAATTTTCTATAATCACAATACTCACACCATAACTTTGCCAGTGTTTACTTTTTGATTTATTTTTCATTCTTTGGTGTTGAAAACCCTTCACATTGTTTTGGTTGTAGTCTTTTTGAATTGTTTAATATTTTTCTTTTTACTGTGTATCTTCCATTGCAAGAGTATATCAACAGAAAGACATTTGTACATATTAGTCCACACTGAAGGCCAGAGACATAGATATTTGATGTGAAAATGGTCTGGGTATGTTCTAGGAGTCCCAAGCCTCTGACAACTCCAACACAAACAAATAAAAATTTGTTGGAAAATATAGAAAAAAAAAAGAAAAAAAAAAAATCATGCAAAAAATGTAAGACTTCAGCTGTAAAAAATTTCATTTCAGAGGTTAAAATTTCAAAATATTATATAATATTTGGTATGTATGACTAGGGCAGAAGTAAATGAAGACACTGATATAAAAAAGTTGGACAAAAATGTTTTACTACATAAAAATATTGTGATCTTCTTTTTCAATGTACATTTTTGTCACAGAGGACCACAGGTGTAACTATTTTAAAGGGGTGCACGAGGGTTAAAGAAGACAGTGTTCTTGTGTCTGTTATATACTAGTAGTTATAATCTGACACCTGTGGATCATTAGTCTATCATTTGGATATTTCAAATCGCAATATTCATCTAAAATTATTTAATAAAAGAAACAAGGTACGAGTTAGAAAACTGTGGTGTCCAGTGGAAGCTGACGTCGCCGTAAATGTCATCACAACAAAGTGCCATGAAGCTGTCAGCTCCTCCTATGGACAGCTGTAGATCACACTAAGAAATAGATTTTTTAATAATTTGTACCAAAATGATTACACGACGCTGCTGAATCCTACATGTATCACTGATTTAGAAAATAAATTTGGAGAACGTAGTTAGTGCAGAGCAGCGGGCGTGTGAAAACGGGGATTGATCGACATATGGCGTCTTGAAAATAAACAATTAATGATGACTCAAACACGCATGAATCACTCAAATACAACTTCGAGAACATAAATGAGCAGGAAACTACCATACCATCTTGTCAAAGCTTGATCTCGTCACATTTCAGAAGCTCAGCAGGGCCGGGCCTGGTTAGTACTTGGATAGGAGACCGCTGGGAAAATCATGTACCACAGGGGGCGCCAGTCACAAAAACTGTCAGTGTACTTAAGCAAAACACTTCACCCACATTGCATAGTATGAAAGTGGTGTGTGCGTGAGTGATGGTGGTGTTTGGAAGGCCAAGTCTTGCTTCCGTCAGTCTTCCCCAGGGCAGCTGCGGCTACAATAGTAGTTTATCATCACCAAGTGTGGAGAATGAACAGTAAAAGTGTCTCTGAGCTCCCAAAAAAACACTACATAAAACTGATCCATTAATATTATTGGTAAAGGAGAAATTCAGTTTGTCGACTGGAACTGAAGAAGCAGCTTTGACCAAATAAACTTTTGTCCAGTCAACAAATTGAATTTCTCCTTTGCCATGGATTCCACCTGGATGACTGAGGGATTTTTCACATTAATATTATTATTATTAAAAGCTCTGAAAAGTCAGTTCTGCAAAATGGGTCCACTTTAAATCAAAAGAGAAACTGTAAATGTGAAGTTGCTTTACTTTAGAGGTGGGTAGCACATTTACTCAGTTACATTTTGTTGAACTCTCTGAAGAAATTGTACTTTTCTAGCAGCATATTTTTACTCCCACTTGAGTTTCTCAAAAAGCAGTAATCTTAGCTGAGTAAAAGCTGTGGTTCCTTTCCCCACTGTGAGTGAGTCTAACGTGACAAAAGATTTATGTGAAAATATGAAATGATTTAAAGATTTGTGTTTCGTGCAGCGCTCCTTCAGATATGATTTAGTTTGTCTCATTTTTGTTTCTGTCCAGATTTTGTGCATTACTTGTACTTAAGTAGCTGTTTTCCCAAATACTTTTTCACTCTTACTTGAGCACTTTCTTGAACTACTACTTTGATACTCCAGCCAGGATGCAAAATGATAACCCTCACCAAAATAAAATAAAAACTAGAGAAAACTAGGCAAGACTTTTAAGACTTTTAGTGAAATGAGTAGACTAAGCTGGCATATGCACTTTAAAATTAATAATAATATAGGACCAAATGTTTTGTATATTACTAAACAAATTCATTTTCCAAATTAAGCAGAGAAACTTTGAATGCTTACCTGAACAAAGAGTGTCATTATGTGTAAACCCAGCTGTATAAAAACCTCTTTATTTAATGTGAAAAACAACAAAACACAAGAACAGCAACATGACACACAGTGGACAGTGAACATGTGGAATATAGAGAGTGTGTCTTTGGTCGTGTGGGCTCTGGCCTTCATGGGCGTATGTGAAGAGCTGCCTTATTTACGCCGACATTGCTGTGTGTTGTGAAGTTTGACAGTCCCGCCCACCTCTCAGGCTCTGTAGATAAAATTCCCATTCATTTTTCCCCAAAAAAACTTTCCGTAAATAATAAATAAATGGGTTAATGAGTTTGATAGACTAATCAGTTATGTGGAAACTAATGAGCTTAAAGATGTAATGTGTAACTTTTCTGGTGGAAGCTGTATCACCTGCTTGTTTTCACGGAGATGTATGGCATGAAACTCGTCAGATCTGTGCAAAGGTGTTTTTAGAGAGTATCATTAGGACAAATAATTGTTATTTTGTATAACCACTGCTACTGATACTTTGCAGTGACGTCACGCTGGGGGAGTACTTCATGTGTGTCTATGTGCACCAATGAAGAAGAGCGAAGTCTAAAACCACGGTAGCCTCCCTCTATAGTTTACATATAAGTCTCTGCTTGGGAATGTCAACACAGACTCCTTGTACAAGTATTGTTTTCTTCTGTTTGACTAAGTAAATTATCTGGACTTTATTTCTTTTAGAAGTGTATTCTTTATCTAAGCAAAAACTAACAAACACAAGAGCAAAAGGCTGTTTTCCTCAACAGTATCCTCCCACTATAGTTGGTGTCTCACACTCGTTGTAGAGACATGCAGTCGCTGCTTGGGAATGTCAACACTCCTTGTACAGACTCATGGTACAAGTATTACTTTCTTTGATTTGATGTCAGTTCTTCTCTGGGCTTTATTTATGATTCAAATGTATTCTATGTCTAAGCAGAAACTACTGAACAACTACTGAACACAAGAGGAAAGGGCTGTTTTCCTCAACAGTATATTTGAGCAATAAAAGCACCTGTAACTGAATAACTGCAAGATCCAGAGTTTAATGTCATACTGTGGGACATTTGGGGAGGCAGTGGTTCAGTGGTTAGAGCAGTGGGTTGGAGGATCGATTCCTGCATGAGTCAAGTTCTGTTGGTGTGTCTTTGGGAAAGGCACTATCTGTTTAATTCCTTCCCACCACCGAGTATGGAGTGAATGAAGAATGATTACAGGATAGCTTTGAGAGGCTTTGATAAGTCAAAGTACATGTGTAAGCGTTTTTCCACACCCGAAAACTCAGTGCATCTACTAATTAATCATTAATCATAATAATTGGAAATGTTAGCAAAATTGTAGTTCTTAAACACATTTTTGGGCCATGCCTTTAGACTCTTAATATACAAATACTTGTTTAAAAAGCTACACGAAAAATGAATGGGAACTGTATTAGTGTTGAGTGTTGAGCTCCATTCCAAAAAATTGTTCTATTTATGAACATTTGACAAAGTCGTGATGTTATGGCTGTAGTGTGTTTGTGTGTGTCCCAAAATGGGGCTCGGGGTGTTTCCGTGAGAGGAGCAGGAAAGTGACACAAAGAGAAGATCTGAAAATAACATTGACAGCAGGCCCTGGAGTGCTCAGGTTTCTTCACATTGTTTGGACTGGCACACTGACGCTGGTGAGGTGAACAGTCTTTTCAATAGTTGGTAGCAGCAGGCTTTGTGTAGCACCAGTTTGAAACAGTGTGGTTTGGGGCCCGTGGTAGTTCTAGGAACCACAGTGTGGCTGTCTCAGGGTCTGGGGGCCCGGCACGACTGGCAGCAGGCTTTTCTGTAGTACCAGTGAGAGCACAGCTTTACCTTCAGCACCAGGGCACAGTTAGCAGTGGGTTTGTCCTGACACGAGTCCTCTACAGCCACAGAGACACCAGGGGGCACCACTGGAGGAGAAGAGTGTAGCAGATCAGGCCATAACAGCAACATCTCTATGGATGAATAATGTAGAACAGTAAAGGGCAGTACCTGGAGGAGGGGTGGGGCAGCTCTGCAGCTCACAGCTCTGCCGGGCCTCAGGTTTCAGGGCCGAGTCACAGCTGTGACCCCGGGTCACCAGCTCGTCGCCCTGGTAACACTTCACCTCCCGCACCTGGACCCCACTGCCACACGTCTTACTGCACTGAGAGACACACGCATCATCTGTACATGGTCTGCACACTAGTGTGTAGTACTAGTACTCACAGCATTTGTTATTACTGTTGACATTATCAACTATACATGAAATACGCAATAATATAGACATTGTCTGTGCTTTGATCCTTTCTCCTGCTTGTGAAAAAGCCCAACTACCACATGAGCCTTAACTATAGAGTATGCTACAGTCCTTTACAGTCATGTGAACTGTGAGGCCAGTGTCCTCATGAGGGTTCACCGAGCCTCTGTGAAAATGGTACAGCTGTAACACAGGAGCAGCTCAGGTCACCATAAATCTCTGGAGATTTGAACCGTATCAGGGCTGGATGTGAGTCACATTTACACAATATGAATATGAATCTGGACAAAAACACCTTTGACACGTCTCAAGACGCTAAACATCTCAACACTTACATTAATATATTTTTGGAGTATCCAAATAACAACATTTAAATATCACACATATGACAGTAAAAGTGCAGTAGTAGTATTATCATTTTATTTGGAAGTTTATAACAGTTTTTGCATACTACCACATCTACAATATTCTAGAGAACACGGCTACGTCTAATTCCCTAAATCCTAAGCATGATTTATTCCACACACAGACTTTGAGGACCCTCTTGCTACTTGAGTGTGTTATGAAGGAAGTTAGTCAGGTGAACTGCTGCTGCTTGTGCAAAGATGTGAGTGTTACCTGGGACCAGGCGGTGGTGAACCATTTGGAGCAGGGCCTCTGGAAACAGGGCGAGCTGCTGTCAGGTTTGTGCTCCAGGTCACAGCTGCTCTCAGGGAATTCTTTAAAGACTCCAGCCTCCAGCCCAGCACACACCACCTGCCTCAGACGCACGCCACGCCCACATGAGGCGTTACACTGACAACACACACATACAGGCATCAGCTCACATCTGATTACATGTGACGAATGCACACTTTGTACAGTGATAGTCTGCTTGATTTATTGATTGATTGAAATTATATTTAATTCTACACACTTGCATTATTTATTACTCTATGTTCTGTGTCTCTTCTCATCATCTGTTGACCATAACCTCTGTAAAATATCCACTGACATGAGAGTTGCAGTGTTTTCACCTGTTGCCATTCCTGCTGTACCCAGTGGGGGGCACAGTCTCTGTCTCCACAGGGATAAACAGCCAGTGGTCTGAAGGCGTGGTCACACTGCTCCTCTGACATGAGCACTCCTCCAGAAGAGCGACACATGACAGCTCGCACCATCCTGCCCTCTCCACAGGCCCCGGAGCACTGAGCACAGGACAGAGCCACATCACTCACACTCACTAGTCCTGCAGATAGTACAGCACACAGAGATTTAGAGTGTTCACACGTACAGGGCCCCAGTCTGACACGGTCCACCTCCTGTCACAGGGAGGCCCCTCACAGGGCTGTCTGTCTGAAGGTCTGCTCGTCTGGTTACACAGCTTAAGGTCCATGGAGCAGCGCACCTCTCGACTCCGCACTCCCTGAGCACCACAGCGAGCCGAGCACTGCAGGGCACACATCACAACCACAGAGGAAGACATATTTAGAACTGATCATTCAACTGGCTGTGGTTTACAAGCTCAACAAAGTCTGACTAATATCTGATTTCTAGAACTTAAAGATTACTTAAAGGATGATCTGATGTGAGTAATTAGAGGGACCACAATAAGAAAGAAATAAGATGTTTTTGTTGTTTCATTTCATTTTAATAATCTTTTATCTTTAAAAAATCTGTTAATAATGAGAAATCATTATCAGAAAGTGTTGTACCTGGGACCATTCAGAGACCTCCCATTGCGGCCCACAGCTCTGTCCGGAGCACACTTTGCGATTGGCCGGTTTGTGCAGATCATGTGACAGACAAAGGGAGTCGTACACAGAGGAGTCCAGGCCTGGGGAAAGCATCTTCCAGCAGCGCACCGTCCTGTACTGAAAGCCCTCCCCACAGGTTCGGGAGCACTCACTCCAGCCACTGGTCTCCCACCTGCAGAGGGAGGCACAGCTCTAAACTCGTCTGCAGAACACGTCACATGATCACAGTGACAGGCTCTGTGTGAGAGCGTACCTGGCGGGACACTCCTTCCCCGTACAGAACTCATGTGTGGGCTCTGGTCGTGTCAGGGAGTCACAGTAACTGTCGTCCACCTCAGTGCCATCATAACGCACACACAGGGCGAAGCTGCTGCTGATACCTGACACACAACACACACAACCATCATATAGGCTTTTGTGGATCCTAAATGGCTATATTATCATTTAGGTCTAAATATGTAGTAGTGCGCCTATATTTAAATGATAGAGGGTCAGTATTAAGGTATTATTTTGGCAATATCTACGTTTAAAGTCCTGCCTTTTGAGATAGATGGAACTTAAACTTGTTGAGTTAACATGCTCAGCCAGACCTAGTTTAAACACATGCCAGATGATAGTTTGAAGTTAAAGTTTATAGTCATGCTGTGGTGTTCATTGAGGGCTAATGTTCCTAACCCAGAGCTCTCTACCTGTGGTGCATGTTGAACTGCAGGGGGCATAGGCTGACACTTTCCACCGATACATGTCAGAGATACTGGGGATATCCTGGTCCAACCCCACATCAAAGTCATTACTGAGGGAACACAAGAAAATGCAGTTGATATAAAATGCAAAATTTACTCTTGTGAGCTTTAAATCATGTTAGAATGTTGTTATTAAAATGATACCTGGAGATACATTTTGTTTCATTCACACATGTTTAAGTTTATTAGCCTGTCTACATCTCCAAAGCTCAAAATGCTCTGTTCCACCTTGTGATGTTATGAAGCGTAGTAGTTTTCAAGTTAACAGCACCTTTTACATTTTGCAATTCCAGCTAAAAAGTATTCTGACTAAAATTATCCATGATTCTAGTGAAGGTTTGTGGAGCTTGAAAACAAAGGTGGAGCACTTCCTGTATTACCAAATGATATTTACATATTTGAGAGAAGAACTCAGCCTAAATCTGCAGGGTTTGTGTGTTAAACATGTGTGAATGAAACAAAACACAACTCCAGGTCTGTTTGTGATAAGGAAATAACATTAAAACAGATCAGATGACAGCGTAATATGAACTCTTTTAAGTTTTGTAAAATACTAAATGTAATCAGGTAACGACTCGAGCAAAAGTGATCTGGACGGCTCTTTAAAGGCGGGCTGCTGTAGTAGTATTTTAGGAACAGGCTGATGTTCTATGTGACAGAGATAAGCTGTGTGCTGTACCTCTCAGTGCTGGGGGCCTGGGCGAGCTGTTGGAGCTTCACCAGGACAGATTCACTCTCCGCCTGGGGCTCGGAGGGAGGGCTCAGTGAGGCGGGGTCTGAGTGGCTCTGGTTCAGCTGCAGTCGCTCCAGCAGCAGAATTGGGGCGTCGTCAGGGAGGGCCAAGTGAACGCTCTTACTGCCTACAAAACAACAAGCACAAGTTTAAAGAGTTTTTTCAGCTTTCTACCATATTATAACATAATTTCCGAATCAAAAACTTGCAAGAAGAGGTTTTAAAATGTCATCCATGCATGTTTTAGTAATTTAGCGATCTCTCCCAGGCCCTATTTGAACCCTCCTTATGGTTACAAGTAAGATTCTGTCCCCCAAAAATATACAAAACTGTACACAAACTGGTGCGTTGTGCAGTATTTTATTAGTGTGATGCATACTAATTGTGTTGGGAGCGAGAGACTCAAAGTGTCAAATATGAAAATGAAACTTGTAAAACATGTGAATACATTGTTTTCAGCAAATACAGCATGTTGAAAACAATAAAAGATAAAATGGTGATCTAAATATGTTATGTATTAGCCATAGACTGTATATATAAATTAACACAGTTACAAATAATGAGTTTGCTTGCAGCTCTTCCGGCTCCTAGTGACTCTGGCTCCCATTGACTTACATTGGAATATTGTGGCTCCTCTCTTTGTAACTGCTGCCTCATCATTTTGGTCTTAAATATATTAGTCTAGTATTAATCTTGTCTTGAGCCTGCCTCCAAAAAACGCTGGCATCATGAGCTTCATTTGAGTGGCGTTGAACACTATGGGTGACTTCACACTCGCTTAGTCCACATTTTTATACAGTCTATGTTATTAGCAGTTAATACCACATAGAAATAAAATACCCCCTATTCCGTCACAGAAAATAATATTGCTCCAACCATGATGTATGCCTCAAAACCCTTACAGATGCCTGACAGTTCTCACCTGGAAACGAAAGCAGGAGGGCGTTCTCTTCATCAGTGGACGGGTCATCCACTGAGTTGGAGGTACTCCCTTTTTATGAAAAGAAAATAACAATTTATCAGTTTTACAAGTAAAACAAGCAGAAAATGATTGTTGCATATTGTAAGAAATATAGAAATATATTGTATCACTCTTAATCCAACTATATGATTGATTAGTACAGGGATCTCCAACCTTCTGCATCCGGTGAGCTACCTTAAGAAAACGAAAATGACGGTGAATGAAAATGAAATACTCATTTTAGTGATCGCAAGAAACTGAGTGGAGGGCAATCCTTAGATGTTGTACAGTTAGATGCCTTTAAAACATAACACCATTATCCATTTATTAGGTCAAAAGTTCAAAAGTTAAAAATAACATTTACAGTGGTAATTACTCAAATTTGACTTAATTAGTATACGTAATTCAGAAATCCTTTGGCGAGCTACTTATAACAGGGTGGAGAGCTACTGGTAGATCCCGAGCTACAGGTTGGAGACCCCTGGATTAGTATAACATCGCAAAGGAGGGGCTTGTTGATTTGCATATTTCAGGATTTTAACCAATAACTTCAAAATCGGAGAAGAGGGACTGTTGTTCAGAACAGCTGGATCGAGTGAAATGAGCTCTTTTACACAAAATGAGCAGAAGGATGTCTGTGAAGAGACAAAGAGGAGGGACACCTTAGTCCTGAGGGTTATTACTCCCCTCAGACTGCCCTGACACAGGACCCTCCCTGACCAGTCCTCCCGTTAGGCTGCACTGAGACCTTTGTCTAAAACAGAAAGTTTAATGTAAGTTTTATCTCTTATGCAAAACTTACTGTAATCAACGAGGGTGGGTGGTCCTGGCTCCTCCACATCATTATGACTGAACACATGGCTGATCACGTCCACAGGTCTGTACACCAACATGGCGGCAGGTGGAGGAGGGCTCGGCGTCCGGATCTCCCACATCAGCCCCTCCTCCTCTGACCCCACCTCTTCCTGTGGATTGTCTTCCGATTGGTTGTCAGACTCTAGGACGCTGTCAAACTGGTGACTGTGGTTGGTGGGAGTCTGACTCTCTGACAGCACCTCACTCAGCTCATTGAGGGTGTGGTTAGGATGAGAGTGGGCGGGGCCTGTGGTGATGTGTGAGGAGAGGGGGACGGTGTACTCGTAGGTGATGTGGGGCAGCTTCCCATTTAGGTTGTAATACTGCGGAGACAAGGCCACAATGGTGAATCCTTAGGAAAGTGAAAGAGAGATTAAAGTACCACCAAGTTGCAGTCACAAAGTTGTGATCATAATTTCAGATGGAGGGCAGAGCCTACATAATTCTAATGAAGATTCACAGTTTTTTTGTGTATTAAACATAATTACAGCATGAAAGAGATTTTTTTACGCTTAATTTGAAAGTATTAGGCAGTTTAGACTAGGGATGCCGATTCAGCTTTTTCAGTTCCAATACCGGTTCTGATACTAAGGGCCTATATTACGCTATTTTCTGATATTTCTGAATGACAACAGCAGTTATTTCCTTAAAAAAAAGCCATTGTTTCAGTATCAGAGTCAGTATCAGATCAGTGCATCCCTAGTTTAGACTTATGATCTGTGTGAACCAAACCTAACATGGACCACTTTTAGCAAGTGTTTTGGCATTACAACTGTGATTGTAACAAGACACAACTGACAATATGTTTGGTGTATTACCATGACGTTAAGCCCCTGCAGCGTAGGTCCCTGTGCGATGATGTACTCCAGCCCGTCAGAGAACACACTGTTAGGACGTCTGTACTTAAACACTGTTCCAGCCACATGGAAGTTCTGCGGGTGATCGAACAGGCTGTTTCCATTGAAGAAGAAATGCCCTGCTTCATCTGACAGAGCTATGAAGGAAGGATGCAAGCATTACATTGCAAACATTACAAGGTGATGATTAGCTCTGTAAAATTGGAAAAACAATTGTAAAAACTGGTTGGAAATGCACCTTATTCACTTTAGAAAGACATTACAATAAATTCAAGTGTAACTTTCTCAAATATGTTTGATTCAGTGTATTGACCTTAACAAGTGGAGGCTCTCACCCAGGATGTTCTCCGTCTTGTGTCTTTCGATGATCTGGATGTCCGTGGCTCCACGTGGGATGTTGATGACGAATGCATAACCTGGTCAAAAACACAATTATTTACAACTTATACTTAGATTACAAATAGTAATCTCAAAAAATGACATCAACCATGTCTATATAGTAGAGGACTGTAGAGGTACTGTATGATTTCTTATAGCTGCTGTTTTGGTGAATCCTACACTTGTGTGTATATTTAGATTTGGAGCAGTTGGCCTGTTGCATGTGTGAGTGTGTGTTACCTAACTGTGTGAGTGCCTTTCTGTAGGATCCAGAGATGCGCTGACAGGACGTCCCGTTGCCTCCACAAAGCCCACATCTGTCCACCGTCTTGGTGCTGTACAGCTCCCCGTCACAGCCTATAGGCTGCAGAGGCAATAAAAACAAGAGAAAGATACAGTCAGTCAGCTCAAATGTTACAAGGTCTTTTTAAACTAAATAGTTCTCAAGAACTTAAAGGACACTTCCCATTCCTACAGCACTCTTACTATGTCCTGTTTTTTATTGAAATAATAGCCCTCTGCAGGAAACAGGCGGGAATGGTGCATACAGTATTTAAGTAGCACTGCAGTGAGCTGCAAAACTGATAGATGCCTCCTAGAGACAGAACAGATCAGAATGAGTTCCAAGGATTTTTATTTAAGACAACTTCACAGAACTTAAAAGTGTGAGACAAAAAAACTAACATAAACTTGCTATTTTTGGGAGGCAAAAAGTAGAATACAATCCAAGTTATGCAGTGGACACCATACATGTGTTAGCCATGATATCTGAATCCACATTTTGTTCATAGTAACTTGGCTTGCTGATATGGATAGCAATCCTTTCCAAAGATTACACTTACACCAAACAAATCCCCAAGACATTACACACTTGTACCTCCTCCTTCACTCTTTGGTCACCCTGTCATAAGCTCTGTGTAAGTCTACACAGACAGAGTGCAGAGCCATCAGCACCTCAACGCAAACACAGCTCAGTCAGACTCTTGGCATGAGACCACTGCTCCTCTCAGACTCCCCACTCACATCACTGCACACTCCACTCTTCTGCTGTCTCGTCTCCAATCTTTTATATCTGCTCTGTTTACCTAACCATTTTCTCCACCACAGAAGTCCTTCATCACTTTTGCTCCTTCCAGATGTCACACCAACCCTGATGTCTTACAGTTATAAACATCTCCTGACAACTGTACTTCTTTCATCTTTCCAGATTTAGAGTCTGCAACAGAAGTGACCAGACTGAATCATAAATTTTATAGGCGTCACAACATATAGCATGTATATAAAGATTAAACAATGACACAGTTTTCACACAGTCTAGAACTGTTCTGCTGGTGTGTCTCACACTGCTCAAAGCTGTTTAATCCGCTTATACCATGGTCCTGCCAACTGACAATAATTCACTTGTAAATGATTGAGCTACATGGCGTATGTATTGGCGTTAGTATTACCTGACACATGCCCTCGATGCAGACTCCGTGGTGTTTGGTGTCCCTACAGAAGGTGCCATCGTGAGCAGGGACGAGCAGCTGCCTCTCTCCGCTGATGGTGGTGCACTGCAGGTCACACGGCTTGTTGGAGATGCTAATGTAATCCGCTGCAAGCAATATCAAAGTGTAAGAAAAGGATGTTTTAAACATACTCTTGAGTATGTTTAAAGGCATCTTTAAACATACTCTGCTTGGCATCTCATGTTTTAGAACTTAAAATAATAGCACTCTCCATACTTGGATTTGGCCTCTATTGGAAAGAATAACCATGCAAAAAAAAACTGTTAGCCATTAAGCAGCATGTTAGCCAGGTTGACGCCACCAAGTGCCTCCGCTCAATTTAATTTCTCTCCAGCAACTAGGTCAGGAATCGGAATACACTAGACAGTTTGCAAAAACTCCGGAAGTGCGAGTTTGGGGACCAGTCAATCAGCAAAGAGCCATATATTCTGTGTTGGCAACGATTCCCAAGATCAAGGATTTAAAGCCGGAACAAAGAGAATGTTTGGTGAATTTGATCAAGGGGAAAGACGTTACTGCACTTCTTCCTACGTGATTTGGGAAAAAAAAATTTTTTTATTACAGTAACTTAATATACCAGATAGGCTAGGGTGACCATATTTCCGTCAAAACCAAGACATCGTATGGGGGGATGGGAGGTGGAGCCATTTCATCGACATTAAAAAGCTTTGCCAGGTGAGAGTAGCTTAAAGTTTTTCAGTGTCCTGGTGAGCTTTGAGGTCCCTGGCACCCCCACACTGAAACATATGTGCCTGCTTTGCACACTGTGCACATGGCCTCCCACTTGTCTCGACTGGGACGGAAAGCAGGGAATTTCTTGTACAAGTCATCGTTAAATGCACATTTGTGCTTCAGCATGTTGCAGACAGACCGACTGTCTGTGTCTACCCGCTCCTTCTGAGTGCACAGAGAGCTACGAGAGCCACTCAATTTAATGGCCCAATGAAAGGTAATGAAAACCCGGACAGTTGCATCACTTTATTTAAAAAAAAAAAAAAAACGGCCAGGACAGGACATGTCTGGGGAAAAACAGTCGTTTGGTCACCCTAAGTTAGGCCCATTAGCGGCGCATTACATACGTCACAACCAAATAGCAGGTTGGTCAAATGAAAAAAGTACCCGCCTACCATCGAGCGAACGATTTCTAATGCTGTGAGGTCAGACGGTTTCCACAAAGTGAAACTGGCTGATGAATCAGGCGAGTAGCATGGACCAGCTGCATGCTAATATAAGGGTGCAATTGGAATGAACGTGATTTTGATGATAGAAATGCTCTTTCAGTGATTCCGCATTTCTACCTGTCACAATCCAGGCAAAATTTAAAGTGATTTCAGAGGCTTTGAGCAAGGCAGTCCCGTAACACATATAAAATACAGTTCCAGGCAGAGAACAACATAATAACATGGATAAAAGTTTTAAAAAGTACATTTTAAAATTTATGTCTTTAGTTTGGCCAGCATGAAAGATTAGATTTATTAACAATAGCAGCTGGTGCTCTGGGGTAAATCTGTATATGGACATTGTCTGGGAAAAGTAAATGAGTGCATTAGCCTTAAGCAACACTAAGCTCTGCTCTTTACCTGGATACAGAGGGATCCACTGATAGTATCTTCGGCCAAATGCTTTGGAGTTAAACTGTGAACACTGGTGCTGCTTGAAACTCGCACTGTGGCTTGGACAGGCCTACACATAACACACTGGTTAAGTCAGATCTTATCACAAACAAACACATTATCTGCAGTGTCTCACCTGGTTTGGACACAGCTGGTACTTTTTAGGAGAGCCCACACAGAAGGAACCGTTTCCATGTTGACTGGTGGACAGCCTGAAACAAACCAAATATATTCACAGATAATTTACTTTAATTCTCATTACAGTAGTAATTATCAAATCACAAAGGCTGCATTTTTGTAGGTAATAGAATGTCCTCTGCAAACATCAGTATATCTGGTCTTTTTATTGAAAATCTTGTAGTTCAGACCTTGACAAACATGTTCTGAAATGCATGGGATTCTTGGATTAATTTATCAGATTTCAGTCTTCTTTCAAATATGAGTTCTCCTGGAGTTGTTTACGATGTGAACTCTGAACAGAACATTACTTTTTAAACATATATTGCAATACTCATCCAAAATTGTGAAGCAAATGCACTATAAGAGGGCCCATGTAAAGTCCAGGGTCCATTAGGCACAGTCTCAGTCTGAGTGTTCCCGGGCCAAAGAGAGCCGTGCACAGCTTCTTCTACAGTAAACTGTTTATTCTTTAGGCACTTTACTTCACCTGAGCAGCTTTTATGACAGTGGCATTTCTATGGGAAAAAACTTCTACTGACTTTGACTAACCACCGCTTACAGTGTCTGAAACACTCAATTAGGCCAAATGACTCAACAGCAACTACATAAGTGTCCAGAAAGTGTCCAAAAAGCCTAGTGTTATCTAGGGCTGTAGTCGACTAAAGGAATTCTTGATCACCTGAAGATATGTCCTTCCGATCGATTAGTCGACTAAAAAAGGGCTTGGCAAAAGCTCTAAAAACTAAATGGTCAAATTTTTATACATTGCTTTTCCTCTTTCAAGGCACTAAAAGCATTTTACATCAAGGAACCACTCACCCATTCACATACACATTCATACACCAGTGTACATAGACACTGGGGACGAGGCCAACCTGTAGGTCAGTGGATCTTAAGAGAGGGATTTGAACCGATAACCTTCAGATCCTGAGTTGCTGTCGCCCATATCTCTATGATTTGAATAACACTGCACTAACAAGAGAAGAAAAACACAAGAAGTCATGCAAAAACAAACATTTGAGGGGGCAACAGTAGCTCAGTTGGTTGAGTGTTTGTCCACTGATCCAAATGCTGGCGGTTTGACTCTCAACGTAAACACTGTTCGTTGAGCGATGAGTTCCAATGACTCACAGATTGGGGGTGTGATTCCACTCCTACAGATGAATGCTGTTGTTGTGTCCTTGGGCAAAACACTTAACCACCCCCCGTGTCTGCGTACATGGGTGTGTGTGTGAATGAATGAATGGTCCCTTGACGTAAACACTTTGAATGCCTTGAAGGTAGAAAAGCACTACATAAATGTGACCATTTACAATGTACAAGTACTTAAAGTGTGTATATTTATAGGAAAAATGTCAACAAAAACACCATTGACCAATTAATAAAACTTAACAAAGGCAGAGGTGTCAAACTCAAATTCACAGAGGGCCAAAATTAAAAACTAGGACTAGGTTGTGGCCAAACTAAATATTTATTGAAAATTTCAACAATATCTGCCTGTTTCCTCTTCTTTCAAGATATGTAATGTTAAACCTTTTCTTATTAAAATAAATGTTTAATCATATTTTTGCTTAAACATTAAATCCAGAACAAGCATAATATAAAATAATAACAACATTTTAAATAAATAATGTCTCTATAGCTGTCTGTCTGTTGCTGGAGGGCCAGCTCTAATATACAGATAAGATCTTGCGGACCAAATATAATTATATCACGGGCCAAATTTGGCCCCCGGGTATGAGTCTGACATGTCAAGAGTAAGGTAATACAGCCCTAGTGGCATGCAGTCCAAATTCTGTAATCATAAATGAAGAAGAATGTCAATAGGTTAGTAAAGTAAAAGTTGATTGTAGTCCTAGCAATATCATATGTCTAATAAAAAAATCTTATTTTACTGCCAATTTATTATCTTGGCCTGAAAACCCCAAACTGAGCAAAGAAAATGTAAGATAATTCTGTTCAGAAAATACTTTCTTTTAACCAGAACATGTATACCATATCACCTGTCTGTTACTGTCGGAAAATGACAGACTACTACCATTTCCTCTTTCAACTCAAAATTCACTCTACATTTATTCCCACAAATGTATGCTTCTTATCGCAAAAATCACCCAAAAATAAGAATAGATATGCATTGCAACAATCTTGGTTTACTATATACACTTAAGTACATGCTCTGTTCCACCTTCTGATGTCATGAAGTGAAGTTTTCAAGGTAACAGCTCCTTTTACCTCTTATTTAGTAGAGATTGGTGACTCCAGGACTAAAATTATCCATATGATTCTAGTGAAGGTGTATGGAAAACACACAGTGGAGCACATCCTGTATTACCACTGGACATCACAAGGAGAGACAAGGAGAGTGTTTTCTGTTTGAGAGAAGCATGCAGCCTAAATATGCAGGATTTGTGAGTTAAACATGTGTGAATGAAACACAATGCAACTCCAGATATGTTTTTGATGAGGAAACAACAGAAAATATGGTAATCCTCTAATCGAAATCACAATTTGGATGGACGCAATTAGCAAATCACAAGGGTTGCAATTTTTGAAGTGCCAATCTTTCCTCCACAAAATACAACATCTTATTCTGCATTCAGCTGCTAATCTTCTAGTTTAGATCTGTACAAGCATGTTCTGAAATGTGATTCATGCATCATATTTCAGTCTATTTGTCACTTCTTAAAATGTGAACTTTCATCAGAATCAGCTTGTCCAAAAAAAACACAAGAAGATATTTCAAATCATTCAGTCCTATTGTTGAATAAGAGCACCGTATAACTTGTCTTTCTATCTTTCTACCAATTTTTTGCCTCTCATATATGACAATTTAAAGAGTAATGAGCTCTCAGTTAATAAATATCGATGATAAACCTCCTCAACAACATGAGAGCATGTTTAGGTTGTGAAAGAGGCGCTTGTGGAACTCGGAGCCACAGGTTGCTTTAATAATAGCAGAACACTGAAACACATGTCCAGTGTCTGTCCTACAGTTTCCCAACAGCAAACATGTGTGGAACAGAACAGCAGAGGTCTGTGAAGAAGAGGAGCTGTGGTTTATGGCAGTGTTTGGGACAACCACCCCCGCCCCCCACCCCAATCTCCAACATGGACTTAATGCATCTGTGTTACATTAGCGTGTTAGCATCCCCCCGCCTGAACTCGCGCACGCACACACACACACACACACACATCCTCCAGTGTTTAGACCGTAAAGCAGCGGAGACAGCAGCCAGGGGTGAGCCGGAGGTCACTGTGGAAGAGTGTCATGTCTAATTGGTGAAAGGTGATGAACGCCGGACAGGAAGCGGAGAGAAGGGCACAAAGGGGGATAGAGTTAAGGGCCGTGGCACAAAAGGAGCCAGGGGAGAGGAAGCTCCAGAAACACAACAGAGGAATTAAAAGGCCCCTTCCACAGCCCGCCTTATTAAGTGGCCCTGTTAGCTACACTGCTTCCCCCCATGTGCGCACAGACTCTTTGATCCGGTCCCTCAAAATAGACAAGAGGGGTGAATAAAATCAACAGTTGTAATTTTAGAATTGACTCTGAAATATCTACAAGACTAGAGCTCCTGTCGTCACAAGTAGACCACGACTATTGACTAAACACATGCTTTTCTTTAACATTTTCTTCATCATTATCTTTTATTTTGTATGATCATAAACGATACGAACTTTTGTGCCTTCGTTAACATTATTATTAGCTTGTATGACCATAAACGAAAACAAAAAAATCCTTACTCTCTCATTTTTATTGTGGTTTATTTTCTACAATCACAAACAATAAAGTTTTGTGCCGTCGTTAACATGAATATTAGTTCGTACAACCATAAACGAAAACTAAAAAACCCTTACGTTCTTTCATACTCATTGTGGTATATTTTGTACGATCATAAAATGATAAACTTTTGTGTTTTTGTTAACATTATTATTAGTTTGTACAACCATAAACAAAAACAACAAAAATGCTTAGCCTCTTTCATTCTCATTGTGGTTAATTTTCTACGACCATAAACGATAAACTTTTGTGTCTTTGTTAACGTCATTATTAGTTTGTACGGCCATAAACGAAACAAAAAAATCCTTACACTCTCTCATTTTTATTGTGGTTTATTTTTTACGATCATAAACGATAAACTTTTGTGCCTTCGTTAGCATGAATATTAGTTCGTACGACCATAAACGAAAACAAAAAAATCCTTACACTCTCTCATTTTTATTGCGGTTTATTTTCTACAATCATAAACGATAAACTTTTGTGCCTTCGTTAACATTATTAGTTTGTACGACCATAAACGAAAACAAAAAAATCCCTACACTTTTTCATACTCTTTCATACTCGTGGTTAATTTTCTATGATCATAAACAAAAAACTTTTGTGCCTTCATTAACATTATTATTAATTTGTACGACCATAAATGAAAAAAACAAACAAAAAAACAAATCAAAACTGGCATCTTTAAAAAAAAAAAAAAAAAGAAGATAAGGACTAAGAAAATAAAGGGGTTGTATTTCTAGTGTTAGAGGGGAGTATAAAGTGTTATGTTTTGAAGGATATAGCTCTCTGGAATTAACGAATTATGCATTAAATTTTGTTTGTGTATGGTCAGTGTTCCCACATGTAGAGTTGAACAAATTAATCAGAATAATTGTGACAAGTCGACTCATTCTATTTCTATTTTGATCATCATAACCATAAACTCATTTGACAAAGACCTTTTATAACAAAGTCCTTGCAAGTCCTTTGTGGTGTGACTAAAAATATGTCGACTAATCATTTAATCTAAGTTATATTTGGGCAACAGCAGAAAAGAGGAGTGACTGAGTTGAAGATTTGCTTTTTGTTTTTTGGTAATTATACATAAAAAGACAGTTTAAACTCAGGCATCACAAGTTTAATCTGTCTTTATATCGTTTCCTAGTACTCTTTCCTGCATAAATAATTGTCTTGGCATAAACTCTCCTCCAGGTGCAGTCTTGTGAGTGCAGTTTGGGTCACATACATAGAGATGCACAATAGTTTTGATTGGACGCTAATCAATCTGCTTCATGTCTTTGGTTGACTACAACACTAGTGGCATTGTTAAATCAAAGAAAAAATATGATTTTCTTCAATAATACACAAATTAACTCATCAAAAATGAATCAAGGACTAGTTGATTCCTGAAATAATGGTTATAGAATAGTTGAACTCTGACTTTATTTGGCGTGTGTTAGGCAGAAGAGAGTGTGGGGAGAGAGCAGGGCGGCGCTCTTGGTGAAGGTAATGAGCACTGGCACAAACTTCCGTGCCCTGACAGAGAGGTCAGAGGTCACTGTTCAGAGTCTCAGATCCACATTACACTGCTCCTGTCTCCTGGATGTGCACACCCCAGGACAATAGGCCCTTTTAGATGGCAAGCAACCACAAATGACAGGCATGATTGCTTTGACACTTATTATATAATGGGTATTTTTGGACATGTTCTAATTATAATACACACTCGAGCACTGTTTTATCTGTGTACTTACTTACATGTTTATATTAAACACAGCTTACATTAAACTTTGTGTCTTCTCATTTTCCTGATGGAAACTATGCTGAGGACAGAGACGCAAACTTACCTTGAATACTGAGGAGTTTCTTTTAGTTCACAGACTCACATCTTTTCAGTCTCCCATTTATCATCATATTCACTGTTGGACCAGACCAATGACAGGGCGGCTTTGTGGTTTTTAACAGAAGCCAAAGGGAAAGCTATTTCATTTTTGACAAAAGAGCAGAGGGAAGTACTTTGTGCATTTGTGGATAGAAAGATTTTGAAGTGGCTGTGAAGCTTTAAGTATTCCTCTCAATGAATTCCACCTCCTCCTCAAAGGTTTCAACAGTGTGAGATTGATAAAGTGTATGACATGGATGCTGCACATCAACCTGGCTTGTACATACTTACACAGAGCTTGAAGCTCATTATTTTTATATAATGTGATTAATTGAATGTTCTCATCCAGCAGAGTAACCACACCTGTTATCTTGTTACAGTGCAATTGTACACTACTAGTGTGCACTAGTAAACTGATCACAACATGTCTTGTGTTACAGTAAATGAACACATGTCAGCAGTGCACCTGCTGCACATGACACACTGCATCAGTAAACAATAACAGAGACAGAACATCTTATGGACCACACGAGGTCATACTGCCCTAGCGTATGTGATAGCTCTGTAGTGTTACCTCTGCAGTGTTATCTCTGTGGTGTTACCGCTGTAGTGTATGCACATGTGTTACTTTTGTAGTGTATGCACATGTGTTACCTCTGGATGAGGCAGTGTCTCTCCTGACTGCGGACCCCACCTCCACAGCTCCGAGAGCAGGAAGACCAGCTTGACCACTCGCCCCACCACTGGAACACCTCCTCCTGCCACACAACATGCATCATACTATAAAAGTACCTATACCGGTGTCAGGTTCTTTCAACTACATCAGCACATGGGCACCTTATTCTGGTTCTACATGTTATAGAATAAGTGGATGAGTAATTCTACCACTATAACCTCTGTAACATCTGCAACATCACATTGTATTATGATGTTTCAAGCCACATCACAGTAGCTCTGTCATTCTGTCAGCTGTGTTAAATACACTTTCACTGTAGAGGTCTGCACTTTAAAGTATCATATGTGTTTCATGTGCACTTCAAATAAAACAAAAGGTTTGGACACCCCTAATGTAAGGTGCCCTTTGACTCTAGACACGGTACTTTTGGCCACACAGTAATTCAGGTGAGGCTGATTATACAGAAAGCTTTCAGGCTATTTAAATGTGTGTGTGAGTGAATGTGTGTTCTTGTGAGTGAGTGTGTATATTGATCATGACAGTACCTTGCTGGCTGCTGTCCGGCTGTGTGTCTGCGCAGACGTCCTGTGTGTCTCCAGTCTCGCGTCACTTCTGTCCTGACAGACACAGCACAGCAGCACATAAACATCACACACAGCATGCTTATATTAGGCCTTATTCTCTATAGGATGTGTGGTGTGGGTCCAGACTCTACAAGCCTCCACAGGCCTTGTTCTGTCATACCACCCTCTGGCTAGCACCCAGCCGCTCACACTGCTGCCATAGAGAGACACATACAGAGGAAAACACGAGGAGGACTGCTTTAGCCTTTGAGGAGTAATGATGGGTTCAGACAGAAGCAGTCCAAGAGATGAGGAATGACACAACCAAAATACCACCTGTATAAATGGTTCACAATCTGATGCTTGGTCAGGTGCTTGGTCTCTGAAAAAAAGATTCCTAAATCATAAAAAGCAATATGTAAAGAGACGCTGAGCTGATGGTCAGTAGGCAGTATTCAGATGATATCCAGAAATAAATGCTTTTAACACAGGGTCAGAATGTGTTTGTGTCAACTCCAGTAGTTAACTAGCCTGATTCATCAGCCGATTTCACTTTGCAGAAACTATCTGACCTTGTAGTGTTAGAATTTGTTCGCTTGACGGTAGGTGGGTACTTTTTTATTTAACCAGTCGCTGCTATTTGGCCGTGACTTATGTAATGCGCCGCTAACGGGGCTAACTGATATATTAAGCTTTTCCCAAATCCAGTAGGAAGAAGGGCAATAACGTCTTTCCCCTTAATAAAATTCACCAAACATTCTCTTTGTTCTGGCTTTAAATCCTCGATCTCGGGAATCGTTGACAACACAGAATATATAGCTCTTCGCTGATTGGCTGGTGCTCAAACTCGCACTTCAGGGGTTTTTTGCGAATCGTCAAGTGTATTCTGATTCCTGACCTAGTTGTTAACAGCTGTAGAATTTAAATTTCAGTCATTTTGTTTAATAATATCCATGTATGACATCTGTGAATATAACTAACAATACTGATGAAGTGCCAGTCTTAGGATGAAGAATCAGTGTTGTCCCTATGAACTCATTTCAGACGCACAATTGGTACCCCCTGCATCACTTCTTTAGATTGTCCATGTCCTCTTGCCTGGACACATGCAGGATATTGTGTGAGATTTCAGTCTCTGCAAACCTCTGAGGATAGCCAGGCTGGTGCCACCTAGTGCCTCCGCTCAATTTAATTTCTCTATAGAGCCTAGGTCAGGAATATCACTAGACGGTTCGCAAAAACCCCGGAAGTGCAAGTTCGGGCACCAGCCAATCATTGAAGAGCCATACATTCTGTGTTGGCAACGATTCCCAAGATCAAGGATTTAAAGCCAGAACAAAGAGAATGTTCTGTGAATTTTATCAAGGGGAAAGACGTTATTGCCCTTCTTCCTACGGGATTTGGGAAAATCTTAATATACTAGTTAACCTCATTAGCAGCGATTGGTTAAATGAAAAAATGTACCCGCCTACAGTCGAGCGAACAAATTCTAATGCTGTGAGGTCAGACGGTTTTCAAAGTGAAACCGCCTGATCAATCAGGCCACTCTGGGGGGCACACAGCACTGAGATTGAGACAGAAATGTGGTTTTGGAAAGGTCAGCACGCTCTCTGTACAAATGGCTGTTTTATTATTGTATCTTAGCAATGAAACCTGTGATTGAACAAATGCAAGACTGTTTAACACTCAAGGCAAAAGACTAACATAATCTCCCTGGAGACAAGAAAGTGTCAGGCACCTTATCAGAAAAGTTACATGGTGCAGCTTGAATGCGACATGCCTTACTGTAATTTAATGTTTACTAGTTAAAAGTATTTTGAACTACAGTAGTTAAAACTAGCACTGTAAGAAGGCTAATTGCTCATCTGAGAAAAGTGTTCACCAGCAGATATATGTCAACACTTGTGAACATTACACAACAAGACATAAATTCAGAGAGACATGTAGAAGCAATCATAGCATTGGGCAATACTGAATGAGATAATGGTACCATTGTAATGTCAGGTAATGTTCATAGAAAACAGAAATCATCTCTGGATTGGGTGATATGAGTGGGTGATGTTCTTCAGAATTTGTACCATTTTCTGTTTTGTTTTGTTTGACCTGGTGAGACCTGAAGCATGGTCCCAGTACAAATATTGTAGTACCAAGAAGGACCGTAATGATTACTCTGAATACTTAAGTCGACTTTTAAAACAATCCTAATCATATTTTGATAATCAGAATTGTTAGCAGACTCTAAAGACCTTTTATAACAAAGACAAAAAAAAATGTGAAAATTAAACAAAAAAAACAAACAAATTTTCATGAATAACCGTTGCCATATTTTAATTTGTTAAAAATGTATTAAGTAATGTATTGTGTAAATAACTGCTAACTAGTCAACTATAAAAATTATTGTCTGTTGCAGCCGTAGACTATAATTGGATTCCAAATAGCGTTCGAAATTGGAAATGAACAGAGCTGCTTCTGGCTCTTTCTGACCCTGCTCCCATTGATTTACACTGGAATATTGTCACCCCTCTCTCTAACTACGGCATTGAGTCTCATCATTTTGGTCTTAAAATGTTCGTATTACCCCACTCTACATGATCCTGGTGTTTTTATTTTGCTATTTTGTCCATTACTTAATTCCTATTCCTAAAACTGAACTCCAGATTCACTCCTGGAACCACCAGCATCGCGAGATTCATTTGACTGGAGCCAAACATTATGGGCGACGTCACACTCCCTTAGTCCACTTCTTTATATAGTCTGTGGTTTCAGTCCTAGTATAGAGGTCCAGAGCCCTATACACCAGTAGACGTTACTCAGATACATTGTGCAAAAGCAACGTAATGAATGGTGAAACTGAGATATTGGGAAATGCTGAGTGCTGCTGAAAAGGGCATTTCCTTAACAAAAACTGAATGGTGGGAAAAGGGAAGTTTATGAAGCAAGCACTTGTATCCAGTGATCAGGATCTAGATATGTTTGGAGTGAATTAGACGGAAGGGCATGGCAAAAAAAGGCGAGTTTGGAGAGGGCAGATCTTCAAATGGCAAAATGTGAATATGAGTCGTAGATGCCTTCATATTCATGTTTTGTGGTAAAATGATGGATGTATTGGCATTTATGTGCAATGTGTCATTTATAGCAAAACTTTTAGGGGCGAATGTTAAAATTAAAATGTTAAAGTTACTTGTCAAAATCTGAATCCATCAATAAGAGGCTATGGGCATAATATACTTGCAATGCCTGTCCAGGTGACATGACCACAGGGCGGGTTTCTTTGGTCCAGCATTTGTCCCATGCATGTCAACAAACAAGAGTCCTTCTGTCTGCTTTCTCCTGGTCCTGTCTCTCCTGAATTGTGTCCTCACCTCGTCTGTCTCTCCTTATTCCTGTGTCCTCCTGGTTCCTCTGTCCCTCCTCGTTGCTGTGTCCTCCTCAGCTGAGTCTGAGTCTATGGTCTGAGTCCTGTCGTTTAAAGTTCAGCTATTCTCCTGCTTTTACGAGGCTGCACGAGGAACGGCACATTCATAACACAGTAGTTTAGCTTGTGAGTATTACCTTGTGTTCAAGTTGTATAAACAAAGCTCAGCATACAAACATGATAATGATCTAAATGTATAAAGTGGACGTCCAACACCTACATTTAAGGACATTTGGACTGCTCACCGGGACAAAGTGGAGGCTCTGGAGCTGTCGGGACACCGCTAACTTTAGCGCAGGAGTAAATGGAGCCCTTACCTTAAGCGGCCAGCGGAGACTGTGCGCCTGGGGAAGCAGCAGGAGCGCGCAGTAAACGGGGAGAGCTAAGCCTCCGTGTCCGAACATGGTTCATTCATGTCAGGGAGCGCCAGCTGTGGCCGCGGCCGCCTCAGAGCTCACACTCCGCGGTGGCTCGGCCCCTGGGCTCGGCCTCTTCTCCCTCCGCCTCACCGCCGCTCCGAGGCCCCGCCCCTCCGCGCGGCCCTTTGATCAGACCACGCCCTTTGAGCCGCGGGCCTTTGATGTGGCCACGCCCTCTTCCCCTCCAGTCCCGCGCTCAGCTCTGTGCTGTGGCCTCTGTGGCTGTGGCTGTGGCCAAGGCCATAGCTGCTGCTGCTGCTGCTGCTGTGTTTTGCAGTGTTACTCCTCTGCCTTACAAGGCCTTACAACCACAAGGTTCCGGGTTCGATCCCCGAGTTCAGCGGGGAGGAGCTGTATTACAGCCAGAGTGTTGGTCAAACATTTTACACACATAGAGCAGTTATTCAAGGCCTCGGCCTAAGAGTAGGATAAATATGCATACAGAAAACAGACTTTTGTGAAATGTGTATGATTGCCTCTGTGTAGGCTGTGTCTCATCTGCTGCTGCAGGAAACCTCTGGTGCAAAGTCTTAAATAGATCAGGGGCACAGGTGCAGTGATGGAAGGTAACAAAGAACAAAAGTAAAAGTACAGTAGTCTACTTTTCTACTTTTTTTTTTTTTTTTTTTTTTTTTTTTTAGATATCTGTACTTTACTTGCAAGTAAAACATACTTTTACTTCACTACATTTGAAGGCAGGTATCTGTACTTTCTACTTAACACATTTTTATTGATGGACTGACAAGTAAAGTATTTTTTTTCTTATTGGAGACTTTAGCATTAGCAGTTTGAGAAAAAAAAAGAAAAAGAAATAAATGAAATGCCTTAAATCAGCTCAGTTCTTACGTATTATTTTATTTTATATTTTTAAGTTTTCATAATTTCATGTGATTTTTATTGTATCTGTATTTTTACTTAAGTGATTAAATTTAGTAGGCTACTTCATCCACCACTTATTTAAACCTTATGAAAGCCTAATATAAATCCCAGCCTAGGTTATATGTCTTGTTAGTTGAGTATAACAAATAAATTAAGTGAATCCATGCTCTTGTTAGGAGAGTGTAGTAGCTGGACTGAACTGTATAGTGTAAATTGGAATTGTAACATGAAACTACAGCCGTAACCTTGATCAGTCTCAGACAGCAGTTTTGCCATGCTGAGGTTTGGATTTCTAAATGCATGTGGAGAATGGGTTAGACTAGAGGTTTCAGCATTCTTCATGGGTATGGAACCCTTTTTAAAAACAATTAAGTTTCGTACAGAAACGCATTATAAACGCAAACACACTGGTTGTTTACATATAATGTGATATACTGTATATAGGCTATGCTATGTTCAAGACCCTGTCTGTAGGTATCGTTATGTCATAGCGGAGCCGTAACTTGGGGGCCCCTTTGAGAGCCTCAGTTTCCCAGAATGCACAGTTTCCTCTGAATCCGCCATATTGCCTTGGTCCAAACGCGCCGCTGGATCTGCTCGTCTCAAAACTGAAAATGTAAGTGCACAAACGTGACATTTGACTGAACTAGGGGGCATATAATGTGGAGGGGGTTGTTGTCATGTAGTTACCGGCGTGTTAGCCCGTTCTGTTGGGTGTAAAGGAGCCCGGAGCCCGGGGAAAGCTTCACATCTGCACAGATCGGAGCCGCGGCTCTTTCTGTTGTTGTTTTTCCCTCTGTCACAGCGCGGAGCGCATCCGCGGTTCTCCCCGAATCTCTCCCTCTAGGAGCGTTTTACCCCGGACAGTCCGCACACAGCGGGCTCCCCACACCACACAGCACACACACACTGACTCTGGACACGGTTTAAGGCTTTAAAGCGCCTCTATCGGCCTGTTTTCTCTGACTCACCTGGACGATTATGAGGAGCAGCTAGCATGGGAAGCTAACTATTAGCATTAGCCGAGCCGCAGAGTCTGGGTCTTTTCTCTGAATTTCACATCGAAAATGCATCAAGTGTGTAGTTTTTCTTTTATTTATGGTATTATGTGTAGTATATACTAAACAGAATGGTCAAACGCAGACAAAAATCAATTAGAGTGTGAGAGGGAAGACATGATAGTGTCAAGAAGAATGCACAGTGAGATAAGAGGTAAAAACTCAAACTTCAGGTAAAGCGATTTCTGGGCTTTTCTTCTGTTCTTAAAAAACAAAACCAAGGCTCCACCACCAGTGCTACAATTGTCCGACATGTCACCCCCGTCCCGAGTCACATGGAGGCGTGGGGCAGGGGGCAGGGCACACACGCGTTTGGCTCTTTACCTTGTAGGTCCCTGAAGTATCAATGGAGTTGTACAGGTTACACGCAGAAGATTTCTTTGGATAAGAAAGTAGGGCTCAAGCAATGTAATGAATTGCAATTAATTGGCAGAGACTTGCAGCCTCACTTTGGCCCGTCTGCCCCAGGGCAGCTGTGGCCATTGCCAACACCATGTGAAGAGTGAATAATTTCTTATATTGTAAAGTGACTATGAGGATCTGGAAAACATGATGTAAGATATTATTATTGTTCGCCTGAAATGAGAGTCAACCCCATTTAGCAACAGAATTATCATCATCTGGGCTATTCACTCAAGACGTGTTATGGCTCAGACTGAGCTTTAGTTACAATGGCACATTTTGTGTTGTGTGTCTGTGAGTGTACTCTCGTCATTTGAGTCAAATTCATGAAAATCTCATATTTATCACTAATTTCTTTTCAATGAATCAAAGAAAATAATTGTTATAATCCCTACGATAAAGAGAACTTTGTCAAATTAGTACAGTCACTGCGATGTTTCATGTGACATCATTTTGTGCTTCTGATACTGAAATCTGTAAAATACAGTTTATTTAATGAATGCCACTTAACTTTGTCACATTATGTTTATGTTCATATAAAGCAGTCTTGTTTGTGTGTTTGTTTGTTTGTTTGTAAGGCTTGTGCCGGTGTGAATGGAAATGGGAGATTACATGCACAGCCTGTCAGTCTGCCCCAGGGCAGCTGTGACAGAGTTGGGTCTGTCACAATAATGACTATATAAATTTATCGTTCAATACATGAGAGATGGAACAATAATTTTTGGGGATTAATATTTATGTCGGGGACTTTTTTTGTGGAGAGCTTGTGGGGAACTTATTTTTCTGTTCTTTTTGTACATTTACAATCATTTTGGGGGGTAATACTAATTTAAGGTTATAACACTAATGATGCGATTGTCTATTGTCTATATTTTATAATACATTAAACTTCTTAGTTTTGCTGAGCACATGTTCAGTTATGTGTGGTGTGTGGAGCTGAAGAACAGTTTGTTTTGTGGCTGTGTTGCAGAGGCAGAGATGACCCAGACGGTACAGACCAACGGGGTGCAGCCCCTCAGTAAAACCTGGGAGCTGAGCCTCTACGAGCTGCAGAGAACTCCTCAGGTGAAGCACCGCCTCAGCACATTCACTCCACTCTTTTTTTCCTATTTCCACTGCTGTTTCTGCTGTTTCTGCTGGCCCTCTCCTGTCGCACTTGTGTCTAAATGTATTGGGCTGGTAGATATGGCGGGGAAAAGAATCATATCCCCCATACTAAGTTTGATTTTTGATTGTCTTCTTCCATCTTTGAAAACATAGACAGCGCAGGGTGTAAGGATCACTTCAGGTTTTATTTCATGTTGTTTGGACCAATAATTCTGGAGAAATCCACATTTGAAGTTTGGAATGAGTTCATACAATACATTAAACCTAAATACATCTGCGTGTTAACACCAGCAGCAGAAGCACGTGTGATCATCTGTGTGCTAAATGAGGTCTTAAGTTTCACTCATAAACGGTGTGAAAATAGTTGTTTACATTCTTTAACTTGGATTATAAAGACGAGAAAGAGAAGAAAAGGTGAGGAGCTGCGGCTGGATCAGAGAGAGGCAGAAGGAGAGCGGGGCAGACACACACAGGCAGAGGGAAGGAGACTCTGGACTTTTAGTCAAACTGTGCAGATTTAAGTCAAAACTTGTGAAATGTGAGGAGATAGAGACACGCTATGGCCCTGACCGTTTTTTTCCTAAACAAGAGTCTAACTCCTCTTCAACGCCTCGAGTTTTTACTACCACAGGATTCGCTGTACACGTGTAAAATGCTCTTGCCCTATTGAGACTGCGATTGATCTTTCAGTTTTTGGCACAGGCCTCTATATGTGCCTTACATTATTATCAGACATCAATACTTTGTTACCTTTTTTAAAAACTTGAACTCTCTTCATTTTAATGATTTAATTATTTTTGCTGATTGAATGAGCACTTAAACATCACACTCACAGCAGGTGGCAGAAATGCAGAGTTTGGTTGTGTAACATATGGAAATCATTAAAGGCAAAATCAACTTTTTGGAGCTTTCTACCATTAACGTTGTTCCCTCATAAAAACATACTACACATGCATGTTTGTTCTGATTGTGTTGTGATGTCTAAAGGAGGTGTGAGAGCAAAGGGAGGGGGATTTAGGGCGTCAAAAACTAAAGTGCAACTTATTACACTTTTTACACTGCTTTGGGCGAATATAAGTTTTTCAAAACAATAAAAGGTAACATAGTGAGCCAATATGTCATGTGTTAGTAGTAAGTTAATTAGATTACCCACAGGACACAGGGGCAACTCCTGGACCAGAGTGCAGTCCAATTAAAATGTCCCATCAAATAAACAGTTGCTCCCATTTGAGAAAAGAACAATAGACTTTGCTGTGAACATGCCCCTGTGTGTGTGTCTGTGTGTGTTCAGGAGGCCATCACAGACGGGCTGGAGATCGCCGTGTCCCCGCGCTCGCTCCACAGTGAGCTCATGTGTCCCATCTGCCTGGACATGCTCAAGAACACCATGACCACCAAAGAATGTCTGCACCGCTTCTGCGCCGACTGCATCATCACAGCGCTGCGCTCCGGGTACGTCCAGCTCTTTTTCAAACCAGTTCCACTTGCAGTTCCTGTGTTAAATGTTCTTTAGGAAGTAATCTTTATTGATCTTTAAAAGGGTGTATTTGCATTTTTATTCCTTTGTCATTATATTAGTTAAAAATTGTCTTAAAATGATAATATTATCGTTTATTGCAATAATTTCTTGGTCAAATAATCGTCCAGCCAAATCTGTTGTCGTTACAGGCCTAGGCACTGCTCTGTCTGAAGTCCTGTTACTCGAGTTAGATTTTAATCTGAGTTTTGTTTTAACACAATCTGACCAGAAAGAACAGACCTCGCTAAAACTAGAACAAGTGAGCTGATTTTTGCTGTTAAAAAAAGTCCCTCTCAAATAATATTAGTCACAGGCTAAGGCAGCGTTATTCAACACTTTTTCTGTTAGTCACTGTCACCTTTTAGTTAAAAATCAAACTCCTAAACAGGACCATGAACGCTCGTATTGGTCACAGGCTCCTGAAAATGTGTTGTTTAAATCCATTTTGAGCAGTGTTTGCCAGTTTCTACATTGTGTCACCATAGTAACTGCTGAACATTTTGCCTTATGCATACAGGCAGAACACCCCCAGTGTGAACCCCTCCAAAGTATCAATTGGTTGACTAATTATTTAAGTATGAGCATATGCACAACAGCAGAAAGGAAAGGGTGTGGAGTGAACTAGCTGAGGATTTGGGAGTGAATCAGGAGGTTCATCTGCCTTTTTTAAACACATAACTTTATCTGTTGAAATAGTTGGTTTTGCGTGGTGAACTCTGTAATTGTACTCTTGTGTAGTCTTTTTTTTTTTTTTTTTTTTGCACTGTCTTCCTATGAACTCTTATATATATAGCTGAGATTTTTTTTTTTAATTACTTATTTTTCTATTTTATTTTGACTTGTACATACATTTATTTATATATTTATATTTTTACATACATTTATATAATTAGGCCTTTTTTGCTACTTATTTAGAATTTATTTTTTATATTTTTACTCTTTGTTATTATATTTTATTGTGATTAGGGCTGGGTATCATTAAGAAGTTGCAGATACTATACATACTTCGATATATAGGCCACAATATGATACATACCTCGATACAGTGCAGTTTTAGTTTGATACGATATATTTCAAATCGATTCGATGTGATTCAGTAAAAAATAAAGGCTAAATTATGGCTGTGATATTAAAAGTTTTTGTTAAATCACTTCTTGTGCAAAGTTAATATGAAACACACATTTTAATCATCAAAACCATGAAAATAAACAAGTTTCCTGTAGCACTGTAACAAAACAATTTAGTAAAATATACCAAAAAATACTCTTGGCGGTGTATCGATACAGAATTAGTAACATGAGCTGCTGCATAATCATGTTAAACGATACAATATGTTGATATTTTTGCACACCTCTAATTGTGATGAATGAGCTACTGTGTCCAGATAATTTCCTTTGTGGATCAATAAAGTTTGTCTTAAGTCTAAGTGAGTGCAGTCTGGGTCAGATACACGGTCAGATCATAGACACTGAACATTTGGAGCTTTTGTCACACCCCCTTTTCAGTCAGCTAATCGATGGGCAGGGCATGTTTTTAGTTGACTCAGCCCTGCACTGATTGTTAGTTTTATAACCTACCATTTATAATGTTGTCACGTAAAAAACCATGTGGGCTTTCATTTCATTCACTTGATGAAGCCTGGTTTTGGTGTGGGTGTTAAAATGCAATTACTTTCAAGCCTTCCGGGCTACAACACCTGCTAAAACATGACCAAATCACACCTTTAGAAACAAAGTGATATAACTGTGAGTGCTTCTTTAAATATTAAACCGACTGTACTGGATCAACAAAGTGTGTATCTGAACTAATTTATTTATGTTATGTTGTTTTTGTGGCATTCTCCTGTTGATGATTTGTACATGTCCTTTATAACTGAACTTCTCAAAGCGGAGGCCAAAAACTGGGATAACATTCATTGAACGTGATTAGATAGACAGATAAATGCTTATTATCCCAGAGGAAATTCGTATTTCAGGCAGCATACAATACAGTGAAGTCCAGAGTATGTCTATGGAGCAGGGCAAGGACAGCAGTAGGGGTGTGCAAAAATATAAAAATATCGATATATTGTATCGTTTATTGTGATGATACAGTATCGATATTGTGGGCTGCTGTATCGATATATGGCCATGAGTAATTTTTGGTATATTTTACTAAATTATTTTGTGTAAGAGCTACAAAAGTGGTGACATTTACACTATATTAATGAGTAAAATTGGTGTTTTTCAAATTAACTTTGCACAAACTTGGTAGACTTGCTTAACTTTTAGTATCACAGCCATGATTTAGCCTTTTTTACACTGAACCATTGCCATTCGATGTGAAATATATCGTATCGAATCGAAAGCTCACTGTATCGAAAAGCGCATCATGTCATGACCTATGTATCGAGGTATGTATCATATCAACAACTTCGTAATGGACAGCAATTGCCCCCAAAGCATGCCCTCCTGTCCTGTTCTTATGATACACAATCCTAAATATACAGCGTTTTTGAGGTAAACAACTACACCATTAAAATAAGGAATCAATCTTTCATTAAATTGTGGTTATAAACATGTTTTGAACTTCTGACTTTTATTGTGGTGCCGTCCTGGAGATCAGTGGGGCTGTCCTTGAGAGATTTTCGTATCAGCAAGGCCTTGTCAGATTATAAAACATCTAATACTTGTGTGTCTTGTGTTACAGAAACAAAGAGTGTCCAACCTGTCGTAAAAAGCTGGTGTCAAAGCGGTCGCTGCGTCCAGACCCAAACTTTGACGCTCTCATCAGTAAGTCAGAGGTCCCCTAATGTCCTCTGATAAACTCCGGTGTTAAACATGTGACTGTGTGTTCAGGTAAGATCTACCCCAGCCGTGACGAGTACGAGGCTCACCAGGAGAGGGTCCTGGCCCGCATCAGCAAACACAACAACCAGCAGGCCCTGTCCCACAGCATAGAGGAGGGGCTCAAGATCCAAGCTATGACCAGGTACCGCCGCGTCACCGCACTCTGTACATGCTCTATTCTGTGCGCTTTCTAATGAAACTGATGCTGTGCTTAGACTGCAGCGCGGGAAGAGACACACGGTGGAGAACGGCAGTGGAGCAGAGGACAACGGAGACTCCTCCCACTGTAGCAACGCATCCGTCCACAGCAACCAGGTCCACACACAACCACCACACACTTGTGAAGAGCTCGCCTTTGGCTTGCTTTATTACCATATTTTCCGTAGTATAAGCCGCACCAGCCAAAAAATGCATAATGAAGAAGAAAAACAAAAATATAAGTCGCACTTTTGGGTGAAAATGTATTTCATAAAATCAGAGACCAGGAACCGACATTCATCTTGAAAGGCAAGTAGAACAGAGAACAACAGGTTGTTAACTACACAAATGAACAGTTCTTCAGATAACTATAGCATAAACAACAGAACAAGTTTACCAAACTCTCCATCTCACTCCAAATCACTAAATCCATTGAATTCTTCATCCTCGGTGTCACTTCTGAGCAATTCCATGACCTCCGGAGGTAAACAGAACGCCGCTACTTCTTCTTGTGTAGCTGTTGTCAGAGTCAGCATCAGTTCCAGTTAGAATTATTCCGGCCTTTCTGAATCCCAACAGGATGGTTTACTGAAGTCCAGGCTTTGTCGAGCCATCCACTGACTTCCAGGAAAGTTGCGTGGTGCACCCTCCCGGTTCCCGTGAAGCTGTGTTCTCCATCCCCGCTTTCCGCCAGTCCCTCACAAGTTTCTCACTCACTCACTCCAAACTTTCTTTCCGCGTGATTATCGTTTTCGGCTGAATATTTCACTACTTGCAGCAGGAGAGAATCTTTTTCTGCAGGAGACATGCACAGTAGAGTGAAGTGACAGTGGTACAGGAGTAATAGAAGCAGCAGATACTGGCACACAAGCCTAGAGCCTCTCTCTACTGTCAGTGTGAACATTTTAATATGTAAGTCGCAGGACCAACCCAAACCATGGAAAAAAGTGCGACTTATAGTTTGAAAAATACGGTAACTTGGGCCCTATGTGTGAGCATGGGTGAAATAGCCTTATCTGTCCCTCACCAAGATAGACCTGGATGAGTGACATTACAAAGGACCGGCTCAGTTGACCTTTGTTCTGTCCTGACCACCAGAGGGCGTTGCTGAAAGCACTGAATGACTCTCAGAGCATGTTGCCATAGAAATCTACCCCAGTAGAAAAGGATCCTGCTTGGTAGTACAGGCAAATCAGGATTAAACCCCCAAGCTCTGTTTTACCCAACAACTAAAGCCAGTTTGTCAAATACAAAGATAAAGACATGCGTTCTAGTTTTTCCAGACTATTATCAGGATATAATGGGGGACCGCTAATCAAAGGTAGTTTGCTCCTAACAGGAGGCTGGTCCCAGTATTAAGCGCACAAAGACGAGTGACGACAGCGGTCTGGACATGGACAACGCGGCAGAGAACGGAGGAGCAGACTCGGCCATGGACGGAGGAGCCAGTGAGATCGAGCTGGTGTTCAGGCCCCACCCCACCCTCATGGAGAAGGACGACGCTCACAACAGGTACACCGCACTGGGAGATGAGTCATGTAGAAATGTGCTTCAGAATGTTTCAAGTCTATTCTGGTCTGTGGAAGTGCTTGAGATGAGCCTATTGAGCATTTTAGTCAAAGGAGATGTACACAAGAAGCATTAGAGTTTGTTTAAAGCCTGGTATCCAGTTTATTTTATGGATGTCACACTACACAAAAGAGCGAGTGTCAGGCTCCGTGTGGTAATGTTACTGCTTTTGTACATGGTGCAAACAGTATTTTTTGTGTATAGAAGTTGGTAAATGAAAGAGAAATGGGGAGATTGTAGAATTCATGTATCTTCCGTTCATTCGTTTTTCAATATTAAACCAAAAATAAGAAAACAAAAAAATAAAAAATATTTTCTTTATTACTTGTCTCCAAAACCAAAATAATTTTTTTCAGTTTTTGATTTTGTGTTTAAATGATTAATGGAAAAAACGGATAATGTCCGTTTCCCGTTTCCGTGACTTAAACTGCGATGCCAGACTTTTGGTCCGCATACGGACTGAACCACCAGGACTAAACTAGTACAAAACTAGGACTAAACCAGGACTAAACCAGGTCCGAGACCGGGGGACTGAGACCGGGGGACTGAGACCGGGGGACTGAGACCGGGGGACTGAGACCGGGGGACTGAGACCGGGGGACTGAGACCGGGGGACTGAGACCGGGGGACTGAGACCGGGGGACTGAGACCGGGGGACTGAGACCGGGGGACTGAGACCGGGGGACTGAGACCGGGGGACTGAGACCGGGGGACTGAAAATGGTTTAGTCCTGGTTTAGTCTGTATGTATGTATAGTCACGGAAATGGCCGTTAACAGTTTTTTCCATTATTCATTTAAACACAAAATCAAAAACTAAAAAAACTAATCGTTATCAATTTTTTTTCATTTTGGTTTTGGAGACAAATAAAGAAAAAAAAAATGTTTTTTTCATTTTCTTATTTTTGGTTTTATATTGAAAAACGAATGAACGAATGATACACAGATTTAGTAGGGATTAACAATATCCAACTCTCACCTTACAATATTTTCACAATATACATTTTACAGTACGATATTTATTGTGATATTTTGTGGAGGCAAATAAAACTCTGAATATGCTACTTTTTTCTCTTAAAATGCCTTGACAAGACTTAATTCAAATAACTAAGATTTAAAAGTGCTTAGAACTGTTATTTCTTCATGTAATTTGCACCAAAACGGAGCAAAGTGTCATGGTCTATCTAGTTCCCTCTGTGTTTTTAGCTATTTCTGCACTATAACTCTTCATTTAAGCAAAGAAACTTGTGATTCGATATGTTGGAATGGTCCCTGATATTAATCTGAGACTTTTGACAATACAATATCACAATATTTTGGTTATTGTTACACCCCTAGGACATAGTGCTTTTGTTTTTTGTTGCTCACATGTTTGATAAAGATAGATCATAGACGCCGTGAGAGGAGGACTCACTTTGCGACCAAGATTTTAAAAAAAAAAAAAAATCATCTTGAGGCTATTGTGAAGGTTTGGTATAATTCACTGAAAAATGTTTAATTTGAGAGGTGAACTTAAAAGTGCTGGTGTGTCAGTAAGTTGTATATCAGGAGGATTGTTCAAAACCAGCCACATTCCTGCGTATTTTCAAGGTCTCTGTGCTGAATACTAAGAAGGCAAGATAAAAGTAGTTGGTAAAACTGCAGTAAAAGTGCCAGTGAGTTATAATAGTTACAATATGGCAATAGGTGTGATCTGTTTTAGCTGAGTTTTGGTCCCATTTGGTTTATATGTTTTTGATGTGGATAATTTTACTTTTCAAAGATTTACAATAAACCCAGATTAGTGGTTAAGTTTAGAAAAATAATGAAACACCTGCAGCATAACTATATTCAGTAACTTGAACTTGAAGAAATTATGTAACAGTGGTTTACTTACACAGCTGAATTTTAAACATTGTTCTTAAATACAGAACATATTTGTCTCATATTGTCCAGCCCCAGTTTGAGGACAAGTTGTGCTTTGCCGTTTGTGTAACTCTTCTTCTTCCACGTCCTGTACAGTGTGGAGTTTGTGCCTCGCTACATAAAGACGTCTGGGAACGCCACAGTGGACCACCTGTCCAAGTACCTGGCCGTGCGTCTGGCTCTGGAGGAGCTGCGGAGAAACTCAGAGGCCAGTCCTGTGAACGTGGAGGCGGCGTCAGAGAAGCAGTACACCATCTACATCCCCACAGCTGGAAACCAGTTCACCGTGAGTACCACCACCGCCTCACTCATAACTAAAGGCAAAAGGAGAAAGGAGGCGTTTAACCCAGTCTAACTTTGGCAAATCTTTCATTACTACATACATTCACTTTGGTGCAGAGCTAGGCTGACCAGACTTTCAAAATAAAAAACTGGTTTGGGTTGGGTCGTAATAATAAATCTGTAAAACAAGAGCATAATTAAGGAAAATTGTTACGCACTCACCACTAATGTGAGTCAGTATAGTCATATTTTCTTTGTGTTTTGGTCAATGTTTACTGTTGGCAGGGATCAGATTGGTCAAAAATAGGGACACTTTGGACATTTCTTGTATAAAACTGGGACAAATCACTGGTTTTAGATATATCTGCTGGGACCGGGGACACAGGGCTCAAAACTGGGATTGTCCTTAGGAAATGGGGACATTTGGTCACCCCATGTGCAGCTTTAGAAAGGCTTTTTCAGACAAAGTAAAACTGGGTGGACCGCCAAAGCTCAGCCAATCACAGCACTGCTTTTGGGGATTACCGGGTTGATGAGAAATAGAAACACTTTATTTTTAGTTGCCGTGAGCAGTGAGTGTGCAGTGATCTGATTTTGTTCTGCTTTTACAGTTTACTTTACATATTTACAAAAAAGTCAGGTCCTCCAGCTTTAATGGTTTTGGCAAAGAAATTATCGATAACACTTTATAATAAAGTGCACAAATAAACAGCAAACTAATCATTACTTAACCCTTTGTTAATATTTATTAATTTTTACTAAAATATCTATTTGGCACAAATGAATACTTTTTTCATCATCAACTAAACATTAGTTGTTTGCATGAAATCTGTGTTTTAATTTTTTAACAAATAGAAAACAATTAACTAATATCATATTAATATTTGTTAATAATTTTACATAATTTAAATGTTAAATGTTTATTTACAAACTATGTTAATATAAAAGTTAATGACACCTTATTATTTAACAGTTATTAATTAAACTGTGTTTCTGCTTTTCTCAATATGAACCACTCCTCATAGAATCCTTATAATAAAGCTGGTTAAGCTTAATTAATATATTAGTAATGGCTCTTAGATTCTAGATGTTGTTTCATTGTTGGTCATTATTAGAACTGGATCTGGTGTTTTTCTGGATCTGCTGTTTTTCGCCTGCATAAAGGGTGCGAAATTGGTCTTAATTTTCATTTAAGTGGTCTTAAAAAGGTCTTAAAAAGTCTTAAATTTGGGGGAGTCAAACCTGGGGGATACCCTTTATGACCCAACACTAACCCTTCTTCTCTCCTCCAGGTCCTCAATGGCTCCTTCTCTCTGGAGCTGGTCAGTGAAAAGTACTGGAAGGTCAACAAGCCCATGGAGCTCTACTTCGCCCCCACCAAAGAACACAAGTAGACCCTGTCCCCCTCCTCCTCCCCTTTCCCCCCCTTCTGAGGATCCCACTCCCACACTGACAGCCGGTTACTAACAGAGCAGGGCGGACTGGAACGCACACACACACTCACACACGCACGCACCGCAAGCCAGGCCCGCGCGCGTGTGTGTCTGCGGGAGAGGAGTGAACTTTGACCCCCTCCATGGACTTCTGTAAAAAAGACAAACTGTTTTATATCCTGTATCTTGTGTCTCTTCTTGGGTCTTTCTGTCTGTAGGAGGTAGCAGATCAATTCAGCAAATCGTCTCCCGAGTCTGTGCAAACGCGTCGGACGGACAGCAGGGGGCCTCATTCGCCAAGACGCACCGAGGTTTAAATGTGTAACAAGACGACTGGTATTTTTGGAAGTCTTGTGTTTCTGTTGATACTTTGCAGCGATGTCACGTTGGGGGTGTTCTATGTGCGTCTTTACGCCAGACACACAACGCAAACATCAGCAAACAATAAAAGTTTTAAGATGGTCAAGAAAAAAATCTAAATGGATTTAAAGAGCACATTTTCAGGAGCGTTTATGATCATGTTTAGGAGTTTGATTTTCAACAAAAAGAGTGAAACTGAAAAACTGTGTGATTGTAACTGTATGTGTGGGAGACTTGTTTAACAGCACAAATCAGCTCTTCTGTTGTCGTTTTTTCTGGTCAGATTGTGTTAAAAGTAAAGTCTAACTTGAGTAACAAAGCTTCAGACAGAGCAGAGCCTCCGGTTAGCTTCACACCCCCAGGGAAATTTGATGACGTCAGCTGCAAAGTATCGATTTGTTTTTAATCTGAGATGCAATGGAAGCAAGATGAGAACCCGAAACGTTGTATTTTCATCAGATGTGCATAAAAGGTGCGCTGTGTTACTCTTTTTGGGCAAAATATCTGCTTGTCTAGAATGTTCCACACAAGTTACAGGTCGGATCTGTGGAGTAAAACTGTTTTTTTTAAATATAGTCAATTAAAACAGCTCTTAAAGTCTAATGCCATACTGTTGAATATTTTAGACAAAGCAATAAAATCTTTAGAAACAAGATGGGAGACACGCCACCTGAAAAGTTACATAGCGCACCTTTAACTCACACGTTTAAAGTTGTACAAGTTGTTATTTGTCTTAGGACTGCCAAATTTGCCGTCTGTAGTGCTTTCGGTTTATTTTTGTTTGTTTTTTAATACCACAAAAAGCTAAAATAAGCAGTAATAGTTGATTTACATCAGGTATACCAGCTTTTTCTATAAAACTGATAAGGGATGCACCGATTTTTGAGAAAATTTTGCTGGATTTGGTATTGGTATTGACAAAATTTCAGTTTAACCGGTATCCTGGTTGTGCCTTTTATTTCCAGGTCCAGAACGTCTCATTTTATTTGAACCTTTTTTCACTCAAAGCTGTTAAAAAAGTTGCTGGATAAAATATTAACACTTGGATCAGTTATGTAATAAGTGATCTGTGTTTTTTGAGGAAAAAGGTCGTTCTCTGTCCCTACACTGGCGTCTGGCATCAGCAGATATTTAAAGTATCGATATCGGAACTGAAAAAGCTGGATCGGTGCATCCCTAGAACGTAATTTTTACATGAAACTTCAATCCAGGGAGTATTCTGATTGGACAAGAATTCCTCTGTAACGGTTTATCATCCAATCAGATATCGGCATGTCTTTTCTCTCTCTGAAATGTGGATGAATTTGTACGTTTTTTGTTTCGACTAGGCAGCTCTGTTACGTAAAAAGAAAACGGAAAGCGCTTTTTCGTTTAACTTTACAGTGGAAGACTTTGGATGTGATTATGGTATTGAGGCCTTATTTCCAGTACGGACATTTGCTCCGATGCTCTTGGTGAGTGATGTTTCCCATGTTCCGATGCTATGTAAAAATCCTCTATTTGTTTATATCACTACGGGCCTCTTTAGACTGTGCAGCTTTGGGGTACATGTATTTTTGAAGTCATCAGTACTTTTGCTTTTGGTTGAAAATGAAAACTGTGACATAAAGTGGTTAGATACCTGAGCATTGGACAAAGTTGTACTCCGAATGATTCAAATGCTCCCATAAACCATTTTTATCTAAACTACAATGGTCTGGACTGGTTCCTAAATATGGTTTCAATTTTTGGTTTTTGAAAAATGGTAGCTGTAAAAAAAAAACGAAGTGGCCGTATGATTTTGCGCTCTTGTTTTTCGACCGTCGTCATGGCACCGTCAACTTTTGAAGTCTTAATTTTTAAAGGGCCTGTATTACACTGTTTTCTGATCTATGTTATAATGTTTTTTAATCGAAAACATGCCTGGAGTTGTGTTTTGTTTCATTCACACATGTTCTCTGAAACTGAAAACGCTCTGTTCCACATTGTGATGTCATGTGGTAATACAGAAAGTGCTCCATTAAGTTTTTAAACTCCATACACCTTCACTAGAACCATTTGGATCATTTCAGCTCTGGAATTGCCAATCTCTACTGAACTAAAGGTAAAAGGAGCTGTGAGGTTGAAAAGTACCACTTCACGATTAGGGCTGTGCAGAAATATCAAATACATCGATACAGCAGCCCATGATATCGATACTGTTTTGCCATGGATATTTTTTGGTATATTTTTGTGACTGTGCTACAGTTTAGTTGCTTGTTTAGAGGAAGGAAACTCATTCGTGCAACACATTTGACATTTTGATGAGTGAAATTGGTGTGTTTTATATTCACTTTGCACAAAAAGTGGTTTAACAAAAACATTTAGTATCACATTAATGATTTAGCAAATACTTTTAATTGAACTGTATCGACTCGATTTAAAATATATCATATTGAATCGAAAGTGCACTGTATCAAGATGGGTATCGCAGTGTTTCCCAAACTTTTTTTCTGGGGACCCATATATTAAAAGTCACATATTTTCGCGACCCAAGTCAGTAGACATTATTCGTAAATCCAAAAATAAATTTGTCACCATTTATTGAACATTAATGAGGATATTTTATTGTTGACTGAGTGATGGTGTCTCTTTGAACAATTAGTATTACTCAAGTTTTAAACGATGAAAAACAGTAATCAGTGGTTCCCACAGAAAATTGGTTAGGCAAGGTGGTGCTGCTGAAAACTTGAGCAGGGAGGGTGTATGGAGATCTATGTATATGTATATTGTAGACCTACATGCAGATCGTGACAAGGCGACCCAAAAAAAATCTCTTGTTGCGACCCAGTCTTTGGGAAACAATGATGTATTGTATTGTGGCCCGAGGTATGTATCGTATCAGCAACTTCTTTATGATGCCCAGCCCTATTCATGACATCAAAAGGTGGATTTTGAGCATTTTGAGCTTTGGAGATGTAGGCAGACGAATAATAAAGTGTTACTCAATATGTGAATGAAACAAAACACATCTCCAGGTCTGTTTTTGAGAAGGTAACATCATTATAACATGACAAAAAGCTCAAGAATCACATTTTTTGTAATATAGGATCTGACCAGGACCTTGGCTTAGTGGTGTCACCTTTTTGTCTCCATGGAGGTGGGTACGTTTAATACCATACTGCAGAACATTGCAGGCGACGTAATATTTTTCATGGAGTCAAGCAGGTGAAATGTTATGCAGAGTACCTTTAAAGCTACATGTAATCTTTTAGACAAAACTGAAACCTAGAAAAACATGAGTCCTTACTGTGAGCAGGCTTGCATCTCCACAAACCTGACTTTTATTTGGCCTGGAGGAGGGTCTGCATTTCTTTATTGCTGCTGTGGACAACTGGGAAGGATTATCTGAAAATGTTCACGTTTTTGTTTGAGTAACCAGACATTGGAAGAAGATACAAAGAAATGGCTCAGAATTAAAGCCAGTAAGGGGGCTGACCACTCTGCCACCATACCTTCATCGGTATTAGCAGCTGTTGTTGCTCTGTGACTTGTAGGGAATCTTGTGATCGTGTTTTGTTTCTTTTTATTGTGTTTTGTCATAGAAACGGGAGCAGCAGCAGCAGAGAGTGTTCTGCAGGTCCGGCCAAATTTCTAAGATGACTTCATACTGAACAACAGAAACTCAACAGTGTTAAATTAAAATCTATGACTCAGCACTTTCCATTTCTAAATCCAAAATATATGTACCAAAGTTTTCTATTTACTGCTCAGTCTGAAGACAAGAGTTGAAATGGAGAAAGAGTACTTGGAACTACCAGGGGATGTTCAGGGTGTTGGTTGTTTTCAGATTCTAGAGCAGGAGTCTCCAGTCTTATTCCTGCTATGATCTCCTTTACAAAACAAAAATGCCAGAGAGCTACTTTTTTTAGACCGCAAGAAACAGACAATTGTAAGAAAGAGAGCGAGCCTTGGGGTACAGTTAGATGCCTACAAAACATGACCAATTGTCCCTTTATTAGTGCACTAAGTTGAGCTTCCAAATTATACATTTACAATGGTAAGAGGCATGTCATTAACCAAATTTGTGTTATTCAGCACAGTGGGTTAATTCTGAAATCCCTTGGTGAGCTACTTGGAAGGGGGTGGAGAGCTACAGGTTGGAGACCCCTGTTCTAAAATGTCATACTCCCAGATGGGGGCAAGAGACAGATTTTGGTTACACTGTACTTTGCCATGAAATATCCAAAAGGTGAATGCACAAATGTTGAACCTGATCATTTCGATTTGTGACTAGACCCAAGAACTCACTGTATTACAACACAAATCGGCATTTGAACAATATTCATTTGAGCCCAGTCTGTATTAAATATAATTGGGCCTGTAGAAAATTCTGATGTTACCTGAAACCCTGCAAAATTTAAACTTTAGTATAATGTTGCACTATGTCGTTTTTCTGGTGGACTGTCTGTCGCCTTCTTATCTCCATGGAGATGTGCTAAGCAGGGCCGGGCCTGGTTAGTACTTGGATGGGAGACGCTGGGAATTCCAGGTGCCACAGGGGGGCGCCAGTGGCAAAAACTCGTGCCCTTAATCAAGACACTTCACCCATATTGCCTAGTTTGAAAGTGGTGTGTGTGTGAGTGATGGTGGTGGTTGGAGGGGCTGATGGCGCAGATTGGCAGCCCCGCTTCCGTCAGTCTGCTCCAGGGCAGCTGTGACTACAGTAATAGTTTTCCACCACAAAGTGTTGAATGAATGAATAATGAACTGTAAAGTGCTTTGGGTATCTTGAAAGGCATTATATAAATGCAATGATTAATTCATTAATTAATGATTAATGTGTTTGGAATGTTTCACAGTATGGCATTACTGGCATTACAAATATATTTTATCTACATGGAAACAATCAGCTGAGAAGGAACCTAAAGTTTCTAATGAAAAAAAAAAAGTCTTGAATAAATGCAAGTTAAATGCCATACAGTGACAACATCTCTGTGGAGACGCGCAGGTGACAAACACTACTAAGCTACAAAGTGCATGTTAAAGGAGAAGCTGTGTGCAGCCTGTACTGTTTTAAAAAACATACTACGATCACAACTGAACCAGAGCCTTAACCTGCAGACAGACACATCCAAGTTTGTCTCATTCTCAGTAAATGGACAGAGCAAGTCTCATGTCAATGCTCAGAACCTCCAGAATTCCCTCCCTGAGCTGTAGAGGCTGCACTAGCACTGACTCATGAGTGGCAACAGTTGCTAGGGTTTAGTTAATGACCTTTTTTTTTTTTTTAGTTTATTTAATGAAACAGGGACAGTGCACAATATATATTAACCTTATGAGGAGAGATGCATTGTACCAGGTTGTAGCACCAGTGCTAATTTCCACCTGTCGCTGAGCTGAGCTGTTCTTCCTGGAGACCCACATAGCATATTTTTTGGGCATTCAGATCAGAGGGGTTTAGGTTTAAAACAACTGGATTTCAACATTGAAACTGGCAACACAAATGAGAGACAAGTGTAAGACTCATTCTGCTTTCTGATTTGATTATCATGAAATTATAAGAAACAAATGGGACGTCATGTCAAATGTTTTTATAATTAATAATAAACCAGCATTACAGTCATTATCAGTAAAAGCTAGGTTTGATTTGAGCATGTTTACCTAGTGTCTGAGGTTTATCAAAGTTGAACTCTGTAAGATTTTGATTTTCTTTAAGGGTGTAATGTTTTCTCTACTTAACTGCACCTTCAGACCTGTCAGATGTATATTTTTTTAAAAACACAATAGTCTGTAGAAAAAAAAGTCTTATGTACAGTTTGAGGCCATTTGTATCATTGCTACTCCTGCAAATGAAAAACTTAACAATTCCTGATGTGCTCTAAGTCAAGTAAGACTAGGGTTTGTTAAAAATGTGAAACTACAACCAAATTTGTATAAACTCTTTATTTCTGATACAAAAACTGACAGAAGCAGTGTAGCCTTAACATAGGCCGTACGTACAAAGGAATGACCGTAAAAAAAAAAAAAAAAAAAAAGAATAAGAAACACCAACACATACTCAGCAAAGGCAGCCCCCAGTCCAACAGAAAAAAACAACACCAGAGGAGGAATGTGCTGCTTAGAAAAAAAAAAAAAAAAAAACATGATTAGGCCCCTTTACACAGACAATTACCGTAAGCTTTTAAAATCCAAAACACTGAATATTTGGCAAATTATTACACCAGATGCCCTCCCCGTTTCGACAATGGTCCGAGAGGGTAAAACACTGTCCTGCTAAGGTACAACACAATTCCAGATTTGAACCGGCAACTCTTTGGTCTTTGGTCAGTCAGGCTTGGACCACTACGCTATCTCTACTCATCTATTAAAGCTTCACTGCGTAACTTTTCAAGGAGTTTGCCATCTGCTCGTCTCCCTGGAGGTGTTACTGCGTCGTCTGGAATGTTCTACAGAATAACTTTGGACCACAAACCGTTAAAAATTGGTCGTTTTTCATATTTTTCTGTCACTTGCAATACTACGGGACATTCCAGCCAAAGCAATAACATCTCCATGACGACAAGCAAGTGGCAGAAAAGTGGCACACTGAACCTTTGAAGAGTTAAAAATCGTAAAAAAAACAACAATGAAAAAGCATGTGTGTGTGTAAAAGGGCCGTGTGTGTGAAATGTGCTGCAGTGAGGCGCCAGCACCGCCCTGCCAGAATCCCAGAGACACGAGGACACATGCAGGAGACAGGACGCTCCACTCGGACTTAGACGGGAGACAGACGGGGGACAGACAGGAGACAGACAGGGGAGACGCGTCCTCACAGGGACAGGAGACGTGTCCCTGTGGTCAGACACTGGTCCAGCGTTTGGTGAGGGTCAGTCCAGGATCACACAGTCTTTCTGGCGGTCAGCACTCGGATGATAGAGCCCACTCCTCCCACAAGAAGCACCTGTCAGGAGCAGACAGAATATTTAGAGAATGACACAGTACAAATTTTGATCAGCATGACAAAAGTGAGTGAAACAAAGAGTCTTCTATTCTAGGCCTGAAAAAACATTTGAGTGAATGGACCAAAATATTGCTCTTTGTAAAGAAAAGAAAAGATCCTTGCTAAATAAACTACGGGAGGATATGTGCGTGGACCTGCGCTGTGCATACCGTGGAATATAAAATTTATGAATCTGGAGACAGACTTCTCTGAGAACCAAAGATGATCATAAAGGGCTGAAGTGAAGGAGATTTTTTATCACGGCGTTTCCCACTGCCCACACATTCACACTACAGCACTGATCAGTAATATGTACATAAAGAAACTGATCTAAGACTCATTTAGAAAAGAGTGCATCATAATCTACTTGAAAACGTTTGTACAGACAAAACACAAATTCCATATATGTGAAAAAATACTGGGGTTTATAAAACCCTCTGATTGCACTCCCTGTCACACTTTCCTATTCCTATTCATATTCATAGATCACACCTGCAGCAGAAATCTGACCCTCAGGTCTCAGTCATGCAAAGGCTAAACCAGCAGACACCAGTGGGCTGTTCCACAAAAGAGAGAGATAGATTCTATCCTGCATGTCACTGAGAGTTAAATGTAGACACAATAGTTTTGAGCAGGTGCTCATAGGGCATCATCTGTGTGGGTAGGGGGTCCCACTTTGGGGTTGTGAAATTGTTGGAAACACTAATCTAACAGTCTTATGCAGAAATATTTCATATTTGATTGTAATTTGGATCCAGACTAAGCTCCTACATCATTTTAAAAAATCTATTCACATGAGCCTGGCTGAATTATAGTTAGCTTTGGCTTCTAAACTAGAGACGACACATGACTTCTTCCAGATTCAGCTCTAAATGGTTAAAACTAGAAACATTCAAAGTTTAAAAAAAAGTGGGACTGTTGCAGAACCTCAAACAATCCTGGACTGAAACTGGTCTTACCTACAATTATTCCTGGACTAACATCAGTACTGAATCAGAAAGTTTAATCTAGGACTGTTCTAAGACCAGTTCTATGAAACATCAAAACCAGAAAAATTCCTGGATATTACAAAACCAGGACTAAATTAGGATGACACCAGGAATTTTCAAAACCAGACCCATTACAGCTACAAAGTCAAAACCCACTACTGTTACTTTCACATCTTTCCTGGACTAATGATGAAGCTGCTGAGTTTTCTGTGGATATTTTTGACAGTACCTTTTCATGCCACTGAAGCAGGATGGCGCTGCTGTTGTCTGAGGGCTTCTCAAAGCCTCTGTAGATGTATTTCATGAGCAGGTCCACGCTGGGTTTGTCCAGAGACGCCACAGCCTTCTCTATGTCACTGGACTTAAAGCTGGCCAGAACCTTCACCACCAGTGTGGCCGTGCGGTCCTGCAACCAACACACCAAAGAAAACACCAAATCAGTACAGATATAAGTTACAGGAATTCAAAATAGAAAGTGTTTGTGTCCCGCATTTAATCAGGGTGGTGCTTCTGACTCCATCGGCTTTGGCTCTTGACTTTACTCTGAAAAATTGTCACCTCTCTCATTTTGGACTTAAAATGTTCGTATTAACCCGCTCTACAAGATCCGGGTGTTTTTATTTCACTGTTGTGTCCGTAAATCAATTTCTATTCCTAATATCGGCTCCAAATTCGCTCCTATAACTGCAAGCCTCAGTGAGCTTCATTTGACTGGATCTGAATGTCACACTCACTTCATCCACTTCTTTATACTTTCTATATGACATGCAAATGAGGAAGTAATCATGAATCAGATTTATTATTTTAGGTAAAGTTAAAAGGACAAAATTAATGGAATATACATTTTAGAACACCCTAATTTTTCCAGTTGTTTATTGCAGTTCAAGTCGTGCAAGTCCAATGAAGAGCTTGAAATGGTGCAAAGGTAAGAACTGAACAGCCAGAGGTTAAAAGAAAAGATAAAAGATAAGAAAACACAAGTCCAAACTCTGCCAAACAAGATGGTAAATCTTGAAAACATGGAGTGTCCAGTACAGTCTCCAGACTTAAACCCCATCGAGCTGGTTTGGAATGAACTGGACAGAAGAGTGAAAAAGCCAAAAAAAAACCTACAACTGCCACACATTTATGGGAACTTCTGCAACAGACTTGGGAAGAACTTTCTGAAGAACATTTGATTTCTATTGTAAAAAGAACGAGCCACGAGTGTGTTCAGCTGTTATATCTGCCAAAGGTGAGATGAGTCAAAAGTTTAAAATACGTTTTGGTCTATAAATTGATTCCATGATTTCTTTTTCAACTCAGATTGCGTATTTGTTCTATGCTTTCATTTCAGAGTGCAATGACATAATAAACTGACTCATTTTCAGTTTAAAAAAAAAATAAAAGAAAAGGAAGGAAGTGCGGTGTTCTAAAACTTTTGACCCGTAGTGCAAGTATAAATATTCACAAGGATAGACAAAGGTGTACTGTATTGTCCTCAAAATGTGTCCTCTTCATTTGACCCATCCTTCAATGCCACTGGGTCCCATGTCAGGAGCAGTGGGACCTATCTCTGCTTGAGCTTGAGCTAGTCTTGGTCAGGACTACCTTACCTGGGAGGATTTAGAGCAGGCATGTCCAAATTATGGCTCATGGGCCAAATGCAGCCCTCAGACAAATTTTTCTTGGCCCTCAGGCTTCCAGGTGAATTGGTCCAAATTACCTTGCATCACTTAAAAATACATTTTTTACTGCAAGTTTTTTGAAAATCTACCTTGATAAAGCTAATAGTTAATCTTTAGTGTGGGGTTTTAAGGATCTTAGCATGAATTAAGACTGATGGCTCATTCTAACATGTTAAACATGCACATATTTCATTTATTCACTGTATTGAGCACCAGTCTACAGCCCCGATCAGCTCTCTGTTTCGTCTGTGATTAGATATGTGGCCCTTGAGGAAAAAAGTTTGGACACTCTTGATTTGGAGAGTCCGGGGAGAACATGCAAACACAGAAAAAGCCCACACGATCGGGAAGTCAAAACTTGTGAGGATGAATTATACCCTCTGAATGTTCATCTGGCCTATTGCACATGTAAATTCTTCAGTGATGTTGCTACACCACTGTGTCAGAATCCTACACTACCATTGTTACTCAACCAGTGGTTAGTAAAAGTGAACACGGGTTTAACTGCAGCACTAGCAGACTTGTGTTCCACTTGAATGCAATACAACAACCTGATGATAAACAGTAGGTTGTAGAAAGAGCTGGAGTGTTTTCACATAAACAGTCCAGGTTGCAGTGCACGGTCAGGGGTGACTGAACAGTGATGGACAAAGAGACTAGACCCACCTTCACGTTCTGGTTCTTGGTGTTGATTGGAGGGTTCTTGAGCACAGCCAGAAGAGCTCCTTGCATGTTCCCCTTGAGAACTAGAGTCAAGGAGCACACCGTATGGATCTTTTGTCACCTCAGGGCAGTATTCTAACGCCAGCTGTGGTGGGCTGTTCCTCTGCACGGGTCTAAACATGTCTGAATGTACGGCCCATCCCACACCTAAAGAATGTCTATAGATTTGCTACATAACTAATCATTCACACTGTCATAGATCTGCAGTGTTGTGCGGGGTTGGATATAAATGGTGAGACAACTGATCTAAGAGATTAATAATCAGAATTCGCTATATACTGTACATATTTGCCATCTGAAAATAACCAGTAGAGTGGAGCAATGCATGACTACAGCTTGCCTAGTGCCTACCTTTACTTTCCATAATATTTACCCAGCCAAAAAAAAAAAAAAAACGTAGAAAAAATTCAAATATTAAATTAGAGATAGATTACAACTGTGACATCTGTCGAAACTGAAACAATCACTCACCTGTACTATCATTGTACAGACAGAAACATCTGGACCCACATACAGCAACTCATCCAAACCAAAACCAGACATGTGATCAGCCTCCAAGAAAGTGACAAACCCTCCATCCACAAAGCTCTCTGACTCAGACTCTCATCATGCTGGTGAAATATCATATACACAAAACAAAATGGACTCAAAATAAACCAAAAGGGTATCATAATAACGAAATACAGCAATACTTCCAAACAATAAAACACTTCCAGAACAAAAAAAAGCTATTAAAACATATAGAAAATACTTATAACAAAATCACTCTCCCCTACACTTTGATACAAGCCTTCATTTGATTAAGTATACTTAGTTTGTGGTCTTATCTTGTTTGTTGTTTTGTATATATATTTTTTTTTCTTTCTTTAGCTCTCTTGTAACTGCACACCACCCCCGTACTGTATGCGTTATCTATGTGACTGTTGGAGAAAAAAAAAAAAAAAAAACTGAGCCTACCTATAGGGAAGAGAAAAACTAGTACAGTTCACGCACAACCACACCCATTTCTGACATGAACCCGGAAATAACTTTGACAGCTCCACATAAGTTAATTCAAAATAGAATCATAAAACAGCGTACTTGTTTCACAACCCACTATTTGTAGAGTAACCACGCATGACACCACAAATCACCATGCGCAATTACGCACAAGATCTACCGACTAATTAACCCACGTACTCGAATTACGCGGTGCCAATTTGGAACAACTTGAAACACTTTCACACAAAAATACAAGCAGATGTCTTAACCACATTCTTCCAAGTCCATGTGAAACTAAAAACACGTTTAAAGCGAAAAATTGAAAGGATATTGTCGGAGTAGCGAGTCCACTTCTGACTCGTCTGGTCCGCCCAGGTTCTCTGCTCCATCTTCTTCATCTACAAACTTGTTTTCATCGTACTCATCAACGTCTACTTTCCTGAAGCGAGCCGACAGCGTGGTCTTAGACATGTTGGCGTGTTGTTTGTGTCGGTGTTTGGACGTGAACGGTGTGAAATGCGGCGGACAGCGGTCAGTTTTTCGCTGCCCTGACGGGGGAACAGATCTGGCAGCAGCGGTTCCGTGCGCCGCTTCCGGGTTGATTCCACTTCCTCTTCCGCCGCGCGTGTTTCTTCCATTTTTGGTGTTGTTGTGAGGCGATGGGAAGTGTAAAATAGCGACGACTGGTGGACTGGAAGCGCGTAAAAAAATGTAATCGTTCTCAAAATTGTTTTATCATAGTACGTTTATAAATTTGACCTAGATAACTCTGACTTGTTTAGGTATTTCCAGTTAAGACATTTTTAATTTTAATACAGAAATTAGGAATCATTTTATACTGGAGGGCAGTGAATTAATAGATATTATAGAAATTATGACAGGAGCTTATAGACAGCTACCTTCCAAACTTGTATCTAAATGTATAAATGTTAAAAAATGCTAATGAGAATTGTATTTATTTTTATTTTATTTTTTGTAGAACCACACAGATTAATTGTTCTTTTATGTACATTTGTTAAAGTATATATTTAAAAAATAGTTTTATTAATCATCACATTTGACTTTCTACATGAAGAAGCTAAAATTAAATCATGACTTTATTAAAACTTAAAGGTGTATTATAATTTTTCTGGTGGAGGGACCGTCACCAATTTGTGGCCAAGAGGATACTACTTTTCCGTCAATGTTCCACAGTATGACATTAAACTTTAATCGAAACTATCCTGAACTTTCTCAAGACTCAATCCAGGACTGCACAGGTGGGACCAAGTCATCATTTTGCAAGTCTTTAACCTCAAGTCTGAGACAAGTCCCAAGTCTTAAAACTGTTCTGTTTAACTGTACATATGACTGAAAGGTTTTCATTCCACACTCTTCTCTATAATTTATGTCTAATTAACGTCTCTCTCTCTCTTTTTTAATTTATTCTTTAATTTGATGATGATTATTTATGTTTTGATTTGTTTATATTGTGATTTTAATGTTTTTCTTCTTGTGTAAAGCACTTTGAATTACTTTGTGTACGAATTGTGCTGTACAAATAAACTTGCCTTGCCTTGCCAAACCATGCCATTTCAAGTCTTTAAACCAAAGTACCAAATAGAGCTTAGATTTTTGCAATTTATGACTTTTAAACTAAACTGTACTTAAAAGTCATAGTATATTTATATATGTGTATTTATAGAGTATGTAAGAGTTGTAGAAATGCAATATTTTCTTTTTTAAATGTCTTGACAAGATCTTTCTGTGAATCATTACAGACAGAATAGAAAGAATTCAGATTTAAAAGTGCCTTCTCAAGTCACAGGCTTTAAGACACTGTCAAGTCCCAAGTCACTGACCTGCAAGTCGCAGCCAAGTCCCAAGTCTTACTCCATTTTATCAAGTCAAGTCTCAAGTCCTAAAAATAGTGACTCAAGTCTGACTCGAGTCCAAGTCACGATTTGTAAGTCCCCACCTCTGCAGGACTGAATCTGGACGTTCAGAAGTTACAAATTGTCTAAATCTGACTGATTTACCTGTTTGCATTCTGCGTACGACATGATCATAGACTGTATATATGAGCATAAATAGATATAAACAGGCGTGTACACTTCAGGTAAAAGGCAGTTTTTAATGTACAATGACTATTTACTGATTAATGTTGAAAAAGGTACAGTGTGTAACTTTCTGAAGGTGGTAGTCACATGCATGGTCCAGGCAGAATCTTAAATAGAGTGATCAGATTTTTAAAACAAAAAACTGGGAAATCCCTGGTTTGGATTTGCTAGTAATAATAAAATTGTGAAACGAGTGCAGAACTAAGGAAAATTGTTCTGCACTCGGCACTAATGTGAATCAGTTTAGTCACATTTTCTTTGTGTTTTGATCATTTTTAAGCAGATTTTCAGTATTTTACCTAAACAAATGACAATTTATGCCTCTCTTTACTGTCAGCAGGGAGTAAATTGGTCAAAAATAGAGACACCTGGAACATTTCTGGTATAAAACTGGGACAAATCTGTTGGGACAGGGGACACAGGGCTCAAAACTAGGACTGTCCAGGGTAAGTAGGGACGTCTGGTCACCCTGATCTTAAAGCCAGACTCTGGAACATTTTAACTAAAGACAGATATGTTTTATGCAATACTGTGGAATATTATAGCCAAAAGAACATTTCAGTGGGAACAAGCAGGAAGCATTCGTATGGGCCAAATAACTCAGGCTTTTATTTTATGGCTAAAAAGTTACATATTGTGGCTTTAACTAAATTATAGCTTTAATTATAACTCTATTAAGGCAATGTTCCACATCCAAAGTTGCTTATAATGAGCTTTGCCTGTCATCAATCTCGTTAAGTTTGTAAAATGCTAGATAAATCCATGTTTTAAATCCATATTATTTGTCATTTGTTTGAAGATCTGTATTTATTTATTTACTTTTAAACACATTAAATATAAAATTAAACTATAATTATATAATGAATGATTGTCAGTTTTGATGTCTTGTATATGCTGATGTGCAAATGTGTCTACAAACCAATTTCCCCAAGTTACAAATAAAACTTTATTCTGAAACCTATTGTGTTCCTCACTTAATGGCTTCAAGTCTGTACAGAATATTTTAAAAGGTACAGTATGGAACTTTATGGAGGTGGCACATAACAACATTTCCATGGAAACAAGCAGGAGGAGGTCCTTCTTAGGGTCAGATAAGAGTCAGGTTTGTGGGAGTGCAAGCCCGCTCAGAGAAAGGATGGTTTTCAAGTTTTTCAGTGCAATAAAAAGAACCAAAATGAAACAAAATCAAAAACGTGTGTTGGATTCATATAGACAGTTTTTACAAATCATGGCAGTTTTGTGTTGTAGTATATTAAAAAAAGAATCATGGACGTAAAAAAGATCCACTTCCACACTCGATATGATGCAGGCACCAGGGGATGGGGCACATGTGGGTCTGATGAGACACGTTTCTTATACAGTTCTAACGGTGTGGTACAGAAAAAGGAAGAGAATGAGAATATTTACACTAGTATCGTATTCAGTTATTCAGTGTACAGTACTGCGTAGTCAGCAGTGCATAGTTAAAAGTACTACACAAATGAAAGTGGACGGGCAGTAGCAGCTTCGGCGGTGGTGTGGTGGACCGTGTTGAGTCATAGTCATGTGACCTCATTGAAGGATCCCGGAGACTGTAGAGAACAAAAGAACACAGGATAAAAGAGGTTAGAACATTTTAATTTGTAACTAATTTATAGTAGCCTGATTCATCAGACTGTTTCACTTAATAGAAATCTATCTAATAGAAGTCTTCGTTGATTGGCTGGTGCCCAGACTCACACTTCCAGGGTTTTTGCAAACCGTCTAGTGTATTCTGACTCCCGACCTAGTCACTGGAGAGAAATGAAACTGAGTGGAGGCACTAGGTGGTGCCAGCCTGGATAAATGTATATGTCCCGTTATAATAATTACATTATCAACTTACTGTTCAATGCATGAGAGGTGAGATAATCATTTTTGGGGATCAGTATTTATTGTGGGTATTTTTTATGTGTACTATTGGGAATATTTTGTTACACAGTAGACTGATTTCTGTTATCAAGTAATTTTATTTGCGTGATTCCATGGAAATAGAAAGATAAAACCACACTTAGAACATGGAGATAGATACATTTTATGCCATACCGTTGAAGATTATTCGCCAGGCTGGTGCCACCTAGTGCCTCCACTCAATTTCATTTCTCTCCAGCGACTAGTTCAGGAATCAGAATACACTAGATGGTTCGCAAAAACCCTGGAAGTGCGAGTTAGGGCACCAGCCAATCAGTGAAGAGCTGTGAAGCCATGATGTCAAACTCAAGCACCTGTCTGGGTCCATTTTGTGGTACAGCACAACAGTAAACAAAGCGGTCGAGATGGATGTAGACGAAGACAGACATTCTGTATTGCAACGATTCCCAAGATCTAGGATTTAAAGCCGGAACAAAGAGAATGTTTGGTGAATTTTATCAAGGGGAAAGACGTTATTGCCCTTCTTCCTCCAGGATTTGGCATATTACATACATCACGACCAAATAGCAGTGACTGGTTAAATAAAAAAGTGAACGAATCCTAATGCTGCGAGGTCAGACGATTTCCACAAAGTGAAACCAGCTGATGAATCAGGCTAGAAAATTATAATCAAAGAAACAACATTTTCATGGAAAAAGGCAAAGAGAAAGAGGCCTTCCTCCAGGCCAAATAAGGGTCAGTTTGTGGAGCTGAACGTATGTTGCTCAGTGCAATTAACACAATGAAAATGAAAAAAACATGCTTTCATTTTAGTCATTTTTTGGGCAAAAAAGTTTCATAGTATGACTTTAATCCAAACTCACCTGTGCCATGATGTACTTGTCATCGTCGTCGTCGATGTGGTTGATGTGAGGGACGTGCTCCTCTGTGTGGATGGTGTTATCTGAGGTGCTCCTGATCATCTCCTCTGGGTCCTCTCTGAACACGTGCACCACAAACACCACCTGACCGTCACAAACACATGTTATACCACCTGACCATCACAGAGCAGGTGTTGATACTAAAAAAGTAGATACTAAACCTTTCCTGAATCGCTTTAGAATGTCTGTTTTTTTGTGGTATCGAAATCAGTATCAATTCAAGTATCAATCAGTCTATTCCTGAGTATCAAAAATGAGTTCAAAATTTTTGTATTGTGACTACTTCTACTACACTACTATCACGCACATAGACCACCTGACCATCATAACAGCATGTTACTATGACATGGCTCCAAACACACACAAGAGGCTCCCTGTGGTTCATCCGCTGACCCACTTTTGAGCCAAAGACGCTGGACACTTCAGACGCACTCAGGACACGACTCTGAGTGTGTCCTGCAGCGCTTTGCCCCATTTAAACTCAATAGTGAAAGTATAAATAGAAATCTGGGGAGTTATTTTAAAAGAGTGGATGAATGTAAGAGACATTTTTAAATCTATCCATCACATGACTACATAACATTTTGACCTCATTACACATTTTTGTAAGACCCTGACAATCAGCCAGAAGAGATTTTACCTCGGAAACCCTGGCTCTTTTTTATGTTATTACTCATATTATATTACATCTTTTGTATTTGGTTATGTGTATGTAGTTTGTATGTGGTTCTATAGACTATAGGGAAAAATCAAACTGAGGCTGCATTGACTTGAATGTCATCTCATGATCTCAGAGTGGGGCTCTCAAAATTTGATTAATCCAGTCTGAGAAATGTCACTTGTCTGATCATGCTAATGTTTTTCTCCACAGTAGATTCAGACTGAGCTGAGGAATACTCTCAATGTTACATTTGTTTAATTTTACGGTAAGATGTGTTGCCACAAGTGTCCTGACAAACCAAACCACACTTTTACATCTAAACTGGATGATGTGTCTTGCACGTGGAGATACCAGTATCAGGACTGAACTGTCAACCTCAGTGTTAGTGGACAAACGTCTCTACCAACTACAGCCAAGTTCACAGAGCTGTGTGAGCCCTCACCAGGAAGGCAGCGACGGCGCCCCCTACAGCCTGTCCGGTGATGACGTCGCTCCAGTGGTTGCGATACTCGGCCACTCTGTTGAAGCCGGTGAGCAGGGCCAGAGTGAGCAGAGACAGACAGAGCAGAGGAGCAGAGAGACGCCCCGCACGAGTGCCCACACAGGACATCACATACACCTGCAAGACAATACAGCAGAAACTATCAGACATCACCTGGAGAAGGTCCAAAAAACCCAAACAAACATACATAACTGCACGTTTTTGCATGTTTTAGTTTACTCTGCACATGTAATGTTGTGGTCTCTCCTGGGCCCTTTTCAAACCCTCCTAAGCAGTACATGCTTGCACAAAGGTCTAAGCTTATGAACTAAGGGGGTCACAGAGTGTTAAAAATGAAACAGACCCAGACTTCCCTCTCCACACACACTTCCTCCAGCATTTCCGGGGGGATCCCGAGGCATTCCCAGGCCAGCTGAGAGACATAGTCCCTCCAGTGTGTCCTGGGACTTCCCCGGGGCCTCCTCCTGCTGGGACGTGCCTGGAACACCTCTCCGAGGAGACACGGAACAGATGCCCAAGCCACCTCAGCTTGCTCCTCTCGACATGTTTTCATTACAGCTTTAGTAAGGTGGTGATCATATTATGTTATGTGTTAGCAGATCATACGCCATAGAAGTCTAATACTTTTACTTTAAAATAATCATAGAGAGGGACGAACAGAAGGGTAACTGCTCATTTGTGTCTATGCTAAATATTCATATACAGTGTAAGCCAGGCAGATGAAGTGTCTTGCCCTAGAGCACATATGTTGTGGTCATACTGGGGTTAGATGGCTTATGTTCTCCCACTAGGCGACTGCACATGCAATAGAAATTGAATCCTATTTCTGAAGCCTAAATATACATCTACATCTTACGAAATATAAAACCTTCATGCTGATCTATCCACAAGGTATAAAGTCACAGAAAGCACCAAAACTTCAAATACCGCCTTAGAACCCAGTGGTGTACTTACATCTTAGAGAGTCATGGATCTTTCTATATTCTCAGTTTGAATGGGAAGGTATATATGTAGTAAAGTGAAAAATAATGGCTGTTAGTGTCAAAGTTTAGATGGTATTTTAGTGTTGAAATGATCATATTGAGTCTGGTGAAGGCGTGTGTACACTGGAGGAATACTCTGTGGATTTCAGACCATCTCAACTTGGAGCTAAAGGGACTTAAGAATGTCTCTGTGTGTTTGTGTATAGCCCCAATCCGTGGACCAATATTATCGTTTATCTTTTATATTTTCGGACTTCAAATTGTGTTATCCCATTTCATTTTACAGAACAGATGTCCTTCAGAACCAGAACCAGAACTCACAGTCAGGTAGAGCGCCGTGTAGAGGCTCAGCGCTGCCTCTTTGCAAGGGAAGGACTTGCGCGCTCTGGTCACATCGGGAGCGGGTCCGGTGCAGGCTTCTGATTGGCTGATGAACAGGGGCGTGTCCTGGCAGCTCAGAGCCGTGTAGTTGGGCTGGCACACTGACAGGAAGTGAGGGGTCAGACTTCCTGTTACCAGCTGGCCCGCGTTTACGAAGATGTCCGTGGAGAAGAGGCCGAACGCATATACGCCTATGGGACAAAATGTGGGTTAGAAAACAAGGATTGGAGGAATACTTGTTGGATTTTAGAGCGTCTCAGAGCAGTTTGAAAACAACACTTGGCCTCCATTTGGGAATTTTATAAAGACGCACTATGGAACTTTTTAGATGGAGGGTCTGCCACCTGCTAATCTTCCTGGAGATAGTATCGCTTCGCCTGGAAAATTCCTAAAATGAAATGTATTCAACTGCAGGTTTTGTTATTGATTCGGAAAACATGCATTCTTACTGTGAGTGAGTTCACCTCTCCACAGATGTGACATGTAACTTGGCCTAGTAATGTCACCCATTTTTCTGTGTTTAATGCCATACTGTGAAACATTCCAGACAAATTACCATAAATTCCGGACTATAAGCTGCTACTTTTTTCTCACATTGTGAACCCTGCGACTAATAAAACGATGCGGCGAATATATGGACGGATTCTTTGTTTGGCAATGTCCAATCAATAAACGGTCTATGGTTTGGCAATACAGAGGATACGGTGCAGAAAATGTCGCTGTCTGTGCGGTTCACACATGGATCTAGGGTTAAGATGAAGTTGCGACACTAGCTGGCGATATTGTCAGCGCACTCAAATAGTTTATTGACGTGTGATAAAATAAGTTATGATGCAAAATTAACATTAGTGAGAGGGACACGTCTTACCCGCGTGTGTAAATGACGAGAAGAAACGTCTCAAACTTCAGTAGCCGAACATCCACTCATACCTGATTGACAGAACTAACCCCGCCCCCGAAATAATCTGAAATCTGCTGAAATCCTCCAAGACACTGACACGATACAGACAGGACAGAGAATCTCTCTGCAGGAGAGATGGGGGTGATGCGCTGAGGAAGATTCTAGTTTGATTGAGTTTTGAGTTATTTTGTGCTTCATACACACACACTCCTCATGGAAAACACACGAAGAAATGCAGATGATGCAGCTTTTAAGTTAAAGGCGATTGATGTGGCTGTTGAAGAAGGAAATAAAGCTGCTGCACGTGAGCTCGGCATCAGTGAGTCAATAGTGAGATTTTGGCAACGACAGCGTGACAAACTGACTCAACGCAAAAAGATGACGAAAGCTTTCAGAGGTGATAAAAGCAGACGGCCCGAACTTAATAACGTTCTGATGTGGACACCTGTGGCTTATATTCAGGTGCGGTCTATATATGTACAATTTTAAAATTTTCTTAAAATCTAGTTGATGCGGTGTATATTCAGGTGCGCTCAATAGTCTGGATTTTACGGTAATAACATGTTCATGACTAGACACCAGAACAGTGTCATATAGTGCCATAGAATGAGATGATAAATGAAGCTATTCTAAAATCAGAAGTACATATATTGGCCTCAGTTCTCCTTAATGTTTCTTCAGAGTGTTCTGTTGCAGTACCAATGAAGCGGAAGGTCCGGCGCACCATGGGGTTGACGTAGCAGCAGTCTCCCACCATCACCACCTTGTCCTGGTCGTACAGGTGAGCCGAGTTATGGAATAGGAACAGCACCAGCTCCACTCCAGAGATCTACGACACAGTACATGAGCTAAACCATACATGGATTACAATGTTGTGACAAACCATGACCATAGTGATAGTCTACTACTAGTCTGCTACTATCACATTATATAACAGTGGACCATTACAAACTAGACTGGCCCTGTTGTTTTCAGAGGAGCAGAGAACACAGTGAGTCTGAACAAAAAACAAGAGCAGACACAGGAAACACACAAGTTTGTCTCATTCTCAGTTTATGGACAGATCAAATCTCATGTGAAAGCTCAGAACCTCCAGAATCCACTCCTTGAGTTGAATAACTGTTATCAGTAAATGTCATTTTATTTATTTATTTAACCATTTAACCACTGAGATTAAACACCTCTTTTTCAGGGAGGTCCTGGCCAAGAAGCAGTAATTACACATATTTCCAACATTCATACAAACAAGAACAAAATGACATGACCACAGATTAGGAGAAACAAGAGCACATTATTGAGGCTCTGATGCTTTCACATTAGACCTAAAAGCATTTAAGGACAAGAGTTCAGTCAGTTTCCAGTCTTTCTGCAACATGTTCTAAGCAAGAGGAGCTGAGCAGTCAAAGACTTTTTTTACCCAGCTCCATGCAGGAATCACGGACAGAGAGCAACAGCTGATCATTAGATCACAAGGATGTGATGTGTGATTAAAGTAGAAATATAGGGAGGCAGCAGCCTTGTAAACAAAAGTAAACCAATGTCCCTGCCTCCTAGTGGACAGAGAATGCCAATGTGCTTGTGAATACTGGCCACAGTGATACAGTTCTATTTAATTTGAGCATGTTTACCTCCTATCTGCAGACACAGCCAGGTCAAGTTTATGAAATTTAAAATCAAAATCTTACATACAGTTCCTTTAAATCTACCATCTGTTAATTTAATTTTTGGCAGATGTAAAACCTGTTGCCCCTCCCCCTTCCCTTCACCTGGCCTTTGCTCAGACTCACCTGTGCTCTCTGGTCTTCATCTGTCAGGCCAAAGCTGAACACTGTCATGTTATTAGTTACAGTTAGTATTACAGTTTCGACTGCTCCCTGCGGTCTCCCTCAGACTGGTCACATGATGTTGCTATGACGTGTCCGGTCAGCTGATTTATACAGGTGAGCTGATTTCACTAGTGAGCAGTCGAAACTGTCAGGCATGAAAACAAACTCTTGGTCTGAAAAAAGAACCTAATAACAGGAATTATCAGAAGACCAAATAAACCTCATTGTACTGCACACTAATAGACCATAGATCGATAGATTGATCGATAGATAGATTCCACTACTGTATCTAAGTAAAATTTGTGAAGGACTGTACTTAAGTATAAATTTGAGTTATCTGTTCTTTACTTAAGTACATTTTAAAATGAATATTTTTTTCTTTTACTTCACTACATTTGAGAGCAGGTATCTGTACTTTCTATTCCACTAGAATTGAACAGGACTAAAAAGTCAAAGTATTTTTATTTTTATTATAGTTTGAGACCTGCTGAAAAGTCTGAGTTTTTTTTTTTTTTTTTCCAGCACATTTGTAGTTTGACCACATAAAAATAAACAAAAAAAACTATAGATTCCATTGTTTAAGTTGAACTGTTTTGTTTGTTTGTTTAGTTTTTTTGCTCTGGTATCTGTACTTTTACTTAATAAAGCATCTAGTTGTGATATGTGAGAAACAGTCCAGGTCTAATTACAGATAGTAGCTTTAAGTAGAATATAAAAACACAAAGCACAGACTCACCAGCACGACGGGCAGCCCCCACACCACCGAGTAGAGCACGACCGGCTGCACCCGGCTGCTCTGCTCCGGTCCCGGGTCGGGTTTACTCAGGGCTGGGTCTCTGCACGCGAAGCCCTGGAGCACGGGTCTGAACGTGTCCGTGAACTCGCAGTAGTACACCAGCATGAGCGTGGCCACAAGAATCACCACCTGGAAGTACAACATGCTCCAAAATCACTCTAATCATTAAAAATAAAAACCCAAAGATCCGATTCTCAGTCTTGATCACAGTCTTGGTCTCAGCTTTGTGAGTGCTGCTGCCGATGGTGCATTCACGTGTGGCTGAACAATCTCCAAAGGGCCACTCCGCATCTCACCAGTGTGCGCCAAAGAGCGGGACAGTTTATATTTAGGCGCGGGCTGTCAGCACACATCAGCGCACAATGTCTACAATTTATATACGAGATTCAGGATTAAAGCAGCCATTACGTAACGATACAAGACACTTCAGGGAAAGACGAGTTCACAACAGAGAAGTCCTGCACTCGAGTAACTGTGCATTGTGGTAAGGGCCATTATTACGCTTTTTTGTTGTTTCCTCATCACAAACATGCCTGGAGTTGTGTTTTGTTTCATTCACACATGTTAAAACACACAAACATTGCAAATTTAGGGTTTCTTCTTTTCGACTATTCCACCTTCTGATGTAAAGGAAGTAAAGTAAAGGAAGATAACGGAAGTACGCCATTGTGTTTTTAAACTCCACACACCTTCACTAGAATAATTTTTTTTTCATTTTAGCCCTGGAATTGCCTATCTTGACTCAATTAAAGGTAAAAGGTAGCTCCATCAAGGTTGGTGCTTACATGCCTGTCACTTTCAACAGCAACAAAGCACAAAGCAAAACAGGAGCAACTCAAATCGCCCATTTCTGACCACTGTAAAAGAGAGAACCACATTATGGACCGGGACAGAGTAAACATCACTTGGACAGAGGACAACAAACATTATCACTGGATTAAAAAAACAATCGAAATACAGAAAAAGTGCCCATGGGACCACAAACCGGGTCAAGGGGGCTTTTTTACTCTCACACACCTGGGATACTGTCCTGGAGAAGTCGGACTACACATGGCGTTGTCATCCTGCATCCATCTGTAGGAAGGCAGGACCTACTACCAAGGCAAGGGACCTAGACTTTGGAAAACACTGGAGCAGGTCTGAGTGAAGACTAAAGCTGTGTAGGAGCAGCTCATCCAGTGACAGTAGTGGTGGAAGGTAGCCAAGTACAAAAGTAAAAGTACAATGCTTGAGTACAATTTTAGGTATCTGTACTTTATTTAAGAAAACTTTTACAGTGGATAATTTTTACTTTTACTTCACTGCTCTTTGGATTTGCAAGCAGGATGTGGGAGTGGGCTGATGTAGAGCTGCCGTCGACTCAGATTGTCTTCTTCCTTCCTTCTCCGACACTCTTCTCAGCTGACAGATGTAAAGCGAGATGATAGAAATCTCCAGCTCCTGCTTAATTATCATCAGAACAACTCAGAAAAAAGTTTGTATCATGTTTCTGTCCGTGGCATAACGAAAAAGCGAGATGACAGAAAAACAAATAGCAGCTTAAGTGTGTGTTTTCTTCCGGTGTCCCTGTCCAATCAGAACCCTTCCCAACCGCCAGACGTTGAGTGGAATAAAAAAAAAGGCGATTTAACGTGTTTTCCATGTAAACCTCAATTCAGAATTATTATTTTGATGTAAACTCGAAAGACAATATTTTAATTCTGAACTTTTTAATTCAGAACAATTAATTCAGAGTAAAAAAAAACGTCATGTAAATCATCTTGTGTCTTGGTCCAGAATACATTATGTGAAGAGATCCAGACAGTGATTGAGCTCTGTCAGGGAGATGTCACTGTCGTCGTGGCAACTGTCTCTATTGTCGTCCTGGTTACAGTCACTAGCATCTCTCCCGTCGTCGTGGTAACTGTGGCTCTGCTGTTTCCGTCTGCGCCTGTACACCTTCTGTTTTGAGTCCTCTCCTGGTTTATCCGTGTTTACAGTCTGAGGCGGCTGTGCACTGGGGCATTCTGGGACATGTAGTCTGGGGACGTCTGCTGCTGCCAAAGCCTTCTGCAGGTTCTCGGTAAATCTGAAAGGGAAAAAGAAAAAGAGTCATTCTCACAAGATCACAAGGGAGACATATTCTGCAAAATCAACCTTTAAGAACTATGTTAGAATTGTTTTTTTTTTTTTTATCTATTCAAAGTTGTATTTAGGGTGATTTGTGTATTCCAGACACCATTGCTCCAAAAATTCCCATTATACTCTACCCCCCATTACATCTCCACTGCGCTATAGTTCGTTTTGTCATCTAATCTCGATTAAAAATGTTAAAAAGACAACCAGTGTTTAAATGAAGCTATGGTAAAATAAGTAACTCCACATTATTGTTCATAATTCATTAAAGAGAGCTTAGAACAGTGAGTTAAACACATTATACAGCTCTAAGTTAGGGTTGCCAGATTTTCAGAAAGCAAAAACTGAACAAACCTTTAAAAAAAAAAAAAAAAAAAAAAAAAAAAAGAAGCAACCCAAGCCCCATAAAACTTTATTTATTTATTTATTACAAATAAATAAATGAATAAAAAATTTTATGTTGTGTATCGCCAACGAACAAGTAGCCAACAAACAACAAAAATCTCAAAAACTACTACCGTACTAAAACTTATTGTCTTTTAACAATCTGTATCCCAGTCTTTATGCAGTTTATTATGGTGAAACAAACCTGCAAAATACTTCTGGCACCACCCCTGAGTTTTTTATTTTTGGTTACTTTTCTTTAGCCAGGCTGGCGCCATCTAGTGCCTCTGCTCAATTTCATTTCTCTCCAGCAACTAGGTCAGGAATTGGAATACACTAGACAGTTCGCAAAAACCTCGGAAGTTGTAGACCTACCAATCAGTGAAGAGCTGTGAAGCCAAGATTGGGTCCCTTTTGTGGTACAGAACAACAGTAAACAAAGCGGTCGAGATGGATGTAAACGAAGACACCATACATTCTGTGTTGGCAATGATTCCCGAGATCGAGCATTTAAAGCCGGAACAAAGAGAATGTTTGGTGAATTTTATCAAGGGGAAAGACGCTATTGCCCTTCTTCTTACAGGATTTGGAAAAAGCTTAATATATCAGTTAGCCCCGTTAGCCGCTCTTTACGTACATCACGACCAAATAGCAGCGACTGGTTAAATTAAAAAGTACCCGCCTACTGTCGAGCGAAAGAATCCTAACGCTGCGAGGTCAGATGGTTTCCACGAAGTGAAACCGGCTGATGAATCAGGCTAACTTTTCTTATATTTGCAGAAACATTATAAAGATACCTTAGACTTCGACCGAGTTTATTGATCCACAAGGGAAATTAATTGGACACAGAGGCTCACACATCACATTATATTACAATAACAAAGAGTACAAAAATGGTGATAAACTTCTGAATAAGTAGAAATAAAAAAGAGCAAGAGACTGGTGTCAAATAAGACATAAATTATATAAATCTATATACAGTAAATGGAAAGAAATGTCGTAATATACCTGTGAATGCGTCTCAGGTTCTCCTCCATCTTGTGGTTGCAGATTTGACACAGGAAGTGAATGTAGTCAGGGGTCACCAGCAGAGCGCCCTGGTGGGTGAGAGGGACCTCCAGACCGTGGGTGCTACGGATCGCCTGCACGAAAATGCAAAACATACAGTTCATAAAGCTCACATAATGTTCCGCCGCATGCCATTAAACTTCCTATGTTCATGGCGACGGGCAGGTGACGCTACTAAGCAAATTTACAGGCCAGATCTGTGGAAAGGCGAGCCCAATAACAATAAAAACACCTGTAATTGAATAAATGCCGGATAAACTTAATGTCATACTGTGAAACATTGCAGACAAACAAATCAGCTCTCCGTGCAGACAAGCCGAAAAGTTACACAGTGCAGCTTTAAAAGGTTTAGTCCTGACATCTCCCACATGTACGTTGACATACCGATATGATTTTGCGTGTTTTCCCGACTGTGAGGCCAGAGTTCCTGAAGCCAGAGTTTACGGCCACAGAATGCTGCAAACACAAATCGCTTATGTCATTTATCAATCATCAATAATCCATGTATTAACTAAATATTACTCTATACAGGTTAGAGTAGTAGTAGTAGTAGTAGTAGTAGTAGTATTCAGGATCACAGCCAAAAAGTATCCGTGTCTCAGCTTAAATGTATTCATATCAAAGTTTGACAGTTTCACAGAGTTTACTCCTAAAAATAGAAACAAAAACCTATTTGATCACAACCATTAAAGCAAGTGGTTTTAATTATGAAGTCAGAGTTTGCTCTTCTCTGTTTTCTAACACTTATTAAAGAGGGAGTATTACACTTCTATGGGGTATTAACTGCTAACACATAACATATTTAGATCACTATGTTACCTTTTGTTGATTTGGAAATACTATATTCACCAAAAACAACATATTTGCCATGTCACTCCCCTTTCAGAGCGCTATCACAACACAATCAGCGTGCATCCTGCTAATGATATTAATAATTAATAACTAGAACTATAATTGTGCCTGAACTGAAATGTACTGATTTGAAAGGTTTAGTAACTATCGGTGTTGATGTTTTGTCTGGAAAAGGGAAAAATGGGGCAGAAAACGTAAGATAACTCTTCTTTCTGCTCCTTTTCCTTCATTTCTTGCATGTTTGATGTTGTGACACTGCTGATGTCTTTTTATACTTTATGAATGAAATGAACAAATAAATAAATAAACTAATAAATAATGAAACTACTGCACATTACATCAAGCTTGTCAACTTGCTATGTATATTTATGTATTATGTTTTTGTATATTTATGTAGAATTGTCATGTTGGAGCATGGGGGACGTAGGCTTGTGGACTGTTTTTATTTTTTTCATAAGCACCCCTCTTTAACAAATTAAATACACAATTTTCACTGTCTGATGAGTATTTATCAGTAAATCAGTTCATATTCCAAGAGTCTATTTGCTCGCACAAATCCACAAAAAATCTGATTTGTCCAAAGTATGGTTACTATGGCAACTCCAGAGCTTGGACAAAAGTATCTGCTCAGTTTGAATCCTGTTCCAAATGTGTCAGTGACTGACCATGAGCTGAGCGTCGTCCAGTCTGCGACACTGCACATGGAGCACGAATGGTTCAAACTTCAGTACAGCGTCTCCACTGGAACGGCCCACAGCCTCCACCTACACACACACACACACACACACACACACGCGCACACACACAGACACACACACACACACAAACACAGACACACACACACGATGTTCAGTCTATGTGCTGATGGACATGGAGCAAATGAGTTCCTCAAATGGTGCTCGTCAGATTCTAAAAGATGACTTCACACTCACAGAAAAGGAGCAAGAGCTGGTTCCCTTTTCATTACATTTATACTCACATTGTAAAGTGCAATACAGGCAAATTCATGAATGTTAAACTTGACTACTTCTGTTAGTGACTAGACCCTAGAATTTGCACAATTACAAGTAGAATCTGCATTTTAGGAACATTCATCATATCATCTGAACATTGGAGAAAAATCTGTGTATCATTTGTTCATTTGTTTTTCAAAATAAAATGAAACCAGGACTGAAACAGGACTGAAACAGAACTACACCAGGACTAAACCGGGTCTAAACCAGGTCTAAACCAGGTCTGAACCAGGACTAAACCAGGACTAAACCAGGACTGAACCAGGTCTGAACCAGGACTAAACCAGGACTAAACCAGGACTAAACCAGGACTAAACCAGGACTGAACCAGGACTGAACCAGGTCTAAACCAGGACTAAAAAGAGGACTAAAACAGGACTCAACCGGTCGGTCCCGGTCTCCCGGTCTCAGTCCCGGTCTCAGTCCCGGTCTCAGTCCCGGTCTCAGTCCCGGTCTCAGTCCCGGTCTCAGTCCCGGTCTCAGTCCTGGTGTAGACCCGGTTCAGTCCGTGTGTGGTGCAAAAGTCCAGCATTGCAGTTTAAGTCACAGAAACGGGAAATGGCCATTATCATTTTTTTCCATTATTAATTTAAACACAAAATTTAAAACTGAAGTTGTCTTTTTTCATTCTCTTTTTCAAATGAACAAATGATACACGGATTTAAAAACCCAATAGTTTAAACGGAGCTGGAGATAGGTCAGAATTCTCAGGTGGATTAACTCTCAGATGCAGATGTGTTGACCTGGTTTATGGTTCATATTTCTGTAATTACTGGGCCTATCCAAAAGAAACAAAAACTGACACAAAGTTCAATGCCTTTTCAGTTAGTATAAATAAACAAAAATAAGAATTAAATTTAAGATTAAGACATAAGATTAATATGGTAGGTTTATGAAGTCTATCTCAATTAGGTTCAACATTTATGGATTTCAGTGAACACAAACTCTTGTATTTTCGTACCAGCTCCTCTGTGGTACACTTCTGGTGGGAGACGAAGAGCCACTGACAGTTCTGCTTCTGGACATCACTGCTCTCTGCGCTCTGGAAGGAACACAACAGCACAGATTAGATCACTGGGCGAAGCTTTACTAGAGGGACAGAGGAGCTCACTCTCCAACAGCTCCGCTCAAACACTGAGAGATACTGAGAGATACAGGACTACAGGACTACTACATACCATACTCCCTACAACTGTACAACAACTCACCCTGATATCAGATAACCCTAAGTCCAGTCCAGCCCTTGTTTTTCATTACAGTCTCTTGTATATAACTGAGATCTTGTATTACTATATTATTATTCTGTTTTGATTATTCTATTCTATTTTTATTTGTAGATAACATTTATATAATTATGCTTTATGGACACCTGACACTTATCTGCTTGTACTTGTACTTTTTGGATGACTTAAAAACTACATATTTCTGTCTTATCTTTGTTCCGTTCGTACCCCGTCTATGAGGATGACCCGTCCGGAGCAGGAGGACGTGGTGAAGTACTGATCCAGGCCGTTGAGGAAGCGCACCAGCCCGGCTATGTCCGCGTCCACCCCGCCCTTCTTACTCTGGTCCATCCTCTGCTCGCTCTGCCTCTTCCAGCGCTCAAACTCACGATCCGAGCACGACATGTTTATCACACAGTCGGGTTTTATAAAAGATCTACTGCTTATGTGATAAAAATGTGATAAAAATGTGAAATCATGAAGTTATTCCTCCTGCAGAGACATGTAAACAAACATCAGCTAAATGCTACAGAGGCTACACGTGGGTTTTCTTCACGTTTACTTTACTGAGAGTCAATGAGCACCACCGCCCTCTACTGGTCACGTTCTGTATGGGCATGTGTAGATAACTAAAGGTTTAATTTTTTCGTTTTTATTTTATTTAAATTTATTTATTTATTTAATTTTTATTCAATATGTTCAAAAACACACAGTCATATGGATAACACATACGGTAAAAAAAAAAAAAAAAAAAAAAAGATAAGACCACAAACCAAGTATTCTAAACCACATAAAGAATTGTAACATAGAGTCTAGAGAAGAGTGATACTGTGATATAAGTGATATAAGTATTTCCTATATATATATATATTCTATGTTTTAATAGCTTTTTTTTGTTTTTGTTTTGGACCTTTTTTTTGTTTTTTTTTGTTTTGTTTTTGTTTTTGTTGTTGTTGTTTTTTTTAAATATTGCTGTATTTCGTTATTATAATGGTGCCTATTTGGTTTATTTTTAGACCATTTAATTTTGTGTATATGATATATTTGTTTGTTATTTCTTTATTCAGTTTTTGAGTCAAAAAAAAAAAAAAAAAAAAAGAAAAGAAAAGAAGACATATTTTGATCTCTATTTCTAATATTTAATTTAAAGTTTAATATAATAACACCAAATGAATAACACCAATCAAAAAACAGTCTCGGTGCCCATTTCAGTTTTTATATTTTATTCTCTGGTTTATTTGCCCTGGAAGTTCTGCTACTAGATGAGAATAAAATATCTAATAAACTAAAATATGCACCAGTTATTGGTATTATCTGAAATAAACTTTAAATTACAGATTTGAAATAGAAATCTGTTTTTTTTTTTTTTTTTTTTTGTTTGTTTGTTTACACTTAAAACGGAATATTGAAATAACAAACTGTTTTCCCATTTTGTTATTTTTCATTCTTAAATTGAATGATACACTGACCTTCTACCACAGTGGAGAAAGTTACAAACAACTGCCCCATCTACTGGCTAATGCAGGTAACTACATTTTATCAGTCTGTTTCATCATCTGTCCATCCTCATATCATGTTTGTGAGTAAAATATTAAGTGAAAGCCTAATATTCAGTACACACTGTAGTCTGTGTCACATGACAGAGAGAGAAGAGACGGAGCAGTCCCCCCAAGCACTGTCCCAGAATCTAAAACAGTCAGGCATCCAAACAGAGAGAGAGAGGGAGAAGGAGAGAGAGAGAAGAGAGGGAGGGGAAGAAAAAGGGCGAGGGATGAGGGGTAAAGAGAGTGAGGGATGAGGACAAGAGAGAGAATAAAGCGAGAGAGAGAAAGAGAGAGAAAAGGCAGAGGCACAAGAGAGGGAATAAAGAGAAGGAGAGAGAGTGAAGAAGAGGAGAAGAGAGAGCAATAGAGCAAGAAAGGAGGAAAACGGTGGAAGAGAAGACAGCATGAAGAAGAGGACATGATGAGGGTCAGTCCACAGGTCAGTCTTTACCTCTGCATGACACACACACACACACAATTTAAGTTAAAGATGTGCTGTGTAACTTTTCTTTGATGCTCACCACCTTGGAAATATTATTGCTTTGACTGGAATGTTCCGCAGTATGGCATTAAGCTCATCTGTCTTACTTAATTATGCATATTTTTATTGCACACACATAAAATCAAAACCCTTGAAAACATGCGTGCTTATTGTGAGTGTGCGGCTCAGTGGCTCAGTGGTTTTGGGTTCGATCCCCGAGTCGCCCAGGCCTTTCTGTGTGGAGTTTGCATGTTCTCTCTGTGTCTGGTGGGTTTTCTCTGGGCACTCCGGTTTCCCACATCAACCCAAAACATGCACCATAGAGCTATGATAACCTGCACCCACGAAATCTGACAGAAACATATGGGCAGTGGAGTTTTTTTTTTTTTTTTTATCCGACTAAACATGAGTGACTCTATTGTGGCACAGGTGTGATTTTAAAATATAGTATATAGATATAGATTGGTAAATTTTGCCTTAACGCCACAATATCTGGACATCTGGTTTACTTTTCATCTTCTTACACTACTAGTCAAAAGTTTTAGAACACCACACTTTTTCCATTTTGTTTTTACTGTTTACTGTTGACCAAAACATATTCTAAACTTTTGATTCATGAAAGTGTCCACCTTTGGCAGATGTAACTGCTGAACACACTTGTGGCTCGTTTTTTTTTTTTTTTTTTTTTTTTTTTTACAATAGAAATCAAATATTCTTCAGAAAGTTCTTCCCAAGTCTGTTGCAGAAGTTTCCATAAATGTGTGGCACTTGTAGGTTTCTTGGTTTTCACTCTTCTGTCCAGTTCATTTCAACTCGATGGGGTTTAAGTCTGGAGACTGTGCTGGACACTACATGTTTTCAAGTTTACCATCTTGTTCTTTTTTTCCTGAGGTAGTTTCAGCAGAGCTTGAACTTGTGTTTTGTATCTTTCATCTTTCATCTTTTTTTTTTTTTTTTTTTTTTTTTAACTTCACTTACATTTGTAAGCTCTCCATTTCAAGTTCTTCACTGGACTTCAATTGCGATATAACTGGAAAAATGAGGGTGTTCTAAAACTTTGGACCAGTAGTGTATGTCATTAAAAAAGGTCCTTGGAGATGTTTGTGAAAAATATGCTTTATTAAAAATGTCTGTACATATAACATTTACTAATACTGACCGTTTAAATCAGGGATGTCAAACTCAAATTCACAGAGGCCAAAATTAAAAGCTGTGACTAAGTGGTGGGCCAAACTAAATATTTATTGAAAATTTTCAACAACATCTGCATGTTTTCTCTTCTTTCAAGATATATAATGTTAAACCTTTTCTTATTAAAATAAATGTTTAATAATAGTTTTGCTTAAACATTGAATCCAGAACAAACATAATATAAAATAATAACAACATTTTAAAATAAATAATGTCTCTATAGCCTGTAGCCAGTGGGCCAGTTCTAATACATATTTGATATGATCTTGCGGGCTAAATATAATTATCTTGGGGGCCAAATTTGGTCACCGGGCCTGAGTTTGACATGTCTGGTTTAAATGATGTGAAATTGATAAAATAGCTAAAATATGATGTGCGCTGACTAATGTGCATAGCAGCTAAATACACTCGTGTCAATGTAATAAATGCATAAAAAACTATTGATTTAACTTTAGTTTGTGATTTTATTTTCTACAATTCACATTTCTAAACAGTCAGTTAACGTTAAGCATAAACAGTGTTAAGTAAAAAGCATTTGGGATAATTTCTCTCAATAATACATTATTTAAAGTGAATCGACAAGACGCAAACTTACAGCTTGAGAGACTATGGTTTAATTGTTCAAATGAAACCAAATAAAGGAAAAAAAATATTGACGTAAAAATATATTCATAGTTTAATTAACTTACACATTAGTATCTGATTTTCGATTCTTTTCTCAGCCCCAGTTTAATGTGGTGTATGGTCTGTGTGGTCCAGCTGGTGGGAGCAGGTTTTTCCTTCAGGCTCACATGAATAAGTCACAAGTACGACAACGTTTTTGGTTTGTACTCAGTTTATATACTTTTTTTTACATACAGTTTGTAGTAATGTTGTCAGAAGTATCGAAAATCAGATATTGAAACTAGTATCGAAAGTTGATACGCATCTGAGCAGTATCGATACTGAAAAAGTCACATTCACAGGACAAAAATGAATCTTGGGTGAAAGAAAGAGAGGGAGGGAAAGAAAATAAAGAAAGAGGGAGAGAGAGAAAGGAAGAGGGGAAAAGGGAATTGACAGAGAGAGAAAGAGAAAGAGGGAGGAAGAGCAAGGAGGTAGGATGAGAGAGGGTGAGAGAGAAAAATAGAAGAGACAGAGAGAGAAAGAAAGAGAGAGAGTCAAAGAGATGGAGGGGGAGAAAAGGGGGAAAGATGGAGAGAGAAGAGCGAGAGGGGGGAGAAGGAAAAAGGAAAGGACAGAGAGAGAGAGAGAGAGAGAGAGAGAGAGAGAGAAGTCTTGCCTTCCTCTGCTCCTGCCCCCCTTTTTCTCTCTCCAATCTGCTCTCTCCTCCTGTTTCCACCTGCTGCCCGTGCCTGTCTTTCCTATTTCCTCTCCTCCTGTCTTCCCTCTCTCCTCTCCTCTCCTCTCCTCTCTCTCCGTTCCACCTTCTGCTGTATGCTTTCTTCCCCTGCATCTCTCCTCTCTCTGTTCAAATCTTTCGTCTTTCTCTCCTCTCCTTTCCTCTTCTCTCCTCCTTTGCTCTCGCCTCTTTTTTCCTCCCTCTCTCTTTTCTCTCCTTTCCTTATTCTCTACACCCTCTCTCCCCTCCTTATTTTCTCCTCTCTCCTCTTTTCTCCTCTCTCATCCTTCTCTCCTCTCCTCCCTCTCTCCCCGCTCCTCCCGGTCTCGTCCCTTTCTTCTCCTTCTCTCTTCCCTCCCTTCTCTCCCCTCTCTCCTCTCCTCTCTCTCCTCTATCTCCTCCCTCTCTCCTCTCCTCTCTCCTCCCTTTCCTCTCTCCTTTCCTCTCCTTCCTCTCTCCTCCTTTTCTCCTTCCCCTCTCCTCTCTCCTTTCCTCTCTCTGTCCTTCCCTCATTCTCTCCTCCCTCTCTCCTCTCTTCTGTGTGAAAGTGGGTTTTTGGAGCAGAGTCGTCACTCTTTCATTGATCTGCTTCTGTTTAAATTCCAGAGATGTTTTATAGAGACGACAGCTCACTCGGCTGCCTGCTGCTGACTCAGGATTTTCAAAGATTCAACGTTTATCGCTGCGTAACATAAAAGCTAACTAGAGACACTGCTCTGTCTAAAGCTCTGTTACTCAAATTAGACTTTAATCTGACCGGAAAGAGTTGGGCTGATCACCGGCTCCTGAAAATGTGCTGTTTAAATCCATTTTGTATTTTTTTTGTTTATGGCTTTCAGACAGTCTTAAACTTAACCTGGCAGTGGCAGCAAATGTGTGCACTGTGTCACCATGGTAACTGCTGAACATTCCTCTATTAACGTACACGCAGAACTCCCCCAGCATGATGTCACTGCCAAGTACCAGTTCTCTGTCCAGAGACCTGATTCAGAAGAGGCTCGTTTCAGCACCATGGAGAGCGCACGTGAGGGGGCGAGCGGTGTTTGGTTTCACTGGAGCTTTGCCTGAGTCTGTGCTGGAGGGTCTATGGTTCTTGTGGATTAAAAGGTTTAATTAGTCTGTGTGTTTGTAGTAGGACCATGTTGTCATCGCGTCTATGCCCGGGCTGTTTGTGAGAGCCTTTGAGAGCCTCTGTCCCTGATCAGCGCCTCAGCTCCTCACACCAAAACACAAACACACGGCGGCATGTTCACTGACAGAGGCAGATCTACCGCCGCTCGGTGAGACCCGCGCGCTGAAATGTGTCACGGGGAAATCACGTCTGATGAGAGTGAAGCGTCTCCAGATTTACGGCGTCTCCACTGAACACCTGCGGATTGTGTCAAGCTCTCCGCAGCGCGCACATGCGCACAGGCCGAGCAGATGTGTGCAGCCGGAAACACGCGCCGTGCAAAGGTTTAAAGGCTCGTTAGGGAACAGTTGGACAGTTTTACAACAGTGTCGCGTTTATACGATTAATTCCTTGTGAATGTTTCTGAAATGATCCAGAGAAGACGCGTTTGTGAAATATTCACGTCACATGCCGCTTTTATTGTGAAAGCGCGCACAGGACGCGCGCGCCCGCCTCTGGTGCGGAGGCAGAACTTTGCGCAGTCACCTGCTGCAGCAGCGCACCGAGCTCCACAAACAGAGGGTACCCGAGGAGAGCCGAGGGGAGCCGGGGAGACCCGACCTGCCCCCGCCTAATCCCGTGAGGACTGTACGGCTCTGTACGGCTCTGTACGGCTCTGCACGGCTCTGTCTGCTCCTGTCACCGCGAGGAGAGCCGCTGGAGGCGAGTGCAATGTGCGCTCTGTGCGGGTAACCGTCTGTCACTCCACAAATCCGCAGTTTTTGGGCGAAAAATCCTCGCCTTCGGCGACATTTGAGAAGAACCTACGCAGACGACGATGGACGTGACGAAGTGAAGAGATTTACGGTGAAAAAGAAAACAGACCTTCGCCAAAATTACGACGGGAATCAAATACAACTCGCTGTCTCCCGGAGACGGGAGAGCCCCCCGGCCGCCAGCCATGAGGCGCGGGAAGGAGACCAAGGACAGCGTGTCTCTGCTGCCCTGCTTCTACTTTGTGGAGGTGATCACACTCTGCATTCACACGTACACGCACCTACACACACGCACACGCGTGTGAAAGGGGCTCAACTTTGGCTCCTGATCTGTCTTTATCTGGGCGACATTTTCCCCACACACCTGCTCCTCCGCTACACCTGTCACGGTCCTGCCGTGTTCACGCACAGCGGCTGCACAGACGCGGGCTCCGTGTGAGGAGTTTGAGGGAGCGCGCGCACGGGGGATTATGGAGGCTGCTCATATGTTATTAAACGTTATTGAATATAATAACATAATTAGGAGCTCATATCCTCATGAGTGTGTAAGACAGGGGTGTAGGTTTGTCCGTGTCACAGAGCAGGCGTGTGGAGCAGTGGTCTGGATGAGCTGTGAACAGGCTGCAGGAGAAGCTGCTGTTCTGTGAAAAGGATCCAGACATTTTATATTAGCCTCGGCCGTCTCCATAGTGACACATTTGCTCTGTTTCTCTATCACTGTTCATAATACAAGATGGCACAGATTATAGCCCCATGTCTCTAGCCTAGATTTGATTTTGTATTAAAGATGTTATGTTCAGTGTTTGCAAGATTTAGTTTTGATATTAAAGCTCCTATATTATGCAAAATTTAATTGACTGTTGTCACCTCATCAAAAACAGACCTGGAGTTGTGTTTTGTTTCATTCACACATGTTTGAGTGGCCCTGCATTATGTCTGTTTACATCTCTAAAGCTCAAAATGCTCCATTCCATCTTGTGATGTCATGGAGCGAAGAACATGGGTGAATGAAACAAAACACAACTCTGGGCATGTTAGTGATGAGGAAATATTATGAATTGCGTAATATGGGCTCTTTAAAATGTGAACTTGTCCAGCCTTGACTCTAAAACGCTGCTAAACATACAGGGAGATGTTATTTTTCTTTACTCAGACACGGTGCCTTTAGCTGGGCTTGCCTCCTGTCTGCTGCTCCTGGGGCTCTGCAGTCTGAGAGAGAGAGCCCCAAAAAATGTAGCGCACACAAACCAGCCCAAACCAGAGGAGAGGCTCACAGCTCCACTGACCTACATTCAACCAGGACTCAGAGCACACCGCTAAACACACGCCAGGGACAAGATACTGATTTGGGAATGTTTTGGTGTGATTGCTTTTGGGTAAAATGGCGTAATGTTGATGAAAATGAAAATACAATACATGCTGGGAGTATGCAGGTGCTGATAACTCGATGTTAGGTTTGTAATCCATCAAAAATGCGTTAAAATGTGACTGGAAACAAAAAATTAAAGGATTGTACTTTTAAAGCAAACCTATTCTGCAAATCCACTTTTCAGAGCTTTTAACTGTAGTTGTTTCCCTTCTCCCAAAGTTGTGTTTGTTGTGATTCGTGCATGTTTGAGTAATCTTTAATCGTTTATTTTCAAAACGCCATATTGCAGATCTCTCACTGGTGCACGCCCACTGCTCTGTACTTCAATCCAATCCACTTTATTTCTATAGCACATTTTATAAACAAAGAGTTTCCAAAGGGCTGCACAAAGACAGAATAATAACAACAATAATAATATAATCATAAAATAAATGCTCAGATTTACTCACACTAGTCTTAAAACAATAAAATCAGAAATATAAAATAAGAGCAAAATCACAGAATAGCAAAATAAATATAAAAATAAATAAAAGACTCAGGACCACACAACTCACGTGGTGTTAAAAGCCACAGAATAAAAGTGGGTCTTCAAACGAGACTTAAAACTCTCCACTGTGAGGGCTGTGAGGGCTGTGAGGGCAGAGAACGTCCTGTGCCCCCGGTTTTAAGTCTCGTTTTAGACACCACGAGCTGGAGCTGGCCCTCAGATGTAAATTTTGAGGAGGTCTGAGATGTATTGTGGGGCCAGTGCATTCAAAGCTTTAAAACCAAACAATAAAAATCAATTCTAAAATGAACAGGAAGCCAGTGCAAAGACGCAAGAATTGGGGTTTTGTGCTCTCTTCTTTTTGTTCCTGTTCAAAGTCGTGCTGCAGAGTTTTGGACTAACTGTAGTCAGTAAAGTGCGTATTGTGAGACGCCAGAATAAATGCGTGTAATGCATTACAGTCATCCAGGCGTGATGAAATAAAAACAACTTGTTCAAAAAGTTTAAAAGATAAGAAACGTTTGACTTTGGCCTCGGATCCAGAACAGACACTCAAAGATGTGAGTCTGGTCACTGGTGAATCTCAGTGCAGATGAGCATGATTAACAAATAATTTAGGCAGTCAGGAACACGCATGATCCATCCGTATCGGAATAAAGAAAGGAAAATAATATGGTCACATCTTATTTCTCTTTCCTCGATTCGGCTCTTCGATTCTGCAGGAAATGGGCGAGGAAGTTTCGCCCACAGAGGAGACTAAAGGGAGAAAAGAGGATCTAAACTCCTCACTGAGACCGATATAGTTTGATTCTTTTCTCTGATGTCCACCTCCTGGAGCCTCCCTCGTGTTTACTCCGTCATGACGTAGTTTTCTTTGGGACACATTTGACTGACAGCTGAAAAATGGAGGATCGAGGAGAGGAATCAAGGAGAAGGAAGCGAGGAAAGAGAATTGAGACGCGGCCTAGATCACAGGAGACTGAAAAACATTTTGGATTTCTGCAGAATCAATAAGACAAACACTAAACTCAGTTCATCTGAGGGGAGAGAAGTCATTTTGTTTGACCAATGAGCTCCTTCATCTCACATGCATCACTGAAAAAGGACTAATCTGATTGGACGATCACATTTGTCCAGACTTGAGGGAGTGGGGACCAGACTGATATTGATCTGTGTCATAAATACAAAGAGAGATCAGTTTGCCAGGCAGTGTTTTAGTGAATTGAGTAGTCTAACTTTTTATATGCACAACATTTTTATAATTTCCTTATTACAAACAATATAACTATCCCAATAATACGTTGGATAGTCGATATGCTGAAGAAATGGCTGAACAAATGAAGAAAAAATACATATAATTCCATAATAATTTACCTTTTTCTGAACCACATTTGTTAACAAGCTTTGCAAAACTGGAAAAAACAACATTGAGTTTAGTGACGGCCCGATATGGATTTTGTGAGCCAATAACCGATATCCGACGTTTGCCTTTCTGCTGTGGCCGATACCGATATTTGCTGAGCCCAATATTTAGCTTTTAAACTCCATAGCAAGGCCCACACTCTTATCTAATAATATAGTTATGTTTACAAATGATCTTTTCACCTTTTTATTTCAATTTTGACACACAGGGCAGCTTAGAAATAACAAATACTGATATCTGGGAAACTGGGACCGATATATCATCCATTCTTAATTCACGTCGCAGCATCAGAGACCAGATCTAGTTCAGTAACTGCTAAACTAATCCAAGAATCCCGTGTATTTGAGAATGTGTTTGTAGACGACTAAACTACAGGGTTAGCAGGCCACACAGAAGCAGAGCCCATGAGACACTAGGAAAGTTTGTTCTCCGCATATTACAGCTTGTACTTTCTCATTTGAATTGAAATTGATGGATTTTTTTAGCCCTGAGCCAGACACGCTTATGCACACTGTTCCCAATTCGTGGCTAAGCAAACGTCGGATTTGTAACAGGACAAAGTGCAGACAGGTCCCAGATTGTGGCTAAGTTAGTGCCGGATTCGCGACAGTGTTTGAGTACAGTTTAGTCCCGGGTCATGACAAAGCTAACGCCGAATTCGTAACAGTGTAAAGTGCAGACTGGTCCCAGATTGTGGCTAAGTTAACGCCGGATTTGTGACAGCGCTTAAGTACAGTTTAGTCCCAGTGGTCGTGGCAAAGCTAACACCAGATTCGTAACAGTCCTTAAGTACAGTCTGGTCCTAGATTCTTGTTAAGATAATGCCTGATTTGTGTCAGTATAAAGTGCAGACAGGTCCTAGATTGTGGCTAAATTAGCGCCTGATTCGTGACAGCGTTTATATACAGTTTAGTTTCAGGGGTCATGACAAAATTAACGCCGGATTCGTGACAGTGTAAAGTGCAGACTGGTCCCAGATTATGGCTAAGTTAACGCCAGATTCGTAACAGTGCTCAAGTACAGTCTGGTTCCAGGTCCTGGTTAATCTAATGCCTGATTTGTGTCAATATAAAGTGCAGAGAGGTCCCAGATTGTGACTAAGTTAGCACCGGATTCATGACAGCGCTTAAGTAGGGTGACCAAACGTCTGTTTTTCCTTGGACATGTCCGTTTTTTGCGTCCTGACCTGGACGTACATTTAAAAAAAAAATTTTTTTAAGTGATGTAAATAATGTCTGGGTTTTCATTACCGTTCATTGGGGCCATTAAATTGAGCGGCTCTCTGTGACTCAGAAGGAACAAACAGTCGGTCAGTCTGCAACATGCCGAAGCGTAAATGCGCATTTAACAATGACTTGTACAAGAAATTGTCCGTTTTCCGTCCAGGACAAGTGGGAGGCCATGTGCACAGTTTGTGTGGTGAGAGTAGCTCAATGTCGAGGCCCCACCCTCCACCTCCGTTAAGATGTCCGTGTTTTCACAAATGGAAATAATGGTCACCCTACGCTTAAGTACAGTTTAGTCATGGGTGTCGTGGCAAAGCTAAGGCCGGATTCGTAAGAGTGCTTAAGTAGAGTCTAGTTCCGGGTTGTGGCAAAGCTAATGCCTGATTTGTGACATTGTAAAGTGCAGACAGGTCCCAGGTCGTGGCTACGTTTCCGCTTCATTTGTAACAGCACTTAAGTACAGTCTGATCCCAGGTCCTGGCTAATCTAACGTCTGATTTGTAACAGGACATAGTGAAGATTGGTCCCAGATTGTGGATAAATTAGCGCCGGATTCGTGACAGCACTGAAGTATAAACTAGTCCTGGGTTTGTGGCAAAACTAAGGCCAGATTCATAACAGTGCTTAAGTACATTCTGATCCCAGGTCCTGGCTAATCTAACTCTGGATTTGTGACAGTGTAAAATGCAGAGAGATCCCAGATTGTGGCTAAATTAGCGCCGGATTCGTGACAGCGCTTAAGTACAGTTTAGTCCTGGGTGTCGTGGCAAAGCTAAGGCCGGATTCGTAACAGTGTAAAGTGCAGAGTAGTCCCAGATTGTGGCTAAGTTAACGCTGGATTCGTAACAGTGCTTAAGTACAGTCTGATCCCAGGTCGTGGCAAAGCTAACGCCTGATTTGTGTGAGTGTAAAGTGCAGTCAGGGCCCAGATTGTGGCTATGTTTCCACTTGATTCGTGACAGCACTTTAAGTACAGTCTGGTCCCAGGTCCTAGCTAAGTGAACACTGGATTTGTGACAGTGTAAAGTGCAGACTGGTCCCAGATTGTGGCTGCGTTTACGCTTGATTCGTGACAGCACTTTAGTACAGTCTAGTCTAGGGTGACCAGACGTCCGTATTTACCCATGACAGTCGAAGATTTGAGCCCTGTGTCCCCTGTCCCGGCAGATTTATCCAAAACAATGTCGCCAGGTTGGGTGGACAGATAATAATTGGCCTATTTTCAACAAGTTAGGGTGTTTTTTGTTTTCACATCAATCAACGCGATACACAATAACCCAAGGAAACATATGGGACTTTCCCTCCTGTCCAGTTTTATGGAGGTGCTCCGGCCTGTGCATAAATGAATGGACGTCTGCTACGTTCAGACCCCCCCGGCAACTGATTCAATTCTTCGATGTATGAGTAGGCAGGTTGTGTATTTGCAGCTGTTCTTGCAGTACCCTAGGCTATAGCCGACCATTGATGATATTTATTTTTATGCGTGATGAAAACACTGTTCTGTGTTTTACCAAAGATGTTTTTCTCAATCCTGGGAAAGTTTAAAAAAACAACAACAATAGATTAAGTTACAACAAGTTTATTAAAATATTAGGCTTATTCTGTGATAAATGAAAATGTTTTCTCAATACTAGCAATGTTTTTAAGACGCAAAACTCTGGTCAGATCTGCTCACGCTGCATACGCTTTTACATCACATACATCACCACCTAGGGTCACTACCGAGCCGGCTGGCATGCATACACAATCCAATTCCACACACTTTTGCGTCATCGTATGCACTCAGATTTCCTCCCAAAAAAGCTCGTCTGAACACAAAACAAAACCTGAAGACGCAGCGTCACATTTGCGTCTTCTGTTCAGACTTTCATCATATAAACGTAGCCTCAATAGCCTACAACATTTTTATTTAAATATTAAATTTCATTTTTTCTCTGATAAATGAAAATGCTGTTCTACATTTAACATGTTTTCTCAATACTAGCAATGTTTTTAAAAAGTCCAACAGTAGATTACATACCTTTATCCAAAGATTAAATTTTTTCAGTGACAAAACGTTGTTGGGCGAGTTTTTCGAAAGTGATTGGGCGGAAATCACTAAACCCAATCTGGCAACACTGATCCAAAACCACTGATTTGTCCCAGTTTTATACAAGAAATGTCCCTGGTGTCCCTATTTCTGACCGATTTTATACCTGCCAACAGTAAAGAGAGGCGTATATTGACATTTGTTGAGGTAAAATACAGAAAAGCTGCTTAAAAAATGACCAAAACACAAAGAAAATGTGACTATACTGACTCACATGTCATGAATGGGCCGAGTGCAGAACAGTTTTCCTTAATTACACACTCGTTTCACAATTTTATACCGAGAGTATCCCAGTTTTTTGTTTTGAAATTCTGGTCACTCCAATCTAGTCATGGCAAAGTCATGGCAAAGGTAAAGCCAGATTCGTGACACTTGCTTTAAATGTTCATTTTAAAACACAGATCAGGTCAGGTGCACTTATTGGTTAGTCAAAGGCCGTCTACCAGATTTCAGCTTTCACTACAACTTCAACATACTGTTCGTAGTTGCACGCTGCTTCCAAAAGCGCAAATTGTTTTAGTCTTTTGACATTTAACAACCCGTGTAGGACTGTGAAGTTAAAGGTGCTCCAGGGAACTTTTAGATTTGCTTGTGTGATTGGCTTGGGTTTTCTTAATGTTTACAGCCAATGCTCTTTCAGTAAAATGTGAGTGCTTTAATAAAATAGTAAAAAAGAAACTTTCAAGCCTCATACTTTTACTCTTTTTTGAGTAAAAGTGAGTAAGTCTGACAAAAGTTTCATGTGACAATATGAAATGAGTTGAATGTTTGTTTCTTGCAGCGTTCTTCTCATTTTTAGTCTCTCTTTAAAACTTTATATATATATTAATGTTTTGTCTTTCCTGTTACATTCATTTAAAATTATAAATCAGATATTACACTGAAGTAATATCCACAAACACTTATTTTCTCTGATCTCACTCAAGTCATTTCTTGGAGAGCCTCTTTCTACTTAAGTATATTATTTTAAGTAACAGTATTTCTACTTCAGTTGAGTTTCTGGCTGTAAATTTGGTTCTGAATGAGGAGAATGTTTGAGGGGAGTGGTCTTGTGCATTTGAGTCCCACTGCAGATAAATGCTGTGATGTTTGACACTGAGCTCAGATGTTTGTGTGAGGAGGGCACCGGCTCTCGATGGTGAATGAAGGCGGGGCTCAGAGGAGGACTGCTCGAGCGGGTTGCAGTAACTTTGCACAAATTGCGTCATGTTAAACTTGGAGTTACAGACAGGGGACATTTGGCCTCCAGAAACACTTTTGGAGTGTGGAGTTATAAACTGGGCTTTTAGTGTAACCAAGAAGAAGAATGAATGTGGAATGAATGCAGTTCATTTTCATCAGACAAATGTTAAAATACACTGGAGTTCATTTTCTGTATGAATTTTAAAAAACAAAAACATCTCAGTGATGCAGAATAGAGATAGAAATGGCTCATAGAAATGTATGAGCCATAAGTGTTTGACCTTTTCATTATTTGTTGTCTGGCACCACAAACCTGCAATATCCATCTAATCTATTCTACCGTAACAATCAGTGCAAGTAAAGGTCCAACAAACGTTAACAGTTAATTCACCTCAAAATGGATTTAACCAAATCTTTTATGAATGATGAGGACTGAAATCAATGATAACAATAGTTTTTAGTCATTTATGTTTCATTTTAGTTTAAATTAGTTCAAATTTTTTAAAATCTCGATGACCAGTATAAACATTTTAACTGAGCTTTAATTGTTGCCTTTACATTCACTGACTGCTAGGGGAGCTAAAATAATACATTTGGAGCAGTAAATTATTGTAACTGAACTTTACTCACTCATTTATTCATTCATTGTTTATAGAATTAAAATCACCAATTAGTGAAAGAAAAGTAAATCTTGAGCCGACCTCCTTTGCTGTTGCTCAGTTAATTGTTAATTAATTATTAATTAATCATTGCATTTATATAGTGTATTTCAAGATGCCCAAAGCGCTTTACAGTTCATTATTCATTCACTCCACACTCGGTGTTGGAAACCTACTACTGTAGCCACAGCTACACTGTGACCTAAAGCCAGACAACGTGATGCTGGTCAACCGCCTGTTGCTGCAGCCCCCAGTGTGGATGTCATCATTGATATAGATCCTGTTTGCAATGGGTTCATTCAAATAAGTGACACCCAAAGACCAGAGCGCTCAGACAGAACCCCTCCAGAGCCTCTGATAAACCACGAGACTATGCAGCCTGCTCCACTGGACCTCAGCATTAATATGGACTTTATGGACCCAGAAGAAGCCCATGCAGATACACATGTGTCCATCAACATTCCTGAGGACGCCCCCTCACATACCCCCCCGATCACTCTGCGGGTCAAGACGAGAGACCACTCTCTCCCCCTCAAGACTCTGTGGGCCCAGAGGAGAGCTCAGACCTTGAGCGCTCTGGTGGCTCTGGTTGGGGGCTGTGTAAAAGCTTAGCCTTTGGAAGCCTGTTAGCAGGACAGGGCCTACTCTGCTACGGCCTGACCGTGTCTCCACTGGTCACTGCAGTTGCAGTCCTGCCCACGTTCCTTTGGGGCTGTGCTGATATGTTTTTCTCAAAGAAAAAGTCGCCAATGTAAAGATGACAATAGCTATGGAGTACGAAAGCACAGCAGCAATTTAAAAATAAATAAATAAAATTTAAAAAACAAACTTTAAAGTCCCTCTTATTAATTCTTCTTTTATTAACATTTGTATCATTATGTCTGTGTGTCTTTACTCGACCCCCCCGTGTTGAGTAAAACTTGTTTCACTGCAGTACAGATATACTGTATCTGTACTGCAAATTTCACTCACAGCAAAACTCTGTCTGGTCTCTGACAATCGTGAAAAGCACTTATAAACTCTTTGGGGTGAATCATTAGGATGTTCAGAATGCATAAGGGAAGTGAGGAATAACTTTGGAACATTTCAAATGAACTTGTTCTGTTTTTCATGTTTTTAAGATGTAAGAATCAGGTACAGTGCCTTTAACAGACAGATTGTACAGTTGCAACCTATGAAAACATGATAAAAGTTTATTACAGAATGAGACCACACAAGAATATTAGATGCAACAATACGTACTAGCTTTGACGTTGTGAGACCGGCTAAGATGTAAATGACATGAAAGACAGCAGGGGAGGTTTTAGATGAAGTAACAAAATAATGTTTCATAATCATAATGTAGGATCTGATCTGGATTTTGGTGAGTCTGTGCTCACGTGCGTTTGAGAGACTTCTCCACAGGTAGGGCGCTTTCACACTTGTGTTTACGTTTAGTGTGAGTTTGAGGATTTCCCCGTTTGGAGTCCAGTGTAATATGAGTGCCAAACATCAGACTTCTCCTGGACTTTGAACCAAATTCAGGAAGTGACACATGCTCACATGTTCTCCCTGAGCCTGTGGGGGGTTTCTCTACCTGTGTAGAGCCAGGACTCTCCTGAAAAAGACCATCCTGGTTAGATACATGTGAATGTAGTTTGGATCCTTTTCCCTTCAGTAATTATACATAACCTTAAATGAAATGTGTGAGATGTGAGTGGTTGACACTCCATCTGGACAGAACAGGCACATTACTGTAAAGAGGACACTCTGAGCCGGGCTCTGGTATTACTCATGTGCATGTGCAGCATTTTAAACCTGAAATTTACAGGAACAGGAATAATATCAGAGGATATATGTCAGATCATAAGAAATTTGCTTAAAGTCTCTTTAAATCTTACAGCAGTCAGGGTTTAAGTCTCAGACTATGGAGTATGAATGCTTTCAGAAATATTCGTGTGCATAGGATAGAAATCTGTGCATATTTGGCTGTAGCTGAGCATAAAATAAATATTTGTAAACTCTTGAATGAGTCCAGTTGTACATAAGATATATTGTGTGTATTTTATTCATCAGGATACTAACTGAAAAGTTACAATATCAAGAATTACAATCACTAAATGAAAATTTACGATTACACTTTCTTCAGTACGAAAACAAATTCACAGATGCAACTTTATTGTCAAAAATCTGTCATCACTTCACAGACATTATTTACTGAGCAGAAGAAACATCGATCGAGATGCCGGACTTTTTTGCTGCTTACGGACTGAACCAGGACTAAAACAGGACTAAAACAGGACAAAACCAGGACTAAACCAGGACTAAACCAGGAGGACTGAATTCATATTCATACTGAAGAAACCGTAATCATAAATTTTCATTTCGTGATTGTAATTCTTGATGTTGTAACTTTTAAAATCATATTTTTATGGTCAAAATACACACAACACATTTTATGTACGACTGGACTCATTCGAGAATTTACAAATATTTATTTTATGCTCAACTACAAAAAATATGCACAGATTTTTATCCTATCTACATGAATATTTCTGAAAGCTTTCTTACTCCTCTTTTTGGATAAAAAAAAATTTTTATATTTAGCACATGTTCAAAATAGTACTCATAGTATTATTGATAATTAAATCTGCAAACCTCTACTAGAGATGTTTCTTAGTTGTCCTTAATAATGACTACATGTATTTATCTGGGGTTTGGAATGATTTGGGGAAAATATTCAGTTGCGATTGTGTTCAGATTTGTGATTTATGTTTCACTTTCAAAATTAGGACTCGCATCCAGAAGAACTGACCAAAATCTGAACTGACAAACTAATACAAGAATCACATTTCTGTTCATGTTGTTACTGATCTGATGGTGGAAATTAAGGAACTTTAATTCAATTCAGATTTCAATTTTAATTCAACTGCGATGAATTTGCAGCCTCATCTTTAGCTCCGGCGCTTGTGTTGTCGAATCTATCTCTGCTGTTCTGATATTTTGTCCATTCTAAGATGTGTCCTCAGATGAATTATAGATGCCTGACTAATGAGAGCGTACATTTCTGCTGATTTCTGCTGCTTTTCTTGCTGCACTGACACAAACAGAGCAGGTTCGTTTAGCATCGTCTCTCCGCTTCTCGACGTCGGGTGAGAATGTACCAGATTTGTCCGAGCGGTGTGAATTCCCGATGGATTATTTGGTCGTTCGTGGCTGGTTTCTTGTTCGTACGTTTCGATGGGGCCGACTGTCACACCATCTACCCACCAGCGGCTGCTAGGCAACCATCTGAATGAGAGTATTTTTATATGTGCTGAGAGAGAAAGAGAGAGTGTGTCCTCCTCATGATGATTGTACTACTCCCCAAGACTGCTACTAATTACAAGGACACATTATATCTCTACTCTTGGTTTGTCAAAAGTGTCCAAAATCAGGGACTAATCGAAACCAAAACTTAATGAGGTAGTGGGGATTTTAACATTAACGCCTAATAATAATAATAATTGTCACCTATAGAACAGGCTACAACACATGAACCAAGACTAAACCAGGTCTAAACCAGGACTAAACCCGTCCTCCTGGTTCAGTCCTGGTTTAGACCTTGTTTAGACCTGTTTTAGACCTGTTTTAGACCTGGTTTTAGACCTGTTTTTTAGTCCTGCTTTAGTCCTCCTGGTTCAGTCCTGGTTTAGACCTTGTTTAGACCTGTTTTAGACCTGTTTTAGACCTGGTTTAGTCCTGGTTCAGTCTTGGTTTAGTCCTGCTTTAGTCCTCCTGGTTCAGTCCTGGTTTAGTCCTCCTGGTTCAGTCCTGGTTTAGTCCTGTTTTAGTCCTCCTGGTTCAGTCCTGGTTTAGTCCTGTTTAGTCCTCCTGGTTCAGTCCTGGTTTAGTCCTCCTAGTTCAGTCCTGGTTTAGTCCTCCTGGTTCAGTCCTGTTTTAGTCCTGTTTTAGTCCTGTTTTAGTCCTGTTTTAGTCCTGGTTCAGTCCTGGTTTAGTCCTCCTGGTTCAATTCTGGTTTAGTCCTGATTTAGTTCTGTTTTAGTCCTGGTTAAGTCCTGGTTCAGTCCTGGTCCTCATGTCTCAGGTCACTATAGGACAGTACTGGAGATATCATGAGGAAGACCCAGGACACACTAGAGGGACTATGTCTCTTGGCTGGCCTGGGAACGCCTTAGGGTCCCCTCAGAGGAGCTGGAGGAAGTGTCTGGGGAGAGGTGTAGTCTGGGAGTCCCTGCTTAGTCTGCTGCCCCCACAACCCGACCACGGATACGCGAAAAAAAAAAAAAAGATAGATGGATGGATAAATTATATTTCATATAATTGAAGGTGTAGTTGACTGTATTATTAGACATAATTACTGATAAATCGCAGTATACTTTTGACCATTTAAAAGCTGGATATTTTCTGAATTGCTGATCGCCATGGCAACGGCGGTAATTTGTCTTCACGTTGAAACCAACAGAGAGCAGTTGTGGAGAAGAGCGCTGTATCCCACTCTCACAGGCTCATTCAAAAATAGCTCCAGCACAAACACGTATAGAGCTGTATTCTCCGGTGCACGGCTTTATTTATTTTAGCAGATTTCGGTTCCTCTCTTGGACAAGTGAACAAGAGCTGGGTTTCAGATGACATCACAACGTAAAGGTCCAATATTACGCAAACCTGACTCAACTCCGGGCTTGTTTTTGATGAAGTAACAGCAGTATAACTTGACTTAAAGCTCACCGTGTTATGACGCTGTTACCTCGATTTCTGGCAGAGATCGAGCTCGATGAGAGGCGTCACCGCTCCTTCATTTAAGTGAAACAAGTGCAAATTTAATGAAATGTACAAATTCATTCCAAACTTTATTAATGGTGGATTTCTCTTGAAATACTGGTCCCATCAGCAAAAAGTACTCAGCTCTTTATGCCCGTGTATGTTTTGGTTTAGTTTAGTTTAGTTTATTTATTGAGACAGGGACAGTGCGCAATATACATTGACCTTAACAGGAGATGCTTTGTACCAGGTTGTAGCACCAGTGCTAATTTCCACCTGTCGTCCCTGGGCAGGATTTGTATTTAACTGACCTTGGATATCAGCTGTTCTTCCTGGAGACCTGTGTAGCATGTTTTGGGTTGGTGGGGGAAACCGGAGCCCCCGGAGGAAACCCATCCAGACACGGGGAGAAACATGCAAACTCCACACAGAAAGACCCAGGTGACCTGGGGATCAAAAACTGGAACCTTCTTGCTGTGAGGCATGAGTGCTAGCCACTCAGCCAACATGGACAGGACATACCTGAAAAATTGCAGTTTTGTGGACTAACATGTCCTTTTCTTTTATAGCGATGTGTTTACTTTTGCGCCTTAGAATGTAATTGTTAAACTCCATGACAAGAAACAGGAAGCTGTGATAAACTTTGTTCAGTTGACACCATAAAACTGTAAGAAAAAAAAAAAAAAAATTTATCTTTTATTTTATTTTATTTTTATTATAGATCCATGGTCGACACTGCAGCAGAATGTCCGGGGCAAATAAACCGGAGAGAATAAAATATCAAAATGAAATTAGGCATTTTGATTGGTGTTATTTGAAATAAACTTTAAATCAAATATTGGAAATATAAAGGTCAAAAT